AATTTTAAGTGCAGACACTTTGGGAGTTTCTTGAGGCCTATGCCATGTCCAGAAATTGCAGCCCTAAGTCAGTTACTCCTCATTAAACTGGCAGGGGCAAGGGGACAAAATTACAGCCTCCCATGTCCCCCTCTTTTCTCTTTTGGCAGAAGTCCATGGGTCACTTACCTAGTCTGTAAAAGCCAACCAGAAGCTCCTGTTTTATCTGGCTTCAGAATAGTTTTTGTTTTAGGAAGAGAGAATGTCATATCACTAGAGGGTTGCCTAGTGAAAATGGGCCACTGCCACTAGCACTGTGGCTCTGTCATTCAGGCAGATATATAATAATATGTAACATGTAGCTGCTGGTCCCTATCCCTTGTGTACTCACACTCCCTTTTTCAAATAAATATAATTTTTTTAAATATTTATTTATGCATACAAGAATTGGGGTACAGGCCAGAGGTGAGGGGGGGGGGAGATTCACCAGAGACAGAGTAGGGAGCAGAACAGGCAGAGGCACTGAAATACACTGCTAAGGGTAGCAGCAGGCGAGACAGGAGAGGTCTGCTGTGCCATGTGGGTAGCTCCCTGGCTGGCTGGGGATTGAACTCATGCTGCAGTGGCTGCAGACAGCTTCACAGTGCTGTGCTTAACCCCTTGCGCCACCAAGTGTACCCAAATAAATGTAATTTGAATGAAGGAATGGGAAGAGAGATTTGTTTGGCTGTTTCTGGGGTTACTTACCTGGATGTTTGTTGTTCCTGAGGCAGGAGATCTTTAGTTTGAAGCATGAGATTTCCAAGGCTGACAGCCAAGTATTAAGAAGTAGCAAGTGGAGATCCAGGTGGCAGGGTTTTCTGAGGGAGTAAAGGGACCCATTGTTTCACCCAGACCTCTGACTTCCTGATGGATTGAAATGACAAGGGTACATTTTAGATTTGTGGCAACACAGTTTGGGGTCAACCTCACTTAAGAGAGAAGGCCTTTTTGATGGGCGCATACATCATGTGGGGCTTCAAGGCAGGAACCTCTTTCAAAGCACTCTCAAGATAATGGATCAAGTGCCAACTCTACTGTGAAGATTTCTACAACTGCCTCCTCCCATGATCACTTTTCTTCTCCAAATATGTGTATGTCACCCTTCATTCACGTTCTGCTGTGTGCAAGCACTACACTTTTTTACTGACTGTGGCCTATCTCTCCAACTGTGTGGTAAGCTCATTGTAGAGTGAGGGTGTTTTTATGTCTGTCACATCTCTCACAGGGCCCTGAGCAGGGCTGAGTCCCAGTTAGAGGTTAATAAATATGCACTGCCTCAGACAAATCCTGCTTGGAACTTGCCCCCCTCTGGACTGGTGTTTTTTTCTCCCAGAATAATGACTCTTTTATCTCTCCATTGGATATGGTGTAAGTATCAGTTGGCCTTGTTCATGTTTACCTACATTTCAAATTTTCTGTTGTAGTTTCTTTCTCCTCCTGTTCCTGGCAACTGTTTGCACACCAGTTTCCATGGTATACATGGCATGAATATATATACAGTAGGAATGAATGTGGGAAATAAGTCTGTCTGGAGTTAAAAGTATAAAATGGAGACACCAAATAGGAAATCTCATTTCATCTAGATTTGACTTCATCAAAGTCAAATATAGGCTGTTGCCTGTTTTCTCTAGAGAAATCTGCTATAAAAGATTGGGGGCAATATGTGTACTGGCAATATCTGTACTAGGACAGGACCCAATATTGGTTAACCTCTAGCCAATGAGGATGGACATGTCTGTAAACATTTATTCTGGGTAGATACTCAAAGTTGAATGGCCTGCAGTGGGATTAAGGAATTAGCTCAGGGGTCTCCCTGGTGGCACAGGGGTTAAAGACACAACACTATCAAGATTATCATCAGCCACTGTGGCATGAGTTCGATCCCCAGCCAGGGAGCTAACCCACGTGGCACAGCAGACCTTTCCTGTCTTGCCTGCTGCTCCCCTCAGCAGTGTATTTCAGTAGATCTGCCTGTTTGCTCCCGGCTCTGTCTCTGGTGAATCCTCTCACCCCTCATACCTCTGGCTAACACCCCAGTTCTTGTATGCATAAATAAATAAATCTTAAAAAAAAAAAAAAACCAAAAGGATCTAGCTTAGAATTTGCCTGATATCCATGAAGAATGGACAGTATTTCCTGACACTCTGTGGGGTGTTTTGACTAGGTTCAGCATCATTACATTCAAGTATTCTTAGTTATTATATTTACATCAGAATTTAAGACCTGATTTTAGAAATTATCTAGTAATAGAAAAAAAGCCTTAAAAAGAAAGCTATACACCAAAATGTTAACAATCATTCTGTACATGGTAGGATTATTTTTGTTTAGCAGCATTTCTGTTGTTTTTCCTCCTCTATTTTTAATATTGATACAGCTAAACACTGCAGGAATACTACTCACAGTAACTACTAAAATCTGGTCCTTGTCAGCAAAGATGATATCTGTCACTGCATTAATTAGTAGTTTTAATAAAAGGAAAGAAAAATTTTCTAGGATAGTATTTTTTAACAATGGAGAGACATACTACTTTCAAGAAGTAATACTTTAAATACATTTAACAGAATACATCATAAATTTAAAGACATTTTGTCATAAATATTCTTTTTTTTTTTTTTTTTTTTTTAAAGATTTATTTATTTATTTATACAAGCACTGGGCACAGTCAGAAGCGCGGGAGGGCGAGAGAACCCACCAGAGCCAGAGCGGGGAGCAGAACAGGCAGAAGGACCGAAGTACACTGCTGAGGGGAGCAGCGGGCGGCAGGAGAGGTCCGTGCGCCACGCGGGACCCTCCTCCGGTGGCCGGGGAGCAGCCGGGGATCGAACAGGCACCGCAGAGGCCGCGGGCAGCCTCGCAACCCAGCGCTCAACCACTGCGCCACCGGGGAGGCCCGTCATAAATATTCTTTTAGGAACATTAACAAAAATTGGTGAATAATTTCTGTGTGTAAATCTTAGTATATAATAGCAGTTGCAGTTTATAATAGAAATGTATGAAGTCTTTCTGTGGAAAAGTTTAAGGGCCAAGAACTTCATATATTTTGTGGGATAGATAGCTTCCTTCTCAGCAACGTGATTTTCATAGAATATTTATCATAGATTTAACATAGATTGGGCAAAGAGAACCCTGCCCAATTTTCAGTTTTGCTAATATAAGTGATTGACGTCCAACAGCTAGGGGGGACATTGGGAAAGGGTTTGGGAATGGTACAAGCCCAAATCTTGAACCACTCCCCAGGGTATTTGGCTCTATGCTTGAAATTTAGAAGCATTAAAAAACAAGCAAACAGAGTATAACTATTTTACTGGCCAAGAAGCATAACTGCAGCTGCTAAGACATAGACTAGGGTAGTGCAGTCTTGAGCCAGCAACTCTTATCTTGGTTACTGTTGTCACTAGCAGAATTATCTCACTTAATCTTCACAACAAACCTGTGCTGTAGAGACAGACTATCCACTTTATAGCTAAAGAAACTGAGGCTTGCAAGAGTTCACATCACTTGCCCAAGATCACAGAGCTTTAAAGTATAAGAACTACTTTCCAATTTGGAAGTATATCAGGTAGAATGAAGGAAAAGGTGATTCTAGATAGCAGGGAACCCAGGCAAAGCACACACAGAGCAGTCCAATTTTTGCACCACACTTGGTGCTTGTGTGCTGCTGTTGGACCCTCAAATCATCAACTATCCCTTTGTGTCATTCTTTTAAAATTCTAGCAGGAGCATCTTTTTGGTGAACTTCATTTCATATGTTAGCATTCTAGCTCCCAAGAGGTGTAAATGAGTATTTGCCTGTTTGGCTTTTATAGTAGGTGATTAAGTCCTGCTTCTCACTGAGACAGGTATAATCAGAGATTCCCCCAAATAAGAGAAGTGTTTGGACACTAGCTAGCTAGGCAACAACAGTTTAAAAGGGTAAATGCGGGCCTCCCTGGTGGCGCAGCGGTTGAGCGCTGGGTTGCGAAGCTGCCCGCAGCCTCTGCAGTGCCGGTTCGATCCCCGGCTGCTTCCCGGCCACCGGAGGAGGGTCCCACATGGCGCGCAGACCTCTCCTGCCGCCCGCTGCTCCCCTCAGCAGTGTACTTCGGTCCTTCTGCCTGCTCTGCTCCCTGCTCTGACTCTGGTGAATTCTCTCACCCTCCTGTGCTTCTGACTGTACCCAGTGCTTGTATAAACAAAACAAACAAACAAACAAACAAATAAATAAATAAATAAATAAATAAATAAAAATAAAAGGGTAAATGCTCACCATATCAGCACTGGTGCGCAGATGTCCCTGTGGCATTCTGCTGAGGATGGCTAAACTGGCAATCTCTGCCTTCTCCAAAGGCCTGGCTGAGACCAGGCAGTACACAAAGTATTTGAGTTTTCACACTGAAGACGTTTTCTGATTCACTAAAACTGATTACTACAGAGATGAATTACTGTCAGTACCAGCCGGAAGTTGGGATCAATCTGAGGAGGGAGTATTTAGAAAAGAGACCCATAGGAAAACCCCTCTCCAGATTCAGGGTTTAACTGATCCTTAGTATGGTGTTTGGAAATGCTAAATTTGTATGATATGTTATGGGCAGTATTTCATTGTATCTTTGCCTGACTAACCATATTGAATATTTTCTTATGGTGGGAAGGAAAAAGAATTAATGTGCACAGTCTTTTTTCACTAATTTGCTAACATATTTTTGCCCTTCTAGACTTTCTTGACCTTCTAGGATTAGGGAGCATATTCTGTAATTATATTCAGGATCTAGCATTGTGCCCAGCATATAATAGGCAACTTTAAAAAATATTTCACTAAATGAATGAATGCATTTTTCTAACAATCTTTTAATGAAATGGAATAAATTCTTGTGACATGGTGGGGGAATTTATGGTTATGTATGTTTGAAATAGTTTATCATTTTCTTAGATTGCAAAAGGATTCTAAATCTGTTACAGGAAGAAATGTTATAGTGACATGCTCTCTAATTTTTGTTGTTTAGGTGTTCCAGGATTTGGGGACTGAAGTACTGTCTGGAGCTGCCAAAGGCTACAACATATGCCTTTTTGCCTATGGACAGACAGGCTCTGGGAAGACATATACCATGCTGGGGACCCCAGTGAGTATTAGCCTGGATTTTGCATTGTCCTTGCCACTGAGAGGTGGAACATGTTTTCCATAGTCTGTCCACCTTTACAGGATTAATGGGCCCTCTTCTGTAGTGAGAATGGTTTCTCAGCACTTTTACTTGTACACTGAATGATTAGCCCTTTTTTATTAAACCCCAGAGAACCTTGGAATTTACAACTTTTGATGAAGCAGACCTCATCAGCCCTTCTAAACTTCTCATATTGTTTCCAAGTTCCAGTTGAAGCTTTTTAACACATTAGATGTGGCGAACACCTGCACTGAATCTTATGTGTTGGTTAGAGCTGTGCAGAGATGACATTACTTGTGTTAGTGCTGAGTGTTAGAGAGAAGCAGCTGAAGCAGCTACTGAAATAGGGAATGTGTAGAAGTGTGTAGGGCTTAATGAGAGTTTCTTTTATCATTAGGAGAGTCTAGTTCCTCGGGATTACCTTAGGCCCCAACCCTCTCGTTTGTGCTGGGTCTCTGCCCGTATGGGGTGAATCAGGGAAGTGAGTGACAGATAACACTACAGAGGGGTGTTCTCTGGGACACTATTCCTTCTGGAAGATTATCCCTGCTGCTGTAAGCCCAGCTTATTTTGCCCATGTTTAATGTGGTTTCATGTATTTGAAATTTAAAAAGGAAAACCCCCACCAAACCAAGGGTATAAAGCCCTTAACCTGAGTCCAGGTTACCACCAGATCCAAAATGAAGAAGGAAGCCACTGCTCTTTAAATGTGCATTTTGGATTTTTTTAAAATGTGTCTTCTCAAATGGCAAACCTCTTATTTGTATAGGAATAGGAAGTAGGGTTTTAGGAGGGTCCACAGTTATAGAATGGATTTTTCTGAGAAGGCTAGAACCTCCATTATATGAAAGCAGGAACTTGGGTTTGCTGGCTTCTCTCTTCCTTCTTATGGTGGTGATCTGCCTCTAATTTGGTGCTTTGCTCCAATGAGTGTCTCCTGAGAGCACTTGCAAATAAATAGTCTTCGACATACCGCCAGTGAAACTACCCAGATTGAAGGGCCTAGCACAAGCAAAGCACAGGCCTGTCCCATGCTAAGGTGGTTCTTTGGGTACTTGGGGGAGAGGTCACCATGAGTGAAAAGTAATGCATTTCTTCCTTTTATTCTCCAGGCCTCTGTTGGCTTGACACCACGGATATGTGAGGTATAGACTCTCTTTTGACTGGATCCTCTCAAAGTAGGTCTCCTTTGTATATCCCCTTCAATAAGACCCCGACCTTCTGGTTTGTGCAGGGTCTCTTCATCAGGGAGGAAGACCATGCCCCACCACCTTCTTCCTGTAGGATAAAAGTAAGGTGAGACCCTATCAGGCTCCAGGCCTAAAATGTTTCTATTTCCATTCCGAATTCTGGCACGGTCAGCTGCCTTCTCTTTGCTTCCAGAGTCATCCACAAGATGGAGAAAAACCACAGGAGAAATATCTTGCCATTCAGGGAGATGAGAAACATACTTAGGCCTTGGGTGTAGGAAACTTGGCTAATCCAAGATAAAGTTTTAACCAATCCATAATGGAAAAATTGCCATTAATTCCCTGTATTCTACTTTTTTGGTGTTCAATGCACTTTTTAAAAAAGAATTAAGATATAAATCACATACCATAGGGCCTCCCCGGTGGGGCAGTGGGTTGAGCGCAGCGCTGTGAGGCTGTCCACAGCCTCTGCAGCGATGGTTTGATTCCCGGCCCGCCAGGGAGATTCCCACATGGTGAAGCAGACCTCTCCGGTCTCGCCTGCTGCTCCCTTCAGCAGTGTACTTCGGTCCTTCTGCCTGTTTTGCTCCCTGCTCTGTCTCTGGTGAATCCTCTCACCCTCCCGCACCTCTGGCCTGTACCCCAGTGCTTGTGTAAATAAATAAATCTTTCAATAAATAAATAAATCACATACCATAAATTCTATACTTTTAAAGTGTATGTTCAATGGTTCTTGTATTTATAAAGTCTAGCTATCATCACCATCTAATTCCAGAATGTTTTCATCACACCCCAAAGAATAAATGTACTTTTTAAAAAAAATATGTTATATAATTCTTACATCTTAGGTAACATGTTGGTGAATGTGTTTGTCTGTGGAATCTGGCAACCACTGTTCTGAGTGGCAGCTGGGATTCTGGTGTCCATACATGAGAAGGTTAGGGAAAAGCAATTTGTGAGAAGAGTAGGCACAGAGTTCAGATCTGAACTGGAGCCTTTTCCCCCTTTTCTTGCTTTTGTTGTTATTCATGGGTTTTTGACTGCTAGCACCATAGGCAGCATTCGTGTTCTGGTGCGGAAGACCTTTCTATGAGAAGTCTTCTTTCTGTTTTTTAACAAAAGTTTTACTGATTTTAACAAGGAACTGTAACTGTAATATTTTAAAAAAGATTTTATGCATACGAGAGCTGGGGTGTAGGCCAGCTGTGCTGGGGTTGGGCGGGGGTAGAGGATTGACCAGAGACAGAGTAGGGAGCAAAACAGGCAGATCTACTGAAATACACTGCTGAGGGGAGCAGCGGGTGAGACAGGAGAGGTCTGCTGCGCCATGTGGGTCACCTCCCAGGCAGACTGGGGAATCGAACTCATTCTGCAGTGGCTAACAATAGATTGATAGCGCTGTGTTTAACCCCTGCACCACCAGGGAGGCCCCTGTAATATTATTTTTAAAAAGAATAAAATGCCAGTGGATATCTATAAGATAGAGCATACCTTATATGAATCCCAGCATATGAAACAACTAAAATGGGAATTGTCCTACTTAAACTAGGGGTGGGGACCAGAACCTGTCTCACCTAGCTTCCCTCATTGTTTGACTGAAGCCTCTGAGATGATTTCACAAAGCAAGAGTTCAAAAATCACATTTGAAGAAACAGGCTTGTAGATTCTTTGCTGTGGCTGCCTGATCAAGGCACGGGATAATCGCAGCATACCCTGAAACCATGAGGAAATAGCCTCTTAAAAGCTACACTTGAATCAACACTGACAGTCTACACCTAAAAGTGTTAAGTGATGACAGCCACTGCTAAGCACCCTGTGACATATGCAGAAACAGACTCAAGGGGGAGCCCTGGCTTTATCAAAGTCTTGAATATCAGGTTAGAGGTAGAATTTGAATAAGAATTAGGACCTTCTAGTTCTTGGCTTATTGTTTTTCCTTTTTTTTTTCTTTCAAAATCTGATTTTACATTGTCATTTTTCAAAATCTAATTTTTAAAAGACATTGCCATTTTTCAAAATCTAATTGCCTGCCTTTTTCTGCATGTCCCTAGTTTCCTAGAAATCTATAATGAACGAGTGCGGGATCTGCTGAAGCAATCTGATCCAAAAAGATCCTATACCCTGCGGGTCAGGGAGCACCCAGAGATGGGACCCTACGTACAAGGTGAGCCATTTTGGCCCTGCAGGTCTGATTCCAAACTGAAACCTGGAAAGGTCTTATGATAGTCAGTAATTCATAAAACAAATGTATGAGTGCTTTCTATGTGCCAGCCCCTATTACAGCAGGCACTGACTATAAGCCAATAAATAGAAATGACAGTCCTGCCATCATAGGTAAGCGTAAAATCTAGTCATAAAACTTAATTTCAAGTTATGATGAAGGCTAATAAAAGACAAACACAATAATAGAAAAGAACATTGGATGGGGTGGGTGACCCATCTACATGGGGCAGTCAGGAAAAGCTGCTCTGAATAGGTTACATCTGAAGCTGAAACTGAGGGGATTTAGGAGACAGTCGTGTGAAGAATGGTGAAGTAAAGGGGGAAAGTTTCAGATTTAGGGAGCAGCATGAACTAGGTATCTCAGAGATGGGTGTGGTGCTCTTAAGGATGCCGATGGGTCTAAAGCTTGGTGAGAAGAAAAGTCTCATGGAACAGTGTCGGGTCAGGGGTCACAGATTCAAAGAAGAATGTACTGACTCCCATATTACCAGGTATCCTTTGGAGTGGTGATATTCAAGAAGATGGGGAGATGTCAGACATGGTGTAGGGTTTGAGCTGCTGCTTCATCATCAAGCTCTAATATGTGGTAGCATCTGTTTTATTTCATCTGTCTAGATCTTATTATTAAGTAGGAACAGTTGGGTTCTTTTGTGGAGGAAGTTTTTATTACCCTTTCAGGTCAGTCAATAAGAAGTAACATATGAATTTTATGCTCCTAGTCCCAAAGCAAGGAGCTAATTTCACTCCCTCAAGGAGAGGGTCATGAAAGAGGAGTAACTGGTCTCTTCTCTGATCAAGCCATGACCATAAAAGACTCAGTATGTGTGCTAGTCACTGATTCTGCTACCAGTGTTTTTCCTGAATGTGCCAGCCTAAATGGCAGTCTGGGAAAAACAACAAAAATGGCATTTACTTGGTTGGGATCCAGTTGGAGTTTCCTCTGTAAAACTCAGAGGATATGCATTTTTCTGGAAAGCAATACTTTGAAAGCAGACTGTGAGTTGATACAGCATTGTCATAACTTTTCTACTTTTTCTCTTATTTTAATATGTGTGGGAACTAGACGACACCTCAGACATAGTGCAAGTGTCCTGTATATACAGATGATAAAATGTCCCTAAAAAAGTTAAGGGACATTTACAGAGTGATAGAGCTAGTTGGGCAAGGGTTGGAACTAGGAACCTTGCCTCGGAAGTGGGGACAGGAATGGGACAGGATCCTGTACATCAAGGAGAGCCTTTGATCAGCATAGTACCTAGAGATGTCAGTTCATGGGAGGTCAGATAGCTTGGCCCATATGTCCAATGTCAATAACAGGATCAGGCCTAAAAAATACCAGGGCTCTTTTGGATCCTTTCATAGTTGAACCCTTGGTGGGAGGGATGTTTGATAAGAAGTGATATTAAACTGGTAGGAAGGCTTTTACAACTTAGGGTGAAAAATCTGTGCTTTTTCAAATCATTACAAATCCAGGAGGATGTCCCTCCATTTCTTCATGAAAGAGCCATGAACTCAGATAGCACAGAACCAACAATGGAAGCTGAGGCCCTGAATCGTCACAGTGAACTGTGTTGTTCCCATTACTGCCTCTGATAGCACTACGGAAAACTGATTTTTTTTTTAAAAAACGTGAAAGAGTTACACAATCTGAAGAGAAACCAGAGTATAAAAAAACTTATTTTTTAAATGTCTGCTTTATTTTTTCATTTATATTACCTGCCTACCTGTTTGTGTCCATCTGTATCCATCCATCATCCACCCTTCTATTTAGCTGTCTCCAGGTTCATACATTCTGTGAATGTGGAAAGGAGCTTCTGAATTGAAACCAATTCTGCCGGAAATTACTGAGTCCTTACTAGAGTCTTAGACTGTTGAGGAAGCAATGGGAAATATGAAAATACCATAAGGCCTTACAAGAACTTGTAGTTCAGTTTGGAATTGTGAGATGAAACTTGGTGGCTGCCTAAAACTAAAGGTATAGCCTGTTACTTTCCATTTAAAAGTGTATTAATTAGATGATAGATTAGGTTGAAATCTAAAATGTACAGGGCTCTACCTAAAGCACACATAAGCAGCCCATGGCAACAGAGTCTAAAGTGATATATATAAGTAAAACAAAGACAAAATTGTATTTTTGCTTTGGCTTTTATTTTTATTTTTTTATAAGATTTATTTTTATTTATTTATTTTATTTATTTATACAAGCACTGGGTACAGTCAGAAGCGCGGGAGGGTGAGAGAATTCACCAGAGCGGGGAGCAAAGCAGGCAGAAGGACTGAAGTACACTGCTGAGGGGAGCAGCGGGCGGCAGGAGAGGTCTGCGCGCCATGTGGGACCCTCCTCCGCTGGCCGGGCAGCAGCCGGGGATTGAACCGGCGCTGCAGAAGCTGCGGGCAGCTTCGCAACCCAGCGCTCAACCGCTGCGCCACCGGGGTAGGCCCTGGCTTTTATTTTAACATAAAAGAATGATATAAAGCAGGTGTTGGGGGTAATTGAGAGTCTGGGAAAAATTATCTGTGTAAACCTTCAAATAAGAGTTTTTCTTCTTTTTAATTTTTATACCTTTTTCCCCTTTGTCTTTCTGCACTGACCAGGACCTCTGGTACCATTTTAAGTAAAAGTGGTAGCAGTAGCTAGTCTTGTTCCAGGTCTTATTCCCAGTTTTTTCAGTATCATCATTTTACTATTAAAATGTGACGTTTCCATTAGCACTTTTTTTTTTAGTACTTTAAAAAAATTTTAGGGGCCTCCCTAGTGGTGCAAGGGGTTAAGTCTCAGCACTATGAAGCTATCTGCAGCCACTTCAGCACAAGTTCGATCCCCTGCTAGGGAGCTACCCACATGGCATAGCAGACCTCTCCTGTCTCACCCACTGCTCCCCTCAGCAGGGTATTTCAGCCTGTTCCCTGCTGTCTGTGGTGAATCCTCTCACCCCCAAATCTCTGGCCCATACCCCAGCTCTTGTACGCATAAATAAATCTTAAAAGAATAACCACTATTTAAAAAAAATTTAATTTTGGGGTTACATTTGTGCTTTTCCATATTCACACATGTTCCATTTGTTTGTTTTTTAATAATCTTTATCATCTGCTCTCAAACTGTGATGAAGGGCCAGTTTTTAAAAAATTTCCAATTCACAGCGCACTAATACTTTTATAAAATACAGTAAAGATGAGTTACTTGAAAAATAGAAAAGATGTCTTAATTATAGGCCAAATTCTTCTGGATTCAAAAGATGTAAAATTACTCTGTCATATTATTATAAAAGTTTCTAGCACTCTCAATGTCTGTACTTATGTCACTGCAGACCTGTAAACAATTTGAGAAGTCACTTCAGTCTGTGGACCACCCTTGGGTGGTAACATCAACTGATTAAGGGAATGTTTTAAGCTTACTAAAAGGTTTTACTTTTTAATTTTGAAACAAATCAAACTTTTGGAAGAGTTGCAAGTACAAAGAACTTTTTTTTCAAATGATTTGCTGGAAAACTACCAATCTAATGACTTGTTTCCCCTGATGATTTTAGAGTGTGTTTCTTACAAATGAGAATGTTCTGTATAATTACAGGAGGCCTTCATTATTTCAAAGAATCTTGGCAGCATTTAATGTCCTCCTGATGTTGAACAAAATGTTATTTGGGGACCTGATCTCATTATACATCATTCATTTGAAGTCGTAGTTTCCGAGAATCAATGGTATTAAGTGAGGACTGACTGTGTAACATAGCCATCAAAATCAGAAAATTAACTTTGATATATTATTCCATATAATTCTTACATCTCATTTTGCTAATTGGCCACTTGAGAATCGTGGGCATTAATTAGAGTCTCTGGAGTTCTTCCATGGGAAGTGTCCTCAGTCTTTGACTTTCACACACTAAACACCATCAGGTAGTGTATAATTTTGATTTGTCCCATTACTCATGATTTTTAATGTCCCTATGGTGGTGTTTTCCAGGCTTCTTCATTTTGAAATTGCTCTTTTACTTTTTAAATTGAATATTTTGTAGGGCAGTACTTTGAGACTATGCAACTATCTGGGTATCTTCATCATACTTCCAGTTTATGTCAGTATGCTTTCCCATTTTATTCTGTGGGTGACACTCTTTTCTCTTGATGCCCAAATTATGCCAGATTTAGTCAATGAAATCCTCTTCAAGTGCACTTCTGTGACATTTTGACATATCACCCTCATTCCTGAGCACTTGCTTTCTGGCACGCAGAATGTTTCAGGCTCATTTACTTTCCCTCCTTCAGTCTCGGAATCATTCATTTTCCCCAGGAGTTCTGTTCCCTTTTTTTTAACTGAAAAGTAGTATTTAGAAGCCAAGATGTAAGTGCTAGGTACATTCATTACTTTTGAGATGTTGTAGTTCTTAAACCCTCTGAATGAACGGATCTAGGTAAATAAGTTCACAATAGTACCTTCGATTGTGATCCAGCACAACAGGGCTCATTCTGGATTTCTCCTTTCTGTATTTGTAATTCCTGAATCCATTGGCAGAAATACTTTTTTGAACTGCTCCACTCTGTATAATTATTCTCTTTGCCATTGATGTCCTTTCTTATGTGGATGCCTCACCCGGCTGTGTTTTGACACCCTGTGATCCACACCTCACCACAGGAAGCCCTGCACACCAGGCCCGGGTTCCAACAATCTGTACCACACTCATGTGCAGCATAACATTTATATGTTACTTCTTACTGACTGACCTGAAAACAAAACCCAAACACCTTGCAGATGCTTCCATACCCCCCTTGGTCTTTGTATCCCTTTGCTGGGCCTTCTGACATGAAAACTCTGTTGACACCATTTTCTCTGGGGGATTTGCCCTCCTCTGAGCTCGGATTTGGTCAGTAGCCACCCTTAAGGGTTTGCTTTCATGCCCTTTTCCCCTGCCTAATGTATACCTATTTGACAGTGGCCAAATTCAAGTCTCACTCCTCCATGGGGTCTGCCTTGACCACTCCTCTGACCTGAGCATCTATTATCTCTTATGTGGCACGTGGCCTTTCATATATTCATGATTGTAAACGGTGGGGGTAGAGACATGTGTACTGCATGTTTCATCTACCAAACTGGGTCTGCCGTTTTGGGGGACACATAGCACTGAGTTACCTCAGGAACTTAGTGAAGGCCCAATGAACTCTCATGAGAAGTTCACTAATAACCTATATAGGAAAATTGTTAAGTAATTATTATCATTATTGTTAGCATTTCTTTATCCATCCTAGAACATAATCTCTCTGAGGGCAGAGACCTGCATTATCAGAGCCTATTATAGTACCTGAAAGTAGGCCTCCAAGAAATATTTATTGATTTAACTTATTATCAATGAATTTAGCTAATTTCCCAAAGGTTATCAAATGATATGAGATGTGAAATACTAAGTTAAAGATCTAAAAGAAAAGGTTAAGTATTACCGAATATTTTATGCAATTTCTTTTTCCTCCTCCCTCACAAATCTGATAGGTTTATCTCAACATGTAGTTACCAACTATAACCAAGTAATTCAGCTCTTGGAGGAGGGAATAGCAAACAGGTAACGGGTTTGTTTGTTCCTGTTTTTTTTTTTTTTTTTTTCAGCTTCATTCTCTGTCCTGTGTTCTCATCCCCTTTGGAGTGTATGATGGTACTTGTCTCTGCAGCTCCCACATTCACAGTCAGGAGGCCTTTCTCAGAACAGTAATGCATATAGGGCAAGGTGCAGTTACCAAGATTTAGTGCTCTTCTCACCAGTAATGAGACTGGAGTTTGTTCTTAATATAACAACATGAGGCAGTAAGTAGAGTCACTATATGCTTTGTCTTATAATACACAACGTCAGCTATTTGGATCAAACAAAAGATTATTGCCTGCACTGGCATTTCATCAGACTTGCTCAAATATAGTGTAAAATATTTTAGGAAATTATTTTTCTTCTAGTTTTGCATATTTGTAAAGATTTCCCCAAAAAGACTGCTTTGAATCTGCTATGAATAAGCATTTCAGGCTCTCTTAAAAGCCATTGTAAATTGTGATAGCATTCCAATTTTTAGTTACTTTGAAATAGCCAGACTGTTATTTATACCTGAAAAAATAGCCCTTTTTCCTGAAAAATAAAGGAGGTTTTAGAGTCTTCTGTTTATCCTATTAATAGCAGGTACAACTTAATTGAATATAGAGAAAAAAATTTTAAATTCTACCTTTGGGTTTCACAGAACTGTCCTGGAGACACTTGTCTTTGGGCTTCAGGATATCTGAGTTACTTGCTCTTTAAGTGTCAGACTTCACTTTTTTCCTTTTATCCTTGAATCATGAGACCAGACTCTAGATTTTGCGATTTTCTTCAGTTCTCTAGCTCCTCTGAGAAAGAAGTCAATGAGATGGTCTTGAATTGAAGTATGATTGACTTAGACTTAAAGGAAAGACTCTCCTGACTTTAAGGGTTAATGTGGGATTGCATCACTCAGGGAGGCTCTGAATTCCATCTAATTAGTTCAGGATCTGTTTTCAGAGCCTTTTCTGGCACCATATGATTAATATTCTGTGTTTAATCACAACTTACTTTTGCTGTTTTTGAGCCTTCTTTTCCAGCAAGCTGTCTACTTCTGCTTATTTAAATTTTTCAGATGGGTTTGTTTGCCTTGGGTATCTTCTTCCAGGTTGCTGATATTCTAGTATCCCCCATTCAGCTCTAGCTTTTGTTTCTATTGCTTTTTTAAAAAATGTTTTAATGTGGTTTAGTATGTAGCTACTGTCCTCCCTGTTATACTCAGATATCAGGACCTCGCTGCTTCTGCCCTCTTTGAATCACTCTCCTAACTGTACTGGGCTACACATGGATGTTTTATGATTCTTGCTGTGACTCTCAACACTAACATTCCTTGTGCTCCCCGTGGATCCTTAAGGATCCAGGATTCATAAACAACCCTTGCCCTAATTGTCTTTTCTTGTATACACAGAATCACAGCAGCCACCCATGTTCACGAGGCAAGCAGCAGATCCCATGCCATCTTCACAATCCACTACACACAGGTTGGTTACTTCTTTTTAAAAATTTTTAAAAAGATTTATTTATGCATACAAGAACTGGGGTATAGGCCAGAGGTGTGGGGGGTGGGTGGGTAAGAGGGTTCACCAGAGACAGAGTGAGGAACAGAACAGGCAGATTGACTGAAGTACACTGCTGAGGGGAACAGCGGGTGAGACAGGAGAGGTCTGCTGCACCATGTGGTTTTCTCCCTGGCTGGCTGGGCATTGAACTCATACTGCAGAGGCTGCAGACAGCTTCACAGTGCCGTGCTTAACCCCTTGCACCACCAGGGAGGCCCACAGGTTGGTTACTTCTTATGTTTATCTAGATTGTTTCTTTCCTTGTCCCTTTTGCAAAATTTCTTGTCTCCCTTCCTATTGCTTTTCCTTTCTTCACATTTTGGCATGCACAGGTCCCCTGAAATTATTAGAATCTACATACAATCTATTCAGCTATATACCCAAAAGAGTAGAGGCATTTCTTCAAGACTAAACAAAATATTTTCTACTTATATGTTATTTTTAAGAAACAATTCAAAGAATTTCCATACCTATGTAATCAATGGACTTTACACAAAAACTAATATTGAAATGAAAATAATCATTAAAATTAAAAAGTGGAAGATTCATTTTCATTATGGTAGAGTGAGGAGGCCAACAAATCCTATCCCAAAAAGCAACTATAACCCTGGATAAAATTGTCAAAAAAATCCGGCAACACAAAATCCAAAAACACAGCCACTTCTCTGCTCTAAAAATAGACCAAAGTCATACAATAAATTGAGACTCATTTATTTAAGAAAACTACTAAATTGTGGATAAGAACAGTGCATATGTATGTATTGTTACTGGGCTTGTATCCCTACCCACTCCATCTCTGTCGATATGGTAGTTCAGTCAGGGGAGAAAAGACTGAAAACCAGCATCTCTATTGGGGCACTGTTCGAGGGGCTCACTTGACTTGATGATGTCAGTCAAAGTGGTGCCGTTGGTGGTGAGCTAATAAGGCTCCATGACCTAAAATTGTGTGTCTGTTTAAGGCAAGAAGTGAACCGACGCAGACAGTTAAATTGATAGAGCCATAAGGGGCTTGATTGACCCTCACACGTCCTGGCCTGAACAGAAGCTGTGCACATGCACAGCAGAGAATAAGGGGGCCCATGCTGCCCGCACAGCCCTGACTGACAGAATTTGCACTTACTTGCAAAAGAACGTAAAACATTAGAGGGCCCTGTGGCTAGTGAGTCTTGGGGTAAACCTAACGGCCCAAACTGTGAATGTGGGAAGATGCAGTGAAATGCCTTTTATGGTTCTTTCTCTGGTCAGAAGTCAGAAAGGGATTGAGCATATTTTTGCTGCTGGTGCTTCAGCAGTGGCATCTTTTGAATGATTAATCATTAGGAGAATGCAAATTAAAACTAAGTTAGATACCACTACCCACCTTTTAAATGACCAAGTTTAAAATGAATGATAATACTAAATAGTGGCAAGATGTATAGGAGCTGGATTTCTCATCCACTACATTACCGGTGGGAATGTAAAGTGGGACAACAACTTTGGAAAATAATTTTACAGCTTCTTAAAGATTTAAATAGCTATTTCTCCGCCAATACTGAGACATGCAGAGGCAGATGACACATTTAAGATTTGACTCTACCATCAACTGCCAAGGCAGAGGAAGGCCCTGCTGTTGGGGCAGGGGGAAAAGGCGGTAAGGGATGTTAATGCTGCTCTACAAGAGGACTGCCCACATCCACAGTGATCTGGCACGTGGAATTCAATGGAATTCAACAAGCATCAAGCCCATCTTTGTGTACTTGCCTCTAGCTATGATGAGCTTATGTATGTAGTTGGTGGAGGCTCTTGGTGCAAATCAGTCTACTGAAGGTTAGTGATGGCAAGAAACTGAGGAAATAAGTAGGCTTCTGTAAAATTGACAGAGGGGAAATCCTTGTAAAGCATAAACTGTAAAGTAACTGGTTGGGATTTTGTGGTAGTTAAAGATAATGGCAAGGAATCCCAAGCCAAGGATGTCATTGAGGAGTGCTTCAAATGCAAGAAATGAACAAATAAAAAAACTTGGCCTTGAAAACAAACATATTACCTACCATATGATCCACTCATTCCACGCCAGGGTATTTTCCCAAGAGAAAAGAAATCCTATGTCTACACAAATAGCAGTTTTATTTATAATTATCCAAAACTGGGAACAAGCCAAATGTTCATGAAGAGGTGAATGGATAAGCAGACCATGGTATATTCAAACAGTGGAATTCTACTCACCAGTAAACATGAATGAACTACTGATACATCCACAGAATGGATGAATCTTAAATAATAATGCATAATGAAAGAAGCCAGGTATTGCATTATTCCACCCATATTCTCTGTCCTGAGAAGACAAGTTGATAGAGAGTATTGGTGATAGCTGTCTGTGTTTGGGGGGTGAGAGTAGAGATTGAGTGCAAGCATAATTGAGGGAACTTAAGCATTATTGGAAATGATTTAAAATTGGATTCTGGAGTTGGATGTACATTAAAACAAGACAACAAAAAATCCACATTGAATTTTTTTAAAGAAGGAGTAGTATTGCTCTTGAGGTTTGGGTGCCCCTCACTAGAATAGATAGACAGAGAACTTGGCCCAGCAAGCTAACACACTGGCTCAGGCTAACAAGAGAAAAACCCCAGTGAAATCTCCCCACTTGCTGTGGGTCTCTACTGATGAGAGTCACAGCCCCCTGGAGAAGAGTCTAGCATTTTCCCAGTATATTGCCCTAACATTTCTGGTGCTCCTGAAAAGTGTGAGGCTCTCTTGGAGGTTTGCCCACTTACTTGGTGAAAGTCTGCTTGCATTTTTAATAACATAATGCCCCATGGCTTACTGGTTGTACCTGATATATATTGAGAACTCATCTGGTTCAAAGCTTATTAGAATACAGATGTCTTGAGTGGGTTGGCTAATAATCTAAAATATCACTTTGGTTAGCTGAGTGTCTGGGGGGAAGATCCCATTGTTCCAAATGATGAGCTTTGAGTGTATTTTCTCCCTTAGGCAATCCTGGAAAACAACCTCCCCTCGGAAATTGCTAGCAAGATCAACCTTGTGGACCTAGCGGGCAGGTAATTAGGATTTCAAAACCAAGGGGAATTACTCCCTTGACAATGATCTTGTTCTTGCTCATTTTATAGGAAATAGATGTGGACCAATCTTTTCCACATTTTAATGCAAAAGTACAAAAGAAACATTCTATGAATGCTAAACTAAAAAATATGGTTTTCCAGGGATTGAAAAATTCTTCAATTTCAATATTAGCTGCTTATTAAAAACACCTGGAACCTTTAAGAATTCCCAGTGTCTAGACTCTACCTCAAACCAAATAAATTATTAGTGGGGGTGGGGGGCTGGCATCAGTAGTTTTTAAAGCTGACCAGTTTATTGTAGTAGACAGCCAGGATCAGAAACCCCTGCTCTAAGTGGGGGTAACTGAATTTTAGAATTCAGTTCTAGAAATAAAGCTTACCATCTTATAATGAACTGACATTCTTCTGTTTCTTTATCCCTTTGACTTAGTATTGATCTCAATACATTACTTTATTTATTTATTTTTTTTAAAAACCATTCAAGGTCAGTTTTATTTTTTTTTTAAAGAGGCATGTATTTATTTATCTATTTTTATTTATTTGTTTGTTTGTTTATTTATACAAGCACTGGGTACAGTCAGAAGCGCGGGAGGGTGAGAGAATTCACCAGAGCCAGAGCGGGGAGCAGAGCAGGCAGAAGGACCGAAGTGCACTGCTGAGGGGAGCAGCGGGCGGCAGGAGAGGTCTGCGCGCCATGTGGGACCCTCCTCCGGTGGCCGGGGAGCAGCCAGGGATCGAACCGGCACCACAGAGGCTGTGGGCAGCTTTGCAACCCAGCGCTCAACCGCTGCGCCACCGGGGAGGCCCTCAATACATTACTTTAAAAAAAGTTTTATAAAATATTGTGGCATTAGAGAGACTATACCACTATATAAGTATTAGAGTAGTCACATATCCAGAAAGAAGAAAAATGATGAAATAGGCAAATTTTCTTGTCTTATAACTGCTAAATAATTAATATGTTACAGCAGTTCCTTTAAAACTAAGTGCTGTCTGGAAGAAGTTATGTCAGCAAACTGGAAATATAAATTTTTAATATTTCCCATTTGCTTAAAAAAGGAATTTGAGATGTTGACAGTTAATGACACAGATACCATTAATCCTTTAATATGTGCAATTAAAACAATAAAGGCAGAGGGGGAGGGTAAATACCAAAAAGTTATGCTGATATTATTACTATAGTAATAATATAATATAGTAATATTATTACTAATATTATTACATTAACTGAAAGTTCTCTGGTGGCAAAATAAAACAGAACTGTAAAGAATGACTTAATTTTTATTATCTGAGAAACAAGAATGTCAGTTCCTTATGAGATGGTAATCTTTTTTTCTAGAACTGAATTCTTAAAAAAAAAATTATTGTGTGGTTCTTTTACATGATGTCCAACATGATGTCGAGTGTCTTTCAACAGCATTGAAAGGATAGTGTCTTCTTGTTTGCTTTTGTGTTTGCTGTCATTGTCTGTGTTTTAGCGAACGAGCAGATCCCAGTTACTGTAAGGACCGGATCGCTGAAGGAGCCAATATCAACAAGTCTCTCGTGACTCTGGGAATTGTCATCTCCACCTTAGGTATTTTACTGATACATTGCATCAGCAGAGTGGGAAGGGGACTTTGGAAAATAACTGATTTTCATCATGTCAAATGAGGTAGATCTTACAAGATTTCTTTTGATAAAGTTACCTTCTGGTTTGGCCATGAAACCATTAATATTATTGGCCATTAATATTTGTCTGTGGTTTTAGAACACATTCCAACACTGTCATTTGAAAAAGAGGGAATACTAAAAAATTGTGTAGCTAATATATTCCATGTCGTGAATCCAAAGTCTATTTCAGGGCTCAAACTTAAAGCATCCAGTCATATAGAGAGAGAGATTGGGAAGTGCGATGCTTAAGTCTGTTTTTCCAACCAATATTGCTGTAGCACATTTGTTTCATATTTTTTCTTCCACTTTAATAATTCTTTGTCTTTTAAGCCCAGAACTCTCAAGTATTCAGCAGCTTCCAGAGCCTCAACAGCACAGCCAGTGATGGGGGTGACAGTGGGCTCCCCATCTCTCCTTCTGGGATCAGCAGTGGAGGGGGGCCCTCCCGGAGGCAGTCTTACATCCCATACCGGGACTCTGTGTTGACCTGGCTGCTGAAGGACAGCCTTGGAGGCAACTCCAAAACCATCATGGTTGCCAGTGAGTGGATGCTGGAGCTGGTTCTGTGTTGAGACAGGGTCTCGGCCTCAGAGAAAGGTTCATGACAACCCATTTCATCAGAGGACCCTTATCATTGAAATTAGCAGTGAGACAAGTGCTTATGGGCTGGGTTGGATGGACTGGGTGTTTTTTTTTTAACTTTTTCTTTCTCTCTCAGCTGTGTCTCCTGCACACACTAGCTACAGTGAGACCATGAGCACTCTGAGATATGCATCCAATGCCAAAAACATCATCAATAAGCCACAGGTCAATGAGGTGAGACCTTCATCTGCTATCCTGGTCTGGTATGGTTTACGCAAAGTTCTTTTTTTTCCTCATTGATTTCTTTCTCTTTGTACTCAACACTCCTGAGAATAAGGGAGTGAACTTCTTTATTCTAGTCTCATACCCTTTTCTCAGATCCTGCTGACTTCCTTCAGCAAACTTTTATGAAAAATTTATTTTAGCTATTTCTCTAAGACCATTCCTCTCAAGATCCCTGGTACATGGTTGCCAGTACAAGAAAGATCATTTGAAAGTTTCTGAGTTTACTTTCACTTTGCATTTATGTTGATGTATTTTTCCTATTTAGTCTTTTTCTTTTCTACGCAGATTACAGTTACTGGGCTGATAGGGGATTCATTAATTTTGAAATTTGAAGAATAATGAGAATTTTCCAAAAACTACATATCTGCTTTGCCATTTCAGTGAAAAGTTTCAGGGCAGAGATCACAAACTGGTGATTAGATAATGCCCATCTTGGGTTGCTTTAAAAGGAAGTGGAATTAGGGAGGTACTAAATTCAGTCACAGCACTGGACGATTAGCACCTACCACTTCTACATACCCTGGTGTTTGTGTGACCTGTCTGGCCTCCTCCTCTGGGACAGCGATTCTCAAACTTCAGTGTACATCACAGTTACCTGGAGGGTTTATTAAAAGCTGGGCCCCAGACCTTAAGAGTTTCTGATTTAGTGGGTATTGGGTAGAGGCAGAGGAGCATCTAAGAAGTTCTTAGATAAAGGTGACGCTGATGCTGGGAAAATTATTCCAAATGAGGAACTTCTTCCGAGCTAATAGTAGGTGGCATCTCATAGCTGACTGAGACCCGACATCAATGTTGACCGAGTTGTCTGTTTCAGGACGCAAACGTAAAGCTGATCCGAGAACTCAGGGAAGAGATTAGAAGACTGAAGGCTGTGCTGCTGAGCTTCGAACTGGTAGGCACAGCTGAAACTTCTCTACTCAAGAGCCCCTTTTCTTCTACAGAAAATCTCTGCTGCATTCCTGTTCTCAGCACCGGTGGGGCAGAGGCAGGAGCAAAGACAGGCCAGGGATTACTCTGATTACCTGAATGGTTTCAGAAGGCCTGGGCATCCTCTCCTTAGATCTCTGGCGCCCAAAGGGAATTTGCCTTAATGGCTCCTGTTATTTATGTGGCAAGAATGGGGCCCTCCAGAAAAATATTCTTGGAATTCTCCTTTGTACCAATCTGAGCCCAAATACTAAGCTTCTGATTCGTTTCTGATTTTAATGATAAAGCTTTTCCTTTATCCACACCTTATCTTCCTTTCTAAGGGTAAGGGTGGGGTCTACAAAGGACATGTCTATTTGTGCAGAGAAACTTCAGCCCATTGAATGAGGAAAAAGATGAAAATCTGAAGGAGCTGGTTCTCCAAAATGAATTGAAGGTGGGTGTGTCGTGTGGACTCAGTTGTGGTTTTTTTAAAAATTTATATATATTTTACATCATTGTTCATTTTTTAAGCAATGTTTGATTTTTCCCTCCCTCAGGTGTAGTCCTCATAGAGTTTCTTTCACCAATGCACCCGTGCACCATCACCTCAGTCCCCTGTGCTCCTCCCTCCCTCCCTCTGATCCCTCTCCCTCCTCCTGCCCTGCAGGCTCTCTCTGGTTTATAATTGTCTTTTTGTTTTTGTTTTGTTGTGTTGTGTTTTGTATTGTTATTATTTTTTCCCCCTAGTGGACTCAGTTGTGTTTACCATCACTCTGGGAACAGGTTCTGACATCCCTCCTTTATTGCTGGACCAGAGCTGCTTGCTTATAAGGACACGGAGCCTTATTTAGTTTAGAGACACTTTTTTGTCTCCAGTGAGCCTTGAGAGAGGGCATGTACTTCTTTAGGGACTGGTGACCGACTTTTTGTTTTCTCAGGAGTTCATATCTCACTTCAGTGAATGTAGCCCAGGGAAAAGAAAATTATTTTCCAGTCAATAAATCAGCCAACCCACATGTATTCCTTTCTAGTGTAAATCTACCAACCAGTGTGATTTAACTGAACTGCAGATAGATATTCAGCATGATGTCGTAAAAGATACCAGAATCTCCCCACATCCCGTTGCTTCAAGTCTGGTTGGAGACACACACAAAGAATGGTTAAATGTAATAACTGTGAGTTAAACAAAAAGATTTTAGGGAAGGAAGAAATCATTACAGCTTAGCATTTTCAGTGCAGGCATCATAGCGCTGGAACTAGAAGTCAGAGAACTTAACCTAGACCTTGAATGATTTTCTTAGCGTTTATTAGATGGAGAGATGGAATCAGACATTTTGAGTGAGGGAGAGATCACATTAGCAAAGTCAAGGAACCGAGAGAGTGGAGTGGTGTGAGAGTCCTTGTGGATACACGTAGTATGAGGAAGGCTAAGTTGCTAAAATAAGTGCTCATGGCTGGAGATGGTGGAACTAAGATTAGAGCCAGCCTAGGATGTTTGAACTTGACATAATAGGATTAATCATAGTTTCTTAAAACAAGTTGGTGATGTAACAAAGGTGTATGATGGGGAAATTAACATGACAGCTGTATGTAGGATGACTCTAAGGGAGAGAAAACTGGAAACAAACAAATCAGACAGGAAAGAGATCGTAGTTCTGACCCAGAGAGGGCCTGGGTCTCAATCTAATTTTGGGAAATTAGATTAGATAGTGGTTCCTAGGGACATTTATTTATTTATTTAAAGATTTATTTATTTATGCATGCAAGAGCCTGGGTGTAGGCCAGCACTGTGGGCAGTGAGAGAATTCCCCAGAGACAAAGTGGGGAGCAGAACAGGTGAATTGACTAGAAATGCACTGCTGAGAGGAGCAGTGGGCGGGACAGGAGAGGTCTGCTGTGCCATGTGGGTCACCTTCCTGGCCAGGAATCGAACTCAAGCTGCACTGGCTGCCGATAGCTTAATAGTGCTGAGGCTTAAGCCCTTGTGCCACCAGGGAGGCCCTCCCAGAGACATTTGAAAGGAAAAAATGGCAGGCGTTATTTGGTGATAGGTTCAACTTAGATACCACAACCAGATGTCCCAATTTTCAATATTCTGTTGTATTATCCTTATACATTATTAAAGTATCTTGGCCTTGTCAATATTTTTTTTATGTTTAATATATTTTATTTTATATAATTCTTATATCATCTTTCTTTTTACACAATGCATTGAATTTCTTTTGGTTATATTCCCCATACAATTGCTCCCCCCTTATTTTGATGGCTTTGTCAATATTTTGTTACCCAGACTTCAGGACTATATCACACATCCAGAAATTTCTCAAAAAGTTCTTTATTTAGACTTTTCTGACTTGTGTTCTGACTTTTGGCTCAGCAACATATTCCTCTATACATAAGAGGTGAAGGAAGAAAGTCAAAATAATCTAGGCTCACTAGTTTTTTTTTTTTTACATTATAGAAACTGTAGGCCTCAACCTAAATCCATCATTGCTGGCTTTTTTTTTTTTTTAACTATTTTTTAAATTTTATCCAGCCTTTTAATTGATTTTTTAAAATTTTATATATATATTTTTACATCATTTTTCATTTTTTGCGCAATGGATGCATTTTCATCTTGGTTATAGTCCCCATACAATTCCCACCCCACCTTGTTTTGATCCTGCTCCCTTCTCCCCTCCAGCTGTAGTGTTTCCCTAGTTTATAGTTACTTGTTGGTTTTGATTTTTACTTTATTATAATTAGTCTTTTTCCTGGTCCCTTATTTAGGTTTTCTAAATTCCTGGTATGAGTGAGACCATCAGTATTTTTCTTTTTCTTTCTGGCTTATTTCACTGAGTGTGATCCCTTCTAGCTCCATCCATGTTGCTGCGAATTGCATGAGTTTATCTTTTTTGATTGCTGAGTAATATTCCATTGTGTATATGTACCACATCTTCTTGATCCAGTCATCTATTTTTGGACATTTGGGTTATTTCCTTAGCTTACCTATTGTAAATAGTGTGGCTATAAACATAGGGGTACAGGTGCCCTTTTGAATTAATGTTTCTGTGTCCTTTGGGTAAATACCTAAGAGTGGAATAGCTGGATCATATGGAAGCTCCATCTTTAGATTGCGGAATCTCCACACAGCTCTCCATAGTGGTTGGACCAGTTTGCACTCCCACCAGCAGTGCAGGAGAGGAAATGCAAGTGGCTAGCAGGCATATGAAAAAATGTTCAACATCATTGCTGGCTTTGTGACATGAGGCATGTAGGAGTGGGCCAGAGGGGAGAGAGGTTTAGCAGTGCCTCTAGGGAGCTGTGTGAGGCTGGCTGAACTATAAGCCACAGTGCCCTCCCTATCACCTCTGCCAGGCCTGAATCCAGCCCATTCTATAAATGTGTTATGGCTACCCTGTCATTTTACCATTTTCAGACTTCAACTCAGTGGTCATAACTAAAAGTAGTACTTCTAGGGTACATAAAATACTTATACCTGAACTTGGCATCGTTTCATATTTCTTAAGTATTCCATTTAGGAGACAAGTACTTAGCTGAATCCAGTTCCTTTTTCTGGGCCTCCTACTTCTCCCATTCCTAGAATAAGCTTCCTGCTAAGACATCAGTTTCTACCAAGAGAAGAAAAAATACTCAGTAATATTTGTTAGTGTCTCCAGGTAGTCTTAGCTTAAGGCCTTTTCCGAAAACTCTTGCTGATACATAGCCCTCAGTATAGTCTTGTTATGTGATTTGTTAGTTGTTATTTTGTTTCTATGTGGTGTTTCAGAGCAGTTTCTTCATTCTACCTGGGGAGGTTGTTCTTGGTGCTTTCTGGGTCTCTGAGCCATGTTAGAGCTCAAGGTACTGCACTGTGGGAAAGAAGTTTAGGTCATAAAAGGATTCCCAGTATAGATCACATAGAAGGAGGATGGGGGAAAGGAATTATCAACAGAGATGCCTGCCTGAGTAGCAATCCAATTAATTTTTAAAAATAACATTTCTGGTGTTTTTTTCTAATTATCAAAAATCCATGCTTATTACAGAACACTTTAAAAATAACATTTATTGAGACATTTTCTATTTATGAAAATCACACTTGTTTATTGAAGGACACTTAGAAAACACAGAGAGCTCACAGAGGAGGTGCAAAGACTTTGTGTGGGCTTTGAATAGTACTAGTGAGGGAAGTGAGAAAGTAATGCCGCAAGGGTCTCCCTGGTGGTGCAGGGCTTAAGTCTCAGTGCTATCAAGCTATCTCCAGCCACTGCGGCCTGAGTTAGCTCCCATTCCAGGGAGCTATCCACATGCCAGAGCAGACCTCTCCTGTGTCCCACTGCTCCCCTCAGCAGTGTATTTCAATCAGCCTGTTCTGTTCCCCACTCTGTCTCTGGTGAATCCTCTCACCCCCTGAACCTTTGACCTACACCCCAGTTCTTATATGCATAAATAAATCTTAAAAAGAAAGTAATGCCATGAGGAAGCAGGCCAAAATGACTACTATCTTTTAATATGCTCCTCATACTAAGCATCTGAGACCACCTCCCCATCTCTGCAGATCGAGCAGCTGACTAAAGACTGGACCCGGAAGTGGAATGATTGGAAGGCCCTCTTGGAGCAGTACAGAGTGGACATCAACAGGAGGAGGGCCGGGGTGGTCATCGACTCCAGCCTGCCACACCTCATGGCCTTGGAGGATGATGTGCTAAGCACAGGTGTTGTGCTCTATCACCTTAAGGTAAGCAGGCCCTCTTTCTGAGCCACTGGCCCCAGAAGCCAAGGAGTTTTTAAAAAGTCAAGGGCAGCAGACACGTGTCTATGAACTGAGACAGATGGCAGAGAGCTGCCTGCAATTTCGCTCTCAGGAAACTGGGTTAGTCAACCAACTGTGATCTGTTTTACTTTTGTATGAATAGAGAAGGCTACTGGAAAGCGGAACAATCATTTATTCTTCACATGCTACTTCTGTTGCTCTTATATAACTTTTATTCTTGTTGCATTAATTTCCTCATTTTAAAAGTAAGAATGATACGGCTTACATTCCTTTTCTGGCTTCCTCAAGTAACAGGGCTGCAGTCACAGGGTGAAATCATAACCTCAGGATCCCACCGGTTCTTCTGAGCGCTCAGACTCAGGCTGCTCACTAATGACCCTCAGAGGCTAAAGGAGCAATCAAAAGATCTGCAACAGTTTCCCCCCCATATATCCCCATTTAATTCAACCCCCAAGTCAGTGAAAAATGCACCTCTTACTTCTCTACTGGATTTACCTGGGAAAGATGGAAGATCAGAGAAAGATATACAGGAAGCCTGAAGACAGCACAAGGGAGAGCCCCAGAGTTGAAGAAAGATTGTGGCTCTTTGTCACATGGTTCTTTGTCACCTGAGGCCATGTCCTTATTTGTGAATGAAGCAGTTTGTGAGTGGGTGACCATGGTAGACCGCAGCTTCTTCTATCCTGTCCTCCTCAAATATGTTTGGCCCTCTGGGGGGGGACAGCCCCCTGTGAATGGCAGAACTTACCACGTGGCCACAATCCCATTGTTCATTGAAATTCCAGCCTTCATTCTCATACTGGCCCCAGCTGACATTTTTTTTTTTAAAAAAAGATTTATTGGGTACAGTCAGAAGTGCGGGAGGGTGAGAGAATTCACCAGAGCCAGAGAGGGTTGCAGAGCAGGCAGAAGGACTGAAGTACACTGCTGAGGGGAGCAGCGGGCAGCAGGAGAGGTCTGCGCGCCATGTGGGACCCTCCTCCAGTGGTCGGGGAGCAGCCGGGGATCGAACTGGCGCTGCAGAGGCTGTGGGCAGCTTCGCAACCCAGCGCTCAACTGCTGCGCCATCGGGGAGGCCCCCAGTTGACATTTAAAAGGAACAAAGCACTTATGGGGGGTATGAAATGCTGCTGTGACCCCTGCAAGAATGAACCCCTAATGCTGCAGCCATGGGCATGAGTCATTAGCTTGTCATGTTTAGAAAGTCTGTGTTCTCTAGATCAGCCCTCAGGGAAATTGTCAGAGATTGAGCCTTTCAGAGAGTGAAAATAGTTTATTTTCTGACACACAGAGCATAAATTATCTCAGTGAAAATGCCTCAGGCATATGTGACTGCTGCCTTAACAACAGACCTAAATAGCAAGAGTCTGTACATCCTTCTGTTAGAACCACTGGGAGAGGCTGGGGTTCAGAAAGAGGCCAGATCCATGGTAATGTTCCATGTTGGAGTAGAACCACTTTGCTGTGCTGGTTGATTGTGGAAAGAGCAGATGAAGCTAGAGGATGGTAGAGCTCCTTGTTAGCCGCAGAGTGAAAGGATGAGACTCTTAGACTGAATTGTAGATGTAAAGACAAATGCCAACCTCATCTGAGGGAGCCCCTCTTTTCATCGCTGAATCAGTGCGCACTGAGGGCGGTGCTCCCGCTGTGGTACATTTCCTGTGAACCTGGGCATGAGGTTTCAGTTTCCTTCTAACCGTGCATTTCTGCATTTTATGAATCCATCTGCCACCGCTTTGTTTGTTTAGATCCTGGTTTAGGTAATAGTGTTATAAGAATCACCCAGGATTCTCTGTTTTTTTTTGCATTTGCTTTGCTAACTTGGTTATAGACCTGGAACCAGTCCCTGGCAGTTTCTTGGGAGCTGTTCTCCTCGGTCACCTAAGGGAAGCACGTTGGGTGGACATGGGTAAGGGGGGAGGTGGAGCACAGGTGGCTGATGTCCTGGGCTTCACCCTCACAGTTGCCTTCGTGCCAGCAAGCTCCCTCAAAAGGAGGCATAGGGGGAAGCAAGCTCAGGAGGTAGCTTAGTCCTTATTACTTTTTGGGTAGTTCTGCCCTGCAGATCTAGAAGTTGTGACGTGCTATGGACTTTTCATCCTTTGGGAACAAATGTGCCTCATCATCGGGGCTGATCCTGATCCATAGCGAGGGTATTGAACCCTAGCCCATGACTCTTGTTTGCAGTGTTTGTGGAGCTAGCTTGGCTCCAGCCGCCCTCAGGGACAGAGCAGGAAGGAGGGCTCTGGCTGGCTGTGCATGGAGGGCCACAGTGAGGCCCACACCTTGTTCTTGACTTTAAGGAGTCTTCCTTCTCAGGAGCTGCTTAGGGGGAGCTACAGGGGCCTCCCTCCTTCTGGCTACTGTCAGGGTTGTCTAGTGGGGACCTCTGGGGCTACTTTTTAAATCATCAGTTACTAGGGAGGTGGTATGTGAGATAGGAAAAGCATAGGCTCAGAACCCAGGGGACCTGAATCTAGCCAAGAGTTCCCCCGTAGTGTGTGGCTTCCTTGGGCAGCTTGTCCTTCGTGGACTTCAGATTCCTCATCTATAAAAGGGGGGATAGTAAATTACCTGAATTTGGGGTTGTTGACAGATTAAGTAAGAGATGCCTATAGAGAATTGAGCGCAACATCTATAGGGAATGGTTATTAAATAAGTGACCAGTGCACATCTGAATTTCAGCGCCTCTGTTGCTGTGTCGCTGTCGCTGTCTTCCTTGACCTTTGTGGTCTTAAGCAGAATTGTCATAAACCAAGGGCCAGTGGCCTCATCTGCTACTAACCCAGTGATTCATTATACTAACTCCGGCTCCCCCTCCTCTCTTGTACTCTCTTCCAGTCCCTTTTGATTCTAGATGTGCTTTTCTCCTATTTGTGCTTCCCCCTTCTTAGAATCTGGTGTCAGTTAAACTTCATCTGCGGACCAAGAAGGTAAAAAGCCTGTGCCTCTTCTTCATTAACATGTGTCTCTGAGACCGATTTGACCAAACTTGGACACATTAGCCTGAGCCCCTTGGGTGCCCACATCCTCAGACTGGACAACCTCTGACCAAGAGCCATGCCTCTTCCCTAACTTCAGGCTGTGGGACAGGAAGGAGTTCGCAGCATTTGTTGCAGGGCTGGTGCTGCCTTGTCATATTGTTTGTCCCTGCTCTCAGGGACTTCCTGGGCTGCAGAGTGAGTGGGTAGAGCGGTCAGAACAGCCTGGACCCAAGTTGACAAGTGGTGTGGGCAGGTCTGGGAGCAGGGTGGGAGATGGTGATAACACCCAAATAGGTAGACTCCCCTTGATGCTCTGTTGCTTTGTGTTTTCACTAAAACAGCTTTGGTTTTTCCTTTAGGAGGGGACCACAAAAATAGGAAGGATTGACTCAGACCAGGAACAGGATATTGGTAAGTGACAGGACATGTGGGTCTGACACTCTGTGGCAGATATTGATGCCTGACAGGTTTCTTCAGAGGAATCTGAGAGACAGGAATCTTTGAAGCATCGAGGGGCCCCTCCTCTTTTTTTTTTTTAAAGATTTATTTATACAAGAGCTGGGGCACAGGCCAGAGGCGCAGGAGGGTGAGAGAATTCACTAGAGACAGAGCGGGGAGCAGAACAGGCAAGACTGACTGAAATACACTGCTGAGGGGAGCAGCGGGCGAGGCAGGAGAGGTTTGCCGCGCCATGTGGGTAGCTCCCTGGCCGTCCGGGAATCGAGCCCATGCTGCAGAGACTGTGGACAGCTTCACAACGCTGTGCTCAACCCGCTGCACAACCAGGGAGGCCCCGCACCTCCTCTTTTGTGGTGAGGTTCTGGGTCTGGGGCAGGGTTGAAGAGATCCACTCTGGGCTGGGGCGAGATCCAGGGTGGTGGAAGGTGGTGACTCCTCTTTTACTGTCATGGTGTGAGATCTTCCAGATGTGGATTCTGCTCTCGTAGGATGGAGGAGGGTGTTTCCTTTCATGTGCCCGTGCCCATGTGACCCCTACCTCTTTCTAGTCCTGCAGGGGCAGTGGATCGAGAGAGACCATTGCACTATCACCAGCGCCTGTGGGGTAGTGGTTCTGCAGCCTGTGCAGGGAGCCCGCTGCACAGTCAATGGCCGGGAGGTCACTGCCTCCTGTCGTCTGACCCAAGGTAGACGAGTCCACAGTCCCTTTTGTGCCAAGATGTGATAGACCAGCTGCGGTCTCGTGGCCACACCTAGAGAGCACAGTGAAGCAAGTTTATGGATGGTGCATCAGCCTCCCCCAGAGATCTGAAAATTTCCTAATATGATATCCTCTCATAAACACAAATCCTTCCTATAAACAAAAACTCCAATTCCAGGGCCCCAGAGTGGAGAATAACTCTGAAATTTCTAACTGTGTTTGTTAGCTCTGTGTCCTTGGGAGTGGCCCACCTCAATTTCCTCATCTGTAAAATGGGAGTAGTAAGAGGGTTGTTACGAGGAGTGAATAAAGTCCTCCAGGTAATGTTCTTAACATTGTTACCGGCGCTTAGTAAAGAGTATCACTATTATGACTGTTACCCATCTATCCAATTTCGTCTGTCCTTTGAGGCTGTGCTCAGATTCCCCCACTTCCATAAAGCAGTTCCTGACTGCCCCACCTGGAATTCACCTTGCTTTCCCTTGGAGTACCAGAGTTTGTCCTGTTCATGTCACTCATTCAATGTATAGACTACGTGCTACCCAATGACTACTCAGCTACACTGGCAGCTTGTTGAGGGCAGTGCTTCGTCTTGCAGAACAGTGTCCTGCATGTAGTATTCTTAAATGTAAGCAGTTACCTGACTTCTGTCTCTGGGCCACAGGAGCTGTTATAACCTTGGGGAAAGCACAGAAGTTCCGATTCAACCACCCAGCAGAGGCCGCTGTCCTGCGGGAGAGAAGGCAGGTTAGCACCGTGCTTTCCAGTCGACTCCCAGCGTATTCACTTGTCCTTTGTGCGGGAGGAGGTTGAACTGTCTGTTTCTGTGGAGGTGAAATCACTGTGATTTCCTCCCCATGCCCAGGCTGGAGCGGCTGTAGGTAACAGTGGCTCTTTGGAATGGCTGGACTTGGACAGAGATATCGCTGCCTGCCAGTTCGGTCTGTGCCCTTCACTTTGGAAGGAAAGGTAAGAAACAGCTGCTACTCATTCTGCAGTGCAACCTGCTGGTTTTGCTTCGGAGTTCATTACAACATGGGGTAGGCAGGAGATGAGTGTGCAGCCACGGGCTGAATGAGGCCTGGTCTGAACTGAGAGTCCCATGTGGGCAGATAACTTGAAGATGCTGAGTTGCTGCTTGCCTTTAGTTGTCAGGGAAGTAGTCCTGGCCTTCATTCATTTCCTCTTTGGTCTTGCGACTCTCTTCATCACTGAAAGAAGTATGTGGTTTAAGTTTTCCGTGGCCACTTTGCTTTATCATTAAGATGCAAATGTGATATGTTTGTAGATCTCTTTGACACTCCTTCAGAACATACCTCCTTGGTTCCCCCCTTCCATTCTGGTCTGCTGTGTGTGAGTTCATGGTGTGTGTCATGTAGCTTCCAAGTCTATGATGGCTTCCTCTTAGGTAGTGTGGGACTGAGAATCTTTTTTGCTCACAACCAAGACTCCAGAAATGCAAAAGAGGGGCAAGAACTCCAGGAACGATATCTTGGCGTTCTACCCCCTCATACCCACTTCACCTATAATCGGTGTATAAAGCATGGAGTCAAAGTTTCATATGGGACTAGTGGCAACTGCTTTTCTTTCTCAGTCATTCTTTATCCATTTCCACATGGAACCTCCCCAGATGTAGGTGTCATGCAGGTTTGACACTGGGAACAGTGTTATCCTTCTGTTCCCATCAGCCAAAGTCTGCCTTGAGGACGTCCTATAGAAAATGTCAGCAGGGGACTTGGTGCCTGTGAGACCACTGGTGTCATAAAGCTTATCGGGGAGGGCCAAGAAGGCCCTGGGTGCCTTGATTCCTTCAGCTGGCTCGAGCTGCTTTTTCCTCCAACCAGGAACATTTGGTGGCAGCTGAAGTCAGTGAGTCTGATGTCGGCAGTGAGGGACTTTGGGTACAGGAGCAGAGATTCCCAGATGCAGGGGGCAAGCTCAGCAGGCAGGTCTTCCTGGGGGTGGCTAAGGGCCCCAGGGACAAGGTGCCTGAGTCTAGGGGAGAGTGATCGCAATGTTGAATGATTGAGGGCTGTGTGGGGTGATGGACGAGGTGGGACGGATGCAGGGTGGCGCGTATCAAGGCCAAGGCAGATTTGAGTGAGGCCCAAGGCTGGACCTCTTGTCTGTCAGAGTGGTCCTCCCTTTGTAGTGAAGTCATGAAAGGAGAACTTGTTCTCAGTGAGGTTTCCATTGGAAAGATGCACTGAAGACCGATGTTTCCCAGATTTCAGGGTTTGTAGAGAACGGCCGTGCAACGTGGAGTCATGGCTATGGAAGCGGAGTGGCTGACGCTGCCTCTCAGCCTGGCTCTATAACAGAAAACTGTGTGACGGTAGCAGGTTACTGAGTCTCGGAGGCTGTTGGCTCACCTCTGAGGGGAGATACTACCTCTGGCCCCGACAGAGGCCAAGTACCTGCAACAAGCTGCCCAGGAAGCCTCCTCTGTTTTGCTTTCCTGTCCCCCCTCTCACCCCTGCTGGCCCATCCACCCCAGAGAACATGTGTCTTCCCCTGCTTTTTCAGACTCTCAAGCCCCATCGGCATGGAGGTGACCTTTCATTCTCACCAAGAATGCCCCTTTTCCATTCAGCGAGGGCAGAGGGTTAGCAAACCAGGGCCTTGTCCACCTGCTGCCCCCACTCTCTAGTACCAGCTTCGGGAGCTTATGGGCTGGACTGGTCCTGCCCAGCTTCCGTAGCCAGCCTCGGTGTGCCAGCCCCTGGTGGAGGTGGGCTGGTGCGAGGCCCCAGCCTGTGATTGGGCAGAGGGACCAGCACAAGAACCCATGAGAGGAGAGAAAAGTGCACGTTGTCAGCTGGGCTTCCATCTGGGTTTGTGCCTGTGTCTCCATGAGAGTCTCTCATCTGCTCTTGGGTGGGGCCAAAGCCTCCCCTTGTCTGAGGCGTTTTTCCCCTCTTTTTTTTTCCTCTTTGAAGGAGGACTTGTGGGAAGCCTGCAAAGCTGGAGCTGACTCAGGGCCAGGAGAAAGGAGCAGTTTGCCTCCTATTCCCCTTGCAGCAGTGATCTGGGTCAGAGAGGAATTTATCCTTGAAAGCTGTGGCCTTTTCCTAATTGGAATTTGGGGGCTTAATCTTAAGTGCCTAGAGCCGGGAAGGCCCTGTCACAGCTGTCACCGCAATGCTGCCTTAGTGAGTAGACGCTGCTGCATTCTGCTGCAGCAGCTGCCAGACCTTTAGGTGGCAGGGAGGGGGAGGGCGCCATGGAGCCCTGGAAGCAGGTGACCAGGCAGCAGCCAGGGGATGCTGGAGCCTCCCCGGATGAAGGGCAGTCATCTGATACAGACTGAGGTCCTTGGCTGGCAGGTAACTGAAGATTTGCCCTTGGTAATCTACCCAGTCAGGTCGCACAAGGTTGGTATTTTCTCTTTCACCTGCTTTTTGGAAACTTGACTGATGTTCTCAACCGAGGGGCCATTTTCAGTGTGACGGTGTGTGACATCCTGGGCGAATGTGCTGCATCTGTCGTGGACGTTCTTGCAGGTCCCGGGCTGCTTTGAAGGAAACTAAATCAGGTCTGCAGAAGCCGACTGGCTGCCACTTTCCTAGGGGAAGGGTAGAGGGAGCTCTCTTCTAGGGAGAAGCAAACTGTAAATCTGAGCATTGAGAGACAAGAGGAGAGAGCCGAATCCTCTCGGGGATTCAGAGTAAAGGTCCCATCGGCGACCCTTGCAGCCCCTTGCAGCTGATGATCTGGATCGTAGCTGGGTTTGTCTAACACCCTCCGATGGGCTTGTGTTTGAAATTCAGTCATTCCTGTGGTAGGATGAGATTTGGAGCTGTAGTGCAGGCCTGACACATCAATATATGTGCAAAGTATTTCCCATTAACTGCTTTTTCTGTTTTGCATTAACTGGTTTTAAATTCCAGGTGCTCTTTCTACCCTTTTACCTCACATGTGACATCGGGTGCCTTGGCACGCTCCACTGTGTTTTGGGCCTTTTTACCCACAGCAGTCTTGCCCGTCCTAATCTTCGCAACTACTGCACATGGGTCCTCACAGCCGCCTCTGGGCGACGAGACGGTCACTGTGTCAGCCCCCACCCATCTGTTCCTCCCCCGCCATCTGCTCGTCACTGTCCTCCTAGGCTGCATTAAGAAATCTTAATTTCTTCTAAGCTAGACAGCAAACTTTCTGTAAAGGACCAGCGAGTATTTTATTCTTCATGGGCCACGCTGTCTCTGCCTCAACTATTCAGCTTTGCCAGGGTGGCACAAAAGCAGCCTAGATAAACATATGCCAATGCATGGGAATGGTGTGTTCAAAAACAAAAGAAGTTTTATCCACAGAAGCAGGCAGTGGACCAAATTTAGTCCAAGGCTCTATAGTGTATGGCTCTGCTTTGCTGCCCACTGTGACTTCATTCTGCTCTACAGAATGGTTGCTCTCCTAAGTAGCGTGAGCCCTTAGAGTGCCCCACTCATGCTGTCTGAGCTCTGGTTCTAGTGTCAAGTCATTTTTTAAAAATATTTATTTATTTATGCATACAAGAGCTGGGGTACAGGCCAGAGGTGTGGAGGATGAGAGGATTTACCAGAGACAGAGTGGGGAGCAGAACAGGCAGATTGACTGAAGTACACTGCTGAGGGGAGCAGCAGGCGAGTCAGGAGAGGTCTGCCGCACCATGTGGGTTGTTCCCTGGCTGGCCGGGAGATTGAACTCATGCTGCAGAGGCTACAGACAGTTTCATAGGTTGTGTCTTAACCCCTTGCGCCACAAGGGAGGCCCCTCTAGTGTCAAGTCATTAAATGAGCCTTTGCAAGCCTGAGAGGCAAGCATCCTAGGCCTGGATTGAGAGCTGAGGGGTGACTAACAGAGGCTGAGTTCAGGCTCTTTTCTTCAATCTTAACCCTTCCCAGTCACATCTCTACCAACACTGCCTGGCCTGGAGGGGTGTTGGGCCCATGCCCTTGGCTCCTTTAGAAACCCAACTGACAGGGACAGAGATCCCCAACATCTGAGATCTTTGCATAGAACACCACACGTGACCAGGGAAAGGCTTGGCATGCAGGTGGAACTGGCGGTCTTTAGAGGAAGTCTCTGATGTGTCTCTGGTCACAGAGGAACCTGGTGCAGATTAAGCATGACTTCAGTCTAGACTTCTTTTTGAACTTTGCATTATGGAAATTCTAAGTACTATACAAATGATCACTCATGGCTAATCTTGTTTCACTTATATCCTCACCTCCCTGTCTCCTCTCCACTCAGTCTAAACAAACCCCAGGGAGCTTCACTGATAAAGCCTTCAGCATATTGCTCTGAAAGACATGACCTGCTCCCGGTCTCATTCTCTGGGTTCCTCCTCTGCATCTCCTGCCACTAGCACAGGTGTGGTGCGTGTGTCAAATCTCTCCCCTGGACTGACCGCCTCTTGCTACCCAACCAGGCAGACTTTCTGTTCCAGGGACTCGGAGGTGCAGTTATAATCTCTTGAGAGTCTCTGTTCTGCTCTATTCCCAGCAGATACCTTTTTATTCTTTTTTAGAGGGCAGAGTTTCTTCATTGTGCTAAAATGTTTTGGTTTTTAAGAACCAACTGCTTGACTTTCCTTAACCAAAGTGATTTTGTTTCTGCTAAACCACAGCTCCAAGAATATGCCAGTCTAAGGACCCTTCTCCCCTCCTGCACTGTGACATCATGAGCTGCCTGTGACACCGTGCCTTTGTGCCCCAGGTTGCCAGAAGTCCAAGGCCCTCAGCCCTTATTGAATTGAGTGCTCTCTTGGGCACTTAGGGTGCCACTGGTTTGCCCTGAGCTGGCCTTGCAATCCCCCCAGGTAACCCCAGCCCCTTTGTGACAGGAGAGTGCTGGAGGAGCAGAGTGACAAGGATCACCGACTGCCCAAGGCTAGAGAACCAGCCCACAGAGGCCAGATTCAACAGCCACAGTGTTCTGTGGGGGAGCCGAGGCAGCGAATCCTAGCAGGACAGATTAGAGCCAAGCAGGACCTGGAGTGGGACCACACGCGCGCCAGCCAGCTGATTCCCAACAGTAGGTGCCACTGCGCACGGCGCTGCTTCACTTTCTCATCGCTCTGTGTGCGCTTCCCCAGCCTTCTGTATTCTCTCCGTTGTTTTCTTTGTGATATGGTGGAATCTTTAGTATTAGGTGTTCTCTCTCCACTTTTAGAGACCAGGGACTCTTACAAGGGACCAGAAGCAAGAATAAGGAAACTACCTTCCTCTCTGCCCTCAGAGTGATGGATCTTCCCGCCCACCTCTCGCGCGCATTCTAGTCATGCTTTGCCCCCTGCCGTCGTGTAAGCCCACAGCTGTGCTGAGGCCTGGGGACTTCATCCCCTGACCCCCATGGGAAGAGGGGCCTGAGCCCTCATCCTGCCACATCACCTTGGCCAACATTTCAGTCCATACAGGTTCAGCCATGACTAGGGGTGTCTGAGCCCAGGCAGCCACGGGCGGGGGCAGGGGGATAGACTTCCTCTCAGAGTGTTTTTGGTTCCCAGACCAGCAGTGGCTGCTCAGAGAAGAGACCTGGCCAGCCAGCTCGCCGCGGCAGCAACAGCAAGACCGTGTAGCAGAGAAAGAACTTGCGGCCTCCGGGCCAACCGATGCTCGGCTTCCAATAGGACCTGAGACTCAACCACCCCCACCAGCCCGAAGCCCGAAGCGGCCGGGGCAGCCACCACTCCTGCGGAGACGCGCTCTTCGGGCAGCAGAGCGGAAGGTCCAGCGAAAAAAGATCTCTTTCAAGCTAGAGAGAATCATCAGGAAGCAGAGGCTGCTGGAGGCTCGGAAGAGACTGGAGCAGCTCCAAGCGTGGTGCTGGCTCCAGGATGACCACACCCAAGGACCCCCACACCAGGCTCCACACGCTGACTGCAAGGGCCCTGAACCTCACTGTAGCAGTGAATGGACAAGTTGTAGCTCTTTGAGCTTCCGGAGGCTCTGCAGTCAGTACTGGCACCAACTACACAGGTACAGCCCGCAGCGGTTGTCTGTCCTGGAAGCACTTGGCTGAGCTCTATAGCTTTGCCGCCCAGGCTGTGTTCTTGACTCGCCGGTGCCTGTTCCCTCAATCTGTGAAATGCAAAGATGTTTATTCCTCCCTTCCTTATCATTTTTCTCCTCTGTGCTGCTTTTTCTGTAATTGATATCTTCTAAGACTTCTCCTGCTCTGAGTTGCGGCTTGTGCTGTTTTGGTGATATCTTCGAAGTGAGAATCTAGCCTTATTTTTCATCTGCTTCTTAGACTCTGGCTGTCTCCCTGTGTCTCCTTGCATATGTCCTGCCACCTCCTCCATCTCATCAAGCCTCAGACCAGACCCTCTCCCCACACGCTCCCTCCTTGTCCCTGCCCGCCTGGCATACCCCCTCAAGTGGGCTTCCTGACCCGGAGGCCCAACTGGTGAGCAAGTGGAACACTATCTTTCTAATTCCCAGGTTCAGTTTGGTATCTTCTTATTTCTTTTCTCCTTTCCTCCTTATATTCAGTCAAAGTAAGGATACGTTATTTCCCAGACTGCTTGGAACAGGGACTGTGTCTTTTGCCTTCTGTTTTTCATCCTACAGGCCCAGCTCAGGGCCTTGCCTGTAGTAGGTGCACAGTTAATATCTATTGGTATTATGGTTGCTCACCTCTTTAGTTTTCAGAGGGCTAGGCAGGATTTTTAGAAACTTTTATTATGAAAAAATTTCAGAACTACACAAAGGTGAGAAGCTAGTGTACCTGTCACCCTATTCAGCAGGTATCAAGATTTGCTGTGCTTGCATAATCTCTCCATCTTTTTCTTAAGTATTTTATTTTTTCTAAGATTTATTTGTTTATGCATGGAACTGGGATATAGGCCAGAGGTGCAGGGTGTGAGAGAATTCACCAGAGACAGAGTGGGGAATAGAACAGGCAGATTGACTGAAAGACACTGCTGAGGGGAGCAGCAGGTGAGTCAGGAGAGGTCTGCTGTGCCATGTGGGACCCCTCCCTGGCCGGGGATCAAACTCACGTTACAGTGCCTGGCAGTAGCTTGATAGCACTGACACTAACCCCTGCGCCACCAGGGAGGCCCTTTCTCACGTATTTTAAAGCAGCTTCTAGACATCACGTTATTTCAATCCTGTGTTAAGTATACACTTCCAAAAATAAGAACTTATAACCACACACTTCAGAAAATTAAGATTAGTTATTCATGATCTAAAAAGTTATGCTCTAAAACCTTGGACATATTTATATTTCCCTAATTGCCTCAAAAATATTTATACTTGTTCAAATTAATATCTACAATTTGTATGGTTAAGTCTTAATTCTTTTTGTTTTATTTCTTCATATTGTTACAGGGCAGGGAGAGGGGCAGCCCAAACCCCACAAACCTGCCTATTCTAAATGGGTTCTGCCATCCACCGCATCAACACAAAACATGTCACCTCCCCACAGGTCTCACCCACATCTGTGTCACCCCGTCCATGACCAAAAGGCAAGCGCAGTTTCTTCACGTGTCTCTAGGCTCCATGTGCCTCCGCCAGGTCTCCTGGCTCCATCCTGCTTCCTTCCTCAGTCTCCTCTGCAGCTTCTTCTCTCCCTGCTCAGCTCCACCCTCCCTTGGGTGGGGCAGGAAACCTGGAACCTCCCCCTTTCCTGGGGACCACCCTGTTACAATCCCCCCTTTTAATTTTTATTCCACCATATCTATGGTGGCACAGATCTCAGGGTATAGTCTTAGGAGACAGTCTTTTTTCAGGGTTACAATGTGTGTAAGAGAAGCAACAATTAGTCAGCAGCATTGTCCATGAATGTCCAGTATGACAGTTTTCCATTACTGGAAAATAGTCCATTATCCAAGCCAAAAGAAAAAAAAAATCTGGAGCATTAGCTAAAACAAGACAGCAAATATATGAACCTCCCCCTTTCCTGGGGACCACCCTGTTACAATATCATTGATTGGTTAAAGAAAATCAGCTCTCAACAATGTAGATATAGTCAGCCACTATGTAGACTTGTCTGTTTTAGTCCATATAGTGTCATTCATTGTTCCTCTGGTCCTCATATTGCCTATTTACTGAACATTTCCCCAGAAGGCACAGTTGAATTTCAGATCAAGTCCAACCCTTTTAGGCCTCCCTGGTGGCGCAAGGGGTTAAGACACAACCTGTGAAGCTATCCGCAGCCACTGCAGCACGAGTTCGATCCCCCACCAGGGAGCTACCCACAAGGTGCAGCAGACTTCTCTTGTTTCACCCGCTGCTCCCCTCAGCAGTGTACTTCAGTCAGTCTGCCTGTTCTGCTCCCCACTCTGTCTCTGGTGAATCCTCTCACCCCCCTGCCACACCTCTGGCCTGTACCCCAGTTCTTGTATGCATAAATAAATCTTAAAAAAGTTCAACCCTTTTAAAAGATAGCAAAATTGAGTAACAGAGTATAACTGAGAGTCAGGGTTATTATGGTCCATATAGCTTTTCTCTGACCATGAAGATTGGAAGGGACAATGGCATTGGCCTAGGTTTTCTTTTTTATTTAATTATATATATATATTTTTTACATCATTTTTCATTTTTGCACAATGTATGCCTTTTCATCTTGGTTATATTCCCCATACAATCCCACCCACCTTGTTTTGACTCTACTCGGACCTCTTACCTTTCTGAAGTGGTTTTCCTTCTGTCCACAGTGTTTACCTGAGTTGGAGTCCCTCCGCCACATTAACTCCTGTGCCTTACCCTGCTCATCAGACACCAGAGAAAATCTCTTCAGAAGAGCTCTTGCCCCAGGCTGTTTTTTACCCTCCAAGGACAGGGCATTTCAATAAGAATGCCCTCTGTTCCTCAGGCGAGGAGCAGCTCTGCATAGTCAGGGGAGCAGTGGGCAAGAAAGGAGCCACCACTCCAGTCACCTGCCTGACCGAGAGCTCTGAGTCGGCCAGCATCTTGGCAATGGAAAGAGCGGGTAAGCAGCCTCGCCGGATGGTGTCCCAGAGTTCAGCATTTCTGAACCGGCCAACTAACAAGCTAAAGGCAAGAGATGAGCAGGAGGCCCTCACTCCTACCACCCAGACCAGGAGGGCCAAGGGACTCACAGACTCTGGACACATACCAGCAGGGTGGCAGAAAGAAGGACACCTTGGGGCCCCCAAGACTGCTCAGGGAACTGGCTGCAGTTCTTACCATCCTCCCGGACCCAGACAGACAGCAGGGCGTGGACGGGCGGCCAAGACTGCCTGGGCGAATTCCAAAGCACCTTCTCTAAGCAGGGCATCAAAAAGGCAACAGACGGTGCAGGCAGCTAGGGTCAGAGACATTGCCAAAAAGTCCTCTCGTTTGCCTCGTGGCATTCCTTTGAGGAGAGGACACAGTCCAAAGGACCCAGACGCCACATCCTCACTTGCGGATTTCAGCCCAGGAGTGGACGATGTGGGAGAAAAAGATGGTGATTTATCTGATGCAGACAGCAGTTACTCAGCTGATTCTCTCTCGTGTGTTTGTGCCAAAGGCCTGACAGAGCCCCTGAAGCCAGGGGACCCCCCGGGGAAGAAGCAAGAGGAGCAGAAGCTCCCAGAGACAGAGAACACTGAAAGTGACGACAGTCAAATATCTGAGGATTCGCTGGCTGAGAAGGGGTACCAAAGCCCACAAGACAGCCCAAGGAGCAGTTATCTGACCAGTACCCAAGGCCACCTCAGGACCAGAGCACGAGCTTCTCTAAGGGACTTCATCACATCCTCAGAAAGGCGACCAGTCATCCAAACGCATCGGAGCTTTTCCCTAGATAGCCTGATAGACGCTGAGGAAGAACTGGGAGATCAGCAAGAAGAGTTTGTCTTTGGTCCTTCTGATGAGATGCCCACAGAGACTTTTTGGCGCCTGCAGACCCCCAGTCTGCCTGTAGTGGACCAGGAGGCAATTTACAAGTGTGGTCCCATCAGCCACAGAGCAGGAGCTAAGCTAGAAGCCACCTTGCCAAGGAACAGTTCATTTTACCTTGAGCCCCGGTCCTGCTGTGAGCAGCGTGAGTCGGAGGTGGAGGAAAACAATGAACGAGCCGGCAGTCTCCAGGCTGTGCAGTTTCCAAGAGGGAGTCCTCTGGTGTCCATGGATTCCTGGTTTTCCTGTGACTCCAAGTTCAACCCAAGTAGCCCCCCAGAAATAGTGGATTCTTTGTGTCCAAGTCCTGCTCTGCAGGAATTTCAGCATTCTGGTTGGGAGAGACCTGGATACTGGCTAGATAGGGAAGAACTAAAGACTTCAGGTGCAGAAGCAGTCCCGTCCCCAAGCTCTAAACAACCCCAGAGCGGTGCTGAGTTTCCCGGTTATGTAAGGGGTCTGTACACAGTGCCTGCTTCTGATACATCTAGGTTGTCACTCTGTCGGTCTCACAAGTTTCTTCAGCCAGAGGCTGATGGCACCTTTCAGGCCAGAGGCATCTGTGACACGGCCCAACAGGGCACCTCTGAGGCCTCCAACTGCTCTAGTGTATTAAGCATATTGGCTGCTTCTGCCACCTCATTCACTCATGTAGGCAGACCTCGTGAAAGAGACTGGGCTGTCCTTCAGCAGAAGTACCTCCTTGAACTGTCTCATCCTGTTTTGGAGGCTGAAGGAGAGCCCAGGCGAGCTTTCTCCTCCCTTGAGGAAGACTCAAGTTCCCTGACCCAAGCTTCCAGCAAAGGAGAAGACAACCTATTGCCTGGAATAACCAACAGTCTGGATTGCAACACTCCTATCCATCTACCCAAAATTAGGCGTTTAAGAGCAGAAAAAGAACAGGACAGTTTGAGTGTTGAGCTAGAAAGTACTACAGATTTCTTTACAACTAGCGAGAAAGAGGTGAGTTTCTGTGGGAATTATTCAGCAGACATAGAATCATTGGCTTCTGGAGCTCCAAGTGCACACTTTGTAGCAGAGAAGATAGTAAATCCCATGACAGAAGCTTGTGAAGTCCAAAAGAACTTGGACGAGTGTTCTCAGGGAAGCAGGAAACCTGAACCAATGACTTCTTCTGATGACTGTTTCTCCCTGAAGAACTCTGGTTACGGTGACATCACTGTTGCTGCTGAAGATGGCCGTTGGGCCCCAGGCTGGGCTCCTCTTGGGAAGAATGATGCAGGCCAGCCTGGACCATTAAGCCACAACAGCCACCAGCCCCTGAAGGAAGAGAAGGTGGACTGCCAGGAGAGCGCCAAGGAATCGGTAGGAGGACACACAGACGATGTCCTTGGCTCTTCATCAGGCCCAGAGCTGTACCTCCACTCAGCTCCCTGGAGCCCACCCCCCTCTTCCCTGCAGCCACCCGCCTTGGAAACATTCTATGTGACCAAAAGCCGCGATGCCCTGACAGAAACTGCCTTAGAGATCCCAGCTTGCAGAGAAGCCAGAGTGGCCTCCCCACCTCCCAGGGAAGCCTGGGGCATTGGTCACGACTATCAGCAACTCAGAAATGCTTATTTGAAGAATAATTTCCCAGGGCTCTTACAAAACCAGAATCCCAGTAGGGCCTCATCGCAGCAGATCACAGCAGAGGGGCCAGCTGATCCCAATGCCAAGGAAGTTAGCAGAGAAATGGGGAAATGTTCTGGAAATGTTAAAGAAGAAAGCCATAATTCCTTTTATTTTTTTGTTGCTCAGAACAGACAAGTTATCCCATCTACCATCACAAAAGGGTGTGAATTTGAAAATCAAGTTGGGATGTTAAATAAACACAGTCTTCCCGCATCCAAGGAGGAAGAAAAGGCCGCTATGCAGTCCCCTTGCAGTGTTTCTGCAGACAGTCCTGGATCTAGGAAGCCTCTCTTTCTTTGTGAATCTGAGGCAGGTGAGGAAGAAGAACAGGATCCAAATGCAATCCTGAGACACAACCAGGCCTTTGATAGGAACAAACAGTTTCCTTCTGGGACCAGCTCTGATTTCATCTCTAAGTCTGCTAATTTAGGCCATGACAAGCTAGGGGGAATGGCTGTTTCTTTGAAGCCCAGATCAGTACATCATAGAGTAAGTAGCCCAGAGACAATCACCCTGGATGAGCGTCCAGCCCACAAGGGTGAAGGCAAGAATGAAACCGGGCTTCTTGGAAAAGCTCTCCATCCCAAAGGTGGCTCAGAAGAGTTTACACTTCCAGGCACAGAGTCTGCATGTGAAAGATTGCAGTCAGTTGCATGCTCTCAGGAAAGAAATCCTAGTGATTATAAGGACCCTAGAAAATCACAAGAAACAGTTAGTCCCAAAGAAGAGCCTTCCAGAAAGAAACAGAATAATAGAGTCAATCATGACGATGAAATGGCTAGGTTAATTAGGAGTGTAATGCAGCTAGAAAATGACATCCTGGAAATTGAATCCAAGCAAAATAAGCAGCTGTGTGCTTCCCACACATCCAGACTCAGTAAGGAGTTTATGTCCCAGGACCAGGAGATAGCTGACTTTGTCCTGATGCCAGGCAGCTCTAGAAACGATTTGTCCTTCAGGGATCAACCATCTTCTACAGATGGCGTTACCTCCAGGGTTAGTGATGCCGGAGAGATGGGGATTAACAGTAGCATCGAAGAAGATTCCCAGGTCCAGAAAATGACCCCACGCTCCGTCAAGTCAAGGGAATGTGCAGGCGAAGCTGCATGTGTGAGAGACCACCCCCAGCCGGCTGTGTTCGACAGGCCCGCTGGGGACTCTGGTGGTCACCTGGGGACCTGTGCAGCTGGCAGAGAGCCCAGCGGCATTCCTTTTAAGGGAAGGAGAACAAAAGCATTGGCTCAAGCTCTGCCAGCGCAGCCCTGGCCCAAGAGGTCTTCTGAAAAGGAAGATGAGTTGCAGAATGCGTCAGCAAGCCCCAAGGGGCAGCCTTGTGGCTTCGGAAGTCCTGAGGAATTGGAAATGGCAGGTTTTTGGGAAAGCCAGGCTGCTGAACACATAATCAGGTCTGAGCAAGAGGATCCAGCCATTCAAGGCAGACTTGAAATGACCGTGCAGAGAGGAGGGAGCTCACAGGAGGCAAGCAAAATGGTCTCATCCACTCAGACTCTTGATAGTCAAAGCCAGAATGGTATCAGCACCCCTTTCAGCCTGGAGACTGCCCCATTGTACAGCTGTCCAGACTCTTCTTCGACTCCTCCTCGCCAAGACCTGAGCAGTACCTTGCCCTTGAGTTCTCCCAGGCTTCCAAGAAGCTATCTTCGTGCACCTGATCATATCGGAATCTCTTCAGTGGACTGTATGCTGGGACTGGATCCCAGGATGTTGAAAATTCTTAACAGCCCCTTGGTAACTGCTGCAGGACATCAGCACCAGGGTGGAGAGATCGGAAGCCACGGCCCGCGGGGAGATGTTAGCAGCAGCTCTTCAGTGGCATGCTCTGTTTGCTGTGAGTCTGCCATCTCCACAGCAGTGGGATCTCATGGTCAGTCTAGTGCACCAGAGAGTTCTCCCTGGGAGTCAGAGGGCTGGACATCAGCAAGCACTAGCTGCGAAGCCCAAGGGGCGAACCTCAAAAGCAGCTCAATGGGCTTGGAGTCCAGCATGTGTTCCACTTCCGAAGCTGAGGCAGCTGCACAAAGAGAGGCCAGTAAAACCAGTTCCCTGACCAGGGTCTCTAACCAGCTTGAAATGCAGGTCAGCTGCCCCTCAGAAGAGGGTAACCAAGGCAGGGAGGAGCAGCAAAAGGCAGAGGAGGCTGAGGACTTCAATCCTACCAGTGGTGCTTTCTTGGCACCCATGTCCCTGCCAAGTGTACCTAACCTGGAGCCCTCTGCTTATCATGCATGCACAGGCCCGGCTGTGTTGGAGGAGACACAGGCAAAGGCCCAAGAAAAGCAGTTTCAGGACTCTCTGGCTGGAGGCCCAGCCCTTCCTTACTATGAGACTTTGTTAGAACCTGAATGTTTTTCAGAGGTCCCTGGCAGGCCTCATAGTCCACAAGTGAACCAGTCAGTGTCACACAGGGCCAGGAGCAAGGGCGACGCAGAAGGATTTCATGTGACATCTCTCCCCACTGAACCAGGTCGTCTGTCAACTGATGACAGGAAAGTCCTTCAGGCCACACCTCTCTCTGCAGACAGCTTCCAACCTCTGCCCCACACTGAAGCTAACACTGTGCACTGGCATCCCTCACAGACTTCCTCACACGCTGTCCCTGCTCTAGGCAAAAGCCATCGTACTGGAGAACTGGGGCATTTCCAAGGTGTAAGTGAGCAGCTCACATGTCACTGTCCCTCTCCTGAAACCAAAGAGGAAAACAGAGCAGCAAGCAGAACACCATCCCCTGCTGGTCCTTTGAGCTCAGGCAGTCTTCCTTCAGCAGCAGCCGTAGAAGAGGGCAGGAAGGTAACACCAGAGAAAGCAGTGGCTGACAGATCTTCTCAGGCCCCTTCTGATGAGCCTGTGGTGATGCCACGTGGACATAGCCCGTTAGCTCTGTGGGAGACTGCAGAGTCCCCTGGCAGTCAGGAAAGCCGCCCAACATACCAAGCACCCAGAATTCTAGAAACCACATGTAGAAGTAGTTTAGGAAAAACAACCTATTTTGAAAGTCCAGTTGTGATCCATGATGAGAATTCTGCAAGTCTCTCAAGGCCTAACCAAGACCAGGTCCAATGTCTCGAGGCCTCTGCCAACTTAGAAGACAAGAAAGCAAACCCTACACAAGGTGCTGCCCTGCCTGCAGCCCTGAAAAGGATGGAACTAGAAGCTCCCTCGCCGCCCTATGTGAAATGGAAAAGGAGCGTTTGCTCTGGGCTGGCAGAAGCCTGCAGGACTGGCAGCAAACATCCCAGATCAAGTCCACTGCTAGATCAAGGACCTAGCCACGATCCTGGGGGAGTTAGGGAGGAGGCCCCCTACAGATGCCTGGAAGAAACTCTAGATTGTGTTGCCTGCTCGGGGAACAGTGGAGGCAGCAGGACTCTCAGCCCATCTAGAGGCCAAGAAGATGGCAGAACTCTTCCTTGTCAACAACCGGGAAGTCCTCAACCCACTGCTTCTCATGCCTGTCCCCCCTCTCCCTCCACCTTACTGTATTGTAGAGAGAGTGACCCAGGGAAGGGAATTTCTGAGGCAGCCCCACATACTTTCCACCCATCCCGCGTTGTACCTTCCAGGGCCTGTGGAATGGATGAGAGGGGAGAACACCATTCCAGGGAACCTGGCATCATCTTGGCGCATGGTCTTGAGCCCAAGGACCTTAGTGCAGAATTTGGGCAAGCAGATAGCAGCATTCTGGAACCCTCTGCTAATGCTGCTGTGCTATCTCAGGGTGAAGGCTGCAACTCACTTTTTGCCTCTGATGTGAGGACAAGTTCCCTCAGCCCCTCAGTTGCTGGTGGAAGCGCAGGGTCAGGAGAGGGTCCTGAGAAAAAGGTTTCTGAGATGAATGTCACTGCAAAGTGTGAGGCTGCCCCTTTCCCTGCAGGCAGGTCCTCTGAGCCACTGACGAAGTTTCAGGGCAGCTCCCTAGGTGGCCGGAATATCCAGTTGTCTCAAGCCGAACCAGAACCACCTGCAGCAACTGGGAGACCACACACCCTGAGTTCCAGTGAAGAGTCTCTTGTGGGTGAGCTGGTGGCAGAACCATACTATGGATATTTAGAAAATGCTCTTAGGTATCTTCTAGAAAAGCCACACCTTTCCACCAAGTCCAGGGGCCTCAGTGATATGGAACCTCAAACTAAGTTGACAGAACAGTTAAAACACATCTCTGGCCCCCAGGCTGACAGCCCCTGGGAGGAGGAAGAACAGCAGAGAGACCAGGCGTCAGTTGATGGCGCCCAAGACAGGAGTCCCCCACCTTCTGATGAAGGTGGTAGCGATGACTTCAGCAGCTCTCAGATTAGAGAGGTGGGCAGAGGGAAGGCAGCTACAGCCAAGCCCCCTGTGTCCAAGACGCTCTCATCAGGCATAGGAGATTTGGCCTCTGTGCTCTTTGAGCAAAGTAGACGGCCACAGCCTGCTGCCCACAGCCTTGGCCAGCCCCCTGGCAAGGCCCACAGACAATCACTTCCTGTGATCGCAATTTCCGCTGACCCCAAATATCTCTGGTCCTCTCCCAGACCACAGTTCTCCGTGGTCAGCTCCTCCCGGTCTCTTCAGGAACTGAACTTGAGTGTGGAGCCACCTTCCCCAACAGATGAGGAGATGCAAGAGCCTGAGAGATTGTGGCCACTGCATCCCAGGGACAGTGGCTCAGGCGGGTCAGCAGTGAGAACATCTGAGGACGCCGAGGGCCACAATCTGACAGCCTCATCTAACATGGACGATAGTGCTGCTGATCCCAGGCCCCCGCAGCCTGCCAGCCCTCCTTACCCAACTTCATCAACTCTCTCCTGCATGCCAACCCCCGACTTCATGACCCCGATTTCTCTGGAACAGATCCAGCAGGGAAAGCCAGAGAGACCGGGTGGCCAGACCAGGCCGGAGAAGCAGCCTTGCAAGGTGGAAAAAGGAATGTTGCACTTTGGCTCCAGTGACATCAATCCCTATGTCCTGCACAGGCGCCCGGAGGAGCCTGCGCGCATTGGCTGGAAGCAGTATGTCTTCGGCAGTGCGGTCGATGTCTCGTGCAGCCAGACGCCCCAGGGTCCTGTACCAGCGAAGGTGGCCCGGTGCTCCAGTGTGGACCAGGGCTTAGAAGAGCAGAACTCCCTGTTCTACTCTCGCCTCAGCACCTACGCCAATGCCCGGGGCCTGTCGAGCACATGCAGCAGCATTGACAATGCCCAAGGTTCACGGGAGTCCTGGGACGTATGGGGTTCCTCACTGGCCTTGGGGAACCCGTGCAACCTGGCTGGCCCCAGAGGAGCAGCGCCTGCTAAGGGTCCTGACAAGAAGGCCCAGCTCCTCGGCGCCCCTAGCGGAACAGGCTGTCTGGAGGGTGAGTCCCCCTTGGCTGAAGAAAGTGCTGCCGGGCCAGTAGATGAGATTATGCTGCTGTATCCATCAGAGGCGGGCAGCCCCGCGGGACAGGCCAGGATAAGCACCTTGGAGCAGGGCACGCAGACCCTGGGATGCAGGCTGCACTGGAGCTACAGCGATGTCTCTGCTCAGCTGGAGGCCGGCAAGGTGCCAGCCTCTGACCTGGCCTCTTGGACCAGCATGCGCAGCCTGTCTGTGCACCTCTCCCAGCTCCTTCACAGCACATCGGAGCTGCTTGGGAGTCTCTCCCAGCCCAGTGTGACCAAAAAGGAGCTGAATACCGAGAGGGAGATCCCTGGTGAGGCACCCCCTACCCTTATGATGGATGGCTGTACTCAGACCACCATGGATGAAGGCATCCAGACCAACCTGGCCCCACCACCTCTGCACCTCCTGACCCTGGAGGCCAACCCTCAGCAGGTCAATGTGGACCCCAAGGTGCTGGGCTCCGATGTCTCAAGCCCAAGCTGGCGAGAAAAGGAACATGCCCCAGAGATTCTTCAGAAGGGAGAGGCAGAAGAAACTGTGTGGAAAATGGCAGGGCCCCGCGATCTTCAGAAAGCAAGCCCCTCCTGCATGTCCCAGAGCCCTCCAGTATCCTTATTCCACTTGCGGTTTCAGAAAGCTCCCTATGGGCAGAACATCCCTTCTGTGAACCCCCAGGCTTCTCCGGATGCCTCCCTGCCTCCCAGCTCCCAGCCAGAGGACTCTTCCCACATGGCTATCCACAGCCCCAGCCCTCGTTCTCCTGGATTCTGCCCCAGTAATGTGGAGTCTACCGGGGAACCTAAGGTCCAGAAGGTGCTGGGCCCCTTGAGTGCCTTGTTGGTGGACAGGGCCTCCTCCCCAATCCTCACACTTAGTGCCAGTACCCAAGGGGCAGGGCTCCCCTCTGGCTCTTTGTCTCTCTCACCCCCCTCAGCTCATGCTCTTGAAGGCTCCCAGAAGCTTGTCTCCAACCCAGACCTTCCCCAGGATGCCCCCAGACCGCCAACGGATGATTCTCATCAAACTATTGATGAGTCGGGGGACTCCCAGAACGTGGAGGCTCTCCATGGAGAAGGCAAAAGTCCCTTAGAAAGGAGTGAGAGTAGGCCCTTCCTTGAGGTAAACCGCTCAGACAGCCCAGAACAGAGCCCCAAACTCCAAGTTCGATTCTTAGATCAGCTCCCTGAGCAGCTTCAGTCCAGGAATGCCACCTGTGTCCAAAGCCGACTGCCACCTCCACCACCGAGGAGCAGGAGTCAGAGGCTGGCCGATGGCTTTGTGCCCGAGGACATGGCTTTCCCTGAGTGTGGTCAGCTGGACAGTAGGGGGCCAAGTCGATGGCCAAACCGGACAGAAAACGGGAGTGAGACTTCTCCAGTGCAGCCACCACGCACGCAGGACCTTTCCTCTTCATGGGGAGGCCCCCAGCACCTCGGCCCCTGCCCTGTCTCTGAACTGACTGATACTGTGGGGCTCCCTGCAACCATCTTGGACACGACTGAGGCCTGCCAGTCTGAGGGGCTGCTGCGCACTAGTCTGCAGGCCTGCGCAGTCCCTGAGCCCCAGCACCACAGCCTGAGGGACCTTCCAGTGCACAACAAATTTAGTAATTGGTGTGGGTTTCAGGATGACTCTCCTGGGGGGTTGGATGTGAGGGACTTGCTGGGGACCAGATGTGATCTCAGCCCTGGAGAGCAGGGAGGGCTAAGGCCTCCACAACTACCTGACGATCCGAGCCTCGATCCTGAGTGCTCCCGGAGGGAGAAGGTCCCCCTGCAAGTTGGGGCCCAGAACTTCTCACTCAGCACAGAACTCACAGAAGCAAAACTGCACCATGGCTTTGGGGAGGCGGACGCCCTGCTGCAGGTGCTGCAGAGTGGGACGGGAGAGGCGTTTGCTGCTGACGAGCCTATGCTGTCCACCCGGGAGGCGCTCTCAGCCCGGTAAGAACCCCCGGCCCCGAGTGGGTGGGGTTGCGGTGGGATGAGGGGAAGGGGAACGTGAGAAGGCGAGAGGCTGCCTCTTCCCTCACCCCTTGCTCAGCTCTCGGGTCTTCCAGGCATCAGAGACTGATCTTAAGATGGAAAAGGGCTTTTGGGCCCAGCTCCAGTGTACCCACGGCATTTTATCTCAGGAAAAAACAAACCATTGAGACCCTTCGGAGAGAGCGGGCCGAGCGACTGCAGAACTTCCGGCGGACTCGAAGCCTCAGCCCCCAGAAGCAGCTGAGCCCCCTGCCTGACAGGGATCTCCCCACCCGGGAGCTTGACTTACCCAGCAGGCGCCGAGAATACCTGCAGCAACTGAGGAAGGATGTCGTGGAGACCACCAGGTAAGGGTGGGCTGGGGACCCTGCAGGGGCTGGCTCTGTGTGTGTGGGGAGCAGGGCCCAGGCGTCGTGTCCTGCAGGGTGGAGGCTGTGGCTTCCTTTTACGGGAGAGTTCCCAGGAATCAGTCCTACAAGCCTGTGGCCTCGTGGAAGTGACGGGGGCGCTGGGATGGGATAGGGTGACCGTGGCATGTCATGTCAGACGGTGGTGCTGAGCCCCAGAGTGGGATGGGAAACCAAACTCTACGGCCCTGTGGGCACAGGGAGGATGGGTTTGAGAAGGTGCTGAGCCGGCCTGGGGGAAACAGGCCAGGGCACTCACCCACGTCCCCTGGGTTCTCCACCTGTGCTCTGCCCTAGGAACCTGGGACTGGCATCTAGGTCTTCTCACCTGCCCTCTGACATTGAACTGCTGCTCCAAGACTACCGGCGGGCTCGTGAGGAAGCCAAGGTGGAGATTGCCCAGGCCAGGGCCCGCCTGCGGGAACGGACAGAACAGGAGAAGCTGAGAATCCGCCAGCAGATCGTCTCCCAGCTGCTGAGGGTGGGGAGTGGAACCAGCCTCTGGCCTGAGGGTGGCCCTGGAGCCTGGGGCAGACCCGGCTACCTCTGAGTCTTGGGATGTGGTATTGGGAGGAGGGCATTGGACTCTGGTGCCAGTTCAGAGCTGTGCTCACTGTCTCTGTCCATGTCACCTCCATTAGACCAGCTCCTGTGCTGGGCCAGAGTCTGGGAAGAGGCAGCTTTGTGTTTCAGTTGGGGTAGAGGGTGGGGAGGTGTGAGACTGAGGCAGGGGGCGCTGGGAGGTAATGGGAGCTGGGGAGGTAAGGGGTAGTTTGCTGGAGTGGTGGTGGCATGGGTAGTGAAGATGCACCGGAAGCTGCTTGACGGTGCTCTGTCCTTCCCAGGAAGAGGGAAAACTGCACACCCTAGCCACCTCCAGCTCTGTATGCGCCAGCTCCAATGGAAGCCTCTCTTCTGGAGTCACCTCCGGCTATAATAGCAGCCCCGCCTTGCTAAGCCAGCTCCAGTCCCCAGATAATGTGGTGAGTAGGCAGATGCTGGCAACAGGTGCGGGGAGGGTGGACACCTAGGACCCTTGAGGGGGGGTCGGCAAGAGTTAAAACCGGAAGCCCTGCCTCCTGGAGGCCACTGCTGACAGGACCTGTTTTTGTGTGTGGTGATCTTGGGTCTCCCCCCAAGATTCTGACCCCTCCTCACCTCCATTCAACAAGTGTTTGTTTTGTAGACACTGCACTGGCGATGCAGCGGTGAGCAAAGATACTCCTGTCATTAGACTCTTAGAAGGATAATTTTTTAAAAATATTTATTTATGCATACAAGAACTGGGGTGCAGGCCAGAAGAGCAGGGGGTGACAGGATTCACCAGAGACAGAGTGGGGAGCAGAACAGGCAGACTGACTGAAATACACTGCTGAGGGGAGCAGCGGGCGAGTCAGGAGAGGTCTGCTGCGCCATGTGGGTCACCTCCCCGGCTGGAGATGGAACTCGTGCTGCAGTGGCTGCGGACAGCTTCATAGTGCTGCAGCTAAACCCCTTGCACCACCAGGGAAGCCCCAGAAAGATAACTATTAAGCAACTTATTTTATCATTGTTTAATCACCGTTGTAATAAGTTCTGTGAAGGTGTGTTAAGCCAGCATATAAAGCAGGAGACTCGAACTAGTATGGAAGGTAAATGAAGATGCTCTGAAGACAGTACATTTAAACTGAGCCAGGAAGGATGAGTGATCGCAACTTAGGAAAAACAGTGTGGAGGTGTAGGAAGGGATGTGGGGGTGGGGAGAGGTGGGGAATAGCCTTCCAGACAGAGGGCCCAGCAGGTGAGGTATGAGGAGTGCGGAGGAGCTTGAGAGGAAAGAGAAGCCTGATATTGCTGGAATGTAAAAAGTCAGGTGAGGAAAGGCGTAGAAAAGGTAGGATGAGTTGACTATTTTGAGAATTCTGGACACTTCCTAATGTGGTCATGTTACTTCCCAAAAGCTGCTGACAAGCTTTTATGCTGACAAGCTTTCTCATGTAGAAAGATGAAATCGCAAGAAAGGGGGGCAAGAGGGCCTCTTGAGTCAACCCCTGAGGGAGAGATGCAGGTCGATGGATGCAGGACGCGGCCAGGGACGGTGAGCAGAGGTGGAACAGTGGAGCTCAGAGCACTTGGGCACTGTTAGAGGACTTGGGGGGTACTAGAGGGAGAGGGAAGAGTTGGAACAAAACTCTCTTTTGACTTGAGCAACTGAAGGGTGGACCCCGCTGGCGGGTCCTGCCCACACTCTTAAGAACATAAGACGTGGGCCTCCCTGGTGGCGCAGCGGTTGAACGCTGGGTTGCGAAGCTGCCCGCAGCCTCTGCAGCACCGGTTCGATCCCCGGCCACTGGCAAGGGTCCCACATGGCGGGCAGACCTCTCCTGCCGCCCGCTGCTCCCCTCAGCAGTGTACTTCGTCAGTCTGTCTGCTCTGCTCTCCGCTCTGACTCTGGTGAATTCTCTCGCTCTCCTGCGCTTCTGACTGTACCCAGTGCTTGTATAAATAAATAAATACATCTTTAAAAAAAAAAGAACATAAGAAGTGACCCAAAGGCAGACATGCAGTGAGAAGTAACAAGGAAGAGAGAGAATTCACTGCCTGGCACATGGCCAGACGCCTTCTGTCCCACCCCACATAGCATCCCTTGAGCAGAGACCAAGGTCCAAGCTGAACCTGCATGTGGCACGCTGGTGGCTGCTCTCCAGACAACCCTCCTCTCCAGTGGTTTAACTGCTAAAAACTCAGCTCCGCCCCTTTTACCCACCCCTCCACCCCCTCTCAAGGGATAGTTTGAATCACTCTATCTATCAACAAGTGGGCTATGAGCATGACCCACTGATTTGGAGGTTGCTCTTTCTGTTCCTCTTACAAAATTGTATATTTTAAAAGGTGATGTTTACTATAGGTCCTATGTTCACATAGTAGAAAAAGCAAATACATGTTCAGGGAAACACTCATCCCTGTCCCTTCTCCATCTAGTTCTTCTATCTCAACCCACACAAGGAAAATAGTGGTGATTTCTGAGGGGAATCCTAGATGCCTTTATGCATACAAAATAAATCAGATATGCCACAGCTTATACCTTCTAATTTTTTCCACTCAGTATATCTTGGAGCTCTTTCTATGTGAGAAAGTAAAGAACTTGTTTTGTTTTGTTTTCATTGCTGTATAGCATTCCATTACAGAGATGCACTGTGACTTACCTAACTAGGCCTCCACCTTGGGCTCCTTTAAGTCTTTTTTTTTTTTTTTTTAAGATTTATTTATTTATGCATACAAGAGCTGGGGTGCAGGCCAGAGATGTGGGGAGGGGGGTGAGAAGATTCACCAGAGACAGAGTGGGAAGAGAACAGGCAAACTGAAATGCACTGCTGAGGGGAGCAGCGGGCAAGACAGGAGAGGTCTGCCTCACCATGTGGGTTGCTCCCTGGCTAGCCGGGGATCGAACTCATGCTGCCGAGGCTGTGGATTGCTTCATAGTGTGTTGCTTTAACCACTTGCGCCACCAGGGAGGCCCCCTCTTTTGCTGTTATAAACAACACTGTAGTGAATGGCTGTGTCTGTCTCATTTCACATATGTGCAGATGTATCTGTGGGCTAAATTCCCAGAAGTGTAATTGTACAAAGACTATATACATTCAAAATCTCAAAAGATATTGACAGACTTTCCCTCACAGCTATAATAATTTACACTCCCAGCAAATACAGGTGAGAGTCTACCTTTCTCCCACACTCTCACCAACATGTTATTAATTATTTGGACTTTTTGCTAGGCCATCTGTTTGTATTTTTTTTTTTTTTTGCTGTTTTCTCTATTTTTTTTTCTTAGCAATTTCTGAAAGTTCATTTATTAGCAAGATATCCCTCTTCCTGATATGAATTACACACAATTTTTCCCAGTTCTTTATTCTCCCTTTATTTTGTTTATTGTGTTTGGGGCCATTTAGAAAGTTTTATTTATTTATCACTTTTGTTATAATGTCTGTGATCTAAATCATGTATAGAAACATATTCTCCATTTCAAACTTGTAATTTCTTCTACAGTCTATGGTTTTTCTTTTCATATTTAAATCATTGCTTCAGTTGGATTATGCATATATATGTTATATGTAATATTTATAACAGTATGTGTGACATGCATATTTTATATGTGTTTGTGTGTGTGTGTGTGTGTGCATGTGTGTATGGTGTGGATCCAATTTTTTTCTTTCCAGAGATGGCTACCCAGTTGTGCCTATAATGCTTGTTAGTTTCTGTAGGTCATCTGCCTTACCCGCTAGCATATCAACTCTTTTTTATACAGAGACTTATTTTCTACTACCCATTTTTTCTTTTTCTGAGATTTTCCAGAGTATTCTTTCTTGTTTATTTTTTTAATGTGAAATTTAGGACCAGCTTGCCTAGTTCAATTATAAAAACGTCTTAGTAATTTTAGTGTTAAATTTATGCATCAACTTAGGGAGAAGTCACATCTAATCCTGTGGAGTTTCCTAAGAATATATAGTAGGTTCACGTCTTGTGTTGTTAAATTTCCCTTTATATGTCTCCAGATTTATTCCTAATGTTTCATCTTTTTTTTTTAACTGTTGTAATATGTTTTCCTTTTACTCATCTCTGTGGTTGTTATTTTGTACCCATGAAAGCTATCTATAGCTATTTATTAAATTTGTGTCTCTTGTTTTTTGGGGTCTGCTTTCTAGCTCTGCACTTACAGGGTAGCCACTAATGCAGGTAGTTAAGTCAAATTAAAATCTTTGTTTCTGTCTCACACTAGCCCCACTTCACATGCTCAATAGCTATGTGTCTGGTTAACACGTTGTAATGTCTTGCTGTGTATTTCTTCAGACATATAGCCGTATCATCTTAGTGATCATTAAACTTTCTTTTCTAATTTTTGTGCCATTATTTTCTTCATCTTTTCTAATTTCACATTTGTCCTGTGTTTTTCTTTGCTTTATCTGGCAACCCCAACAGAGAAGGGCACATTTTTTCCTGTGGTAGTCTTACCCAAAGTGCCCACTGGAACTATAAGTAACAGACACATTCTACAAAGATACTGAGCATGAGACAAGGAAAGACTGAGAAATTATCACAGGGAAAAGGGATTAATAAAAAATAAGAGTAAAAATGAACAAGTTAGAATCAAAGCTGACTTCATAAGGGGTGGGAATTCTAAAACTAGGGGTTAGGCAAACTTCCTCTGGAAAGGGCTAGATAGTATTTAAGATTTTGTGGGTCACTGAAATAGTTGTAACTCTTCAGCTCTGCCATTGCAGCATAAAAGCAACCACAGATAATGCATAAATGGATGGGCGAGGCTGTGTTCCACCAGAACTTTACAAAAACAGGTAGTTGGGCCCAATCTGGCCGAAGGGACACAGTCTGTCTGCATCCCTGATCTTAACAGATCACTTTCCATAAGAGAAACTTTTCAAAGAAAAAAGTTTTGAAATCTCCCAAACTACCAGGTTTTGTCAATTTCACAGGATAATTATACAAATTTTAAGATTAGGTCAATGTAAAAATGCTTTCATCTTTCAACTCTATTTCCCTCTCCCAGTCACCTTAAAGCACCCTGAGGTGTTTAAGGTACATCTTACGGTTTGTATGTGTTACAGCGTTTCTGTTTTGTTTTTAATGTTTGCATTCATAGTGTTGTTCTTAGGGCAGATGATTCAGCACTCTCTGGTTTTACTGCTATTCATTTTTTTTCTATATAGTAATTTTCCTCTTGTAATTTCTTCAAGAAACACTCATGGGAACTGTATTCTGTAGTTTCTGTTGGAAAATGTTTATGCCTTTATACTTGAATGAAACAATCTCTATCTGTAGGTTAACTTTCTAGAAATGGGATTCCTGGATCCAAGGCTATGTGCATTTTTAATTTTAAATATGTGATAAATATTTCCAAAGTATACCCACACTTACATTCTCTATTAATAAGGTATGGCGGAGCCCACTTACCCACTGTGCTTAACAGAATATTACCAAGGGTTCTTTCCTCAGTCTTTGCCAGTCTGATAATTGTAAAATTGAACTTCATTTTAGTTTTGTTTTTCAATTCACTTCTTATATCTGAGATTCTGTGTCTTTTCAGACATGTGAGAACCTTTGGTGTTTGTGCTCTGACTGGCAGAGAATTGTGTGTTTCTCTAGCTTTTGTTTTTGGAGGCCCTTTTTTATATATCAAAAAATTATCCTTTATTTTTTGTCATTTGAGATGGTTTTTTCCCTAGTTGTGCTTTTATTCTGTTTGTTATTTATTGCTTTATGGAAATTTTTAATTTTTATTGTTTTTATTTTTTCTTTCATGACTATTATATTTTATATTCTGTTTAGAAAGGCATTTCCCCACTGAGATTTTTTAATTTATGTTTTCTTGTAGTAGTAACATATCCTCCCCACCCCCAGCCCCACCCCATATATTTTTGAGGCCCAAAGCATTGACAATGTATTTGGCATGATGTGTGAAAATGGTCTCTGACATACTTTTTTTTTCCCAGATGGCAGTATATTTGTCTAAGGAGTAATTATTGGTTAATCCATGGGTGTTTAATTTTAGAAATCATCTGTTACACAGGGAGATGAGTTCATTATGAATATATTATAGAGTGAGAAGAGGGTGTCGGTAGGCCTGTGTCTTAAAAGAACCCCAAAGCATCAATTCATATTGAAGGAAGATGAGCCAGTGAAGGAAAGTGGAGCAACTAGGGCAGTAGGAATGCCGGTGTCTGGGGGTAACTGACTGAGCTGAGGCCCTGAGGGACCCCGTAGGCTGGTGGGCCTTCCGTAGACCCAGCCACACGGATGCGGTGGAGGAGCCCACTGGTGCCGTCTGTGAGGCACATTCTAGAATTCGAGTGGGGTCATGGAGGTAGAGGTGGGAAGTGGCAAATGGCGACAATCGTTTCAAGAAGCGGCTCTGCGACGGGCAGGAGAGCCAAGAGGCCTGCAGTGCAGGGGACAGGGCATTGAGGAAGATTTTTAAGGATGGGAGAAATTTGTGCATACTTCAGCGTTGAGGGGAGGGATCCAGTGACGGAGATGTGGAGGCAGCAAGTGAAGAGCTGATGAGAAATGAAAGGCTCCTGGGAAGGTGGCACAAGATCCCCTTCTGGGAGCCGGGGACCTGCCTAAAGCTGAAGAGACCATTAGTACGTCGAAGCAGGAGGGGGTGTGGAGAGGGCTGTCTTTACTCACCTCTCCTTGTTTGAAGGAGCGCTAGGTTAGCAGCTGATGGCAGCGGTGGGATGGTGGGTGCCTGTCAGAGCCTGCAGAGGTCAAGGTCATGGCGCTGAGGATGTGGCTGAGGTAAAGGTGGTTGTCTGTATTGCAGAGCCAGGTCATTTCCATCCAGCTGGACCCAAATTAGGATCTTTGCCTTTGCCGCTGTACGTGAGGCCTGGGCCTCAAGCTTTCCCCGCGGCTTGCTTTTCCTCCCCTGTGCGCCGGCTGCTAGGGCTTTGCTTGCTGCCCACATTCACACTGACCGTGGTCATGGCCTCATTCCTGTTGCCTCAGTGTGGTAGAGAGGACACCCCCCAAAACTGAGTTGAGTCCCTGTGCTTGCTTCTCTCAGGCCCCAGTTCATCCTGACGCCTGTCAGCACTCCACTCCAATCAGCCTTGACCCTGGGGCTTGAAGGGCGAGGGAAGATGGTCCAGGGATGGGTTGCTGTTGTGCTGACTTCTCAGGGGCCTCCTGTCATCTTAGTGGGGAAGATCTCTGCCACTGATCTTCCGTGGTGCCGGAGACGCTGGCGCAGCGTGGGGGCAGAGGAGATAATTCCACACTGGCTTCTGGTGCTCCGCCTCCTCTGTCTTCCTCTGCTCTGGTTCTGAGCATCTTCTGTCCTGCAGGGGGACACAAACTTGCCCAATTCCAGAGACTCCTGGATCGGGGACGTGCGGGGCCGTTCGGCGGTGAGGCCTAATCACCTGAGCCTGGCCGGGGCCGCCTGGAAGAGCTTAGCCTGCAGTGAGTCAGGGGTGGGGCCGGAGGCCTGTCAGATCCGGGGGGGTCACTCTCTCAGGAGGCTGGCGGGCAAGCCCGCTCAGGCCTCCACCTACTCGTTGTAGGCAGCAGAACCTCCCTGGGCAGCTGCTGCTGCTCTCCGGCCAGCCTGTCCAGCTTGGGGACCTCCTTCTCCTCCTCCTACCAGGATCTGGCCAAGCACATCGTGGACATCTCTATGGCTGATGTGAGTGACCGTGCTCGTCCCCAGCGCTCTCCGCTGCTGGGAGGGAAGAGAAAGGAAAAGAGTGGGGCGGCCGAGGGCCGTGGGGCTCGCGTGAGCGCCTTCGGTGACTGGTCCTGATGAGAGGGAGGTTAGCGAGCGCTGGCCCCAGCGCCTGAGCCAAGGGCCTGGCTAGTGAGGTGCTCGCTGATGTGGGTGTGGCCACTGTGTCCCCAGGTGATGGCCGCTTGCTCAGACAACCTGCACAACCTCTTCAGCCGCCAGGCAGCAGCTGGGTGGAAGTAAGTTCCTCGGCATCACCTTGTCCTCACCCTGCTTGTCTTCTCTTCTCCTTTCCCTTCTCTGCCATGGCTTCCTAGACTTCCTCCCCCTGGGCTGCTGCTCTGCGACTCTGGAACCCAGTTTTCACCTCTTCCCGTTCTCCGTGTCTCGCAGCTATCAGGGCGAGGAGCAGGAGGTGCAGCTTTACTACAAGGTGTTTTCTCCCACTCGGCATGGCTTCCTGGGGGCAGGCATTGTGTCCCAGCCACTGTCTCACGTGTGGGCAGCTGTGAGCGACCCCACCCTGTGGCCCCTGTACCACAAGCCCATCCAGACAGCGCGGCTTCATCAGCGGGTGACCAACAGCATCAACCTGGGTGAGCCCAGCGGGCAGAGGCAGCCCTCGGGGGAGGCCCGGTACCCCGACTTCCTCCGATTGTCAGACTCGGTCCAGCTGGGTGTCCAGTTGCAGAACGATGGGGTGACGGGGGTCCGGGAGGCTTCTGGGGTGGGAAGGATGGAGGACTAGGTCTGGGCACGCACCTCTTGACTCTCCCCATCCCTGGCCCCCCAGTGTACTTGGTGTGCAACACCGCCCTGTGTGCGCTGAAACAGCCGCGGGATTTCTGTTGTGTCTGCGTGGAAGCCAAAGAGGTGGGTGCCTTGCTGGTATTCACGGTATCGTGGGAGAACTGGGGCCGTGCATGAGGGGCAGACAGTGTGGCCAGTTATTGGGGGGGCGGGGGGCGGTTAAGGCTGGCCTAGGGCTGCTGTCTGCAGTAGTGACCAGGCTGGAGCCTGTCCCCAGTCAGTTCACATCATGCAGGCAGGACTCACGTTTCTGTCCCCAGGATCACCTGTCTATCATGGCGGCTCAGTCTGTGTATGACACGTCCATGCCGAGACCCAGCAGAGAGATGGTGCGAGGGGAGATCCTGCCCAGCGCCTGGATCCTGCAGCCTCTCACTGTGGAAGGGAAGGAGTTCACCAGAGTCATCTACTTGGCCCAGGTGACCTGTCCGTGCAGCTGGCCTCCGCTCCTCAGAATTTTCTCTTCCCTTCTTCCAGGCCTGCGGCCTGAGAGTCTTTCTTGAGACAACAGTAAGGGGAGTCGGATCAGAGGAAGGAATGAGTCAGAGTTGATCCACCTTCTCTGAAGCCATTAGCAGAACCTTGCAGCCTGCGTCCTCTGGCTGCGCCCAGTGTCCCGAGGTGACAGATGAGTCCATGTCAGGCGAGAGCAGCCTCCCTGGAGCGGAGAGAACATGACCCCTCTGTTCAGCTCTCCCCTCCCAGTTCTGCAATTTGACCTTTGTTGGGGGGGTGGGGGTGGAGTCGTTGCTTGGATCTGAGCAGCAGACTCTGGGCCTGTCAGCTGCAGGGCAGTAGACCGCTCCCCCCATGGTGACCGCTTGGCTGGCATGTGCCCTGGCACACTCTCAGGTCTGTTGGCACCTTTAAATCTCCCCCCTTTGCTTTATTTCAGGTAGAACTTGGCGCTCCAGGCTTCCCCCATCAGCTCCTAAGCTCCTTCATCAAACAGCAGCCACTGATTATAGCCAAACTGGCTTCCTTCCTGGGTAGCTAGCATCTCGTCATCAGGAAGGTACTGTGGAGATGCAGACCCAGGATGCTCCAGAGAGACGCTGGGGCAGCTCCTCGTAACTTTCTGTACCCCGTGCAGGAAGAGCCAGAGCGACCTGCAGTGGCAGCTGGGCAGAGAGCCCCGAGTTGCCAGCCAAGCCCAGCTGTGCTCGGCCACGGCTGCCACCACTGTAGAGCGAGGGGCCTGAGCCATCCAGAGTGAATGAAGCTCAACTCGCCTTTTTGATTCCTCACCTTTATTTTCTGTCTCTGGGACCCAGTGGCAGCAAGCTGCCCAGCAAGGGGCACAGCCGGCAGAGCTCTGGTCCAGAGCTTCCTCGCGGCCCAGCCCTCGGCCAGTAGGAAGCAAGCAGCCACCGGCAAGACTCTGCTTAGCATCTGCCTCCGGCAGTCAGCTCCAGTGTGGGATGGAGTGTTAGAAAAGACCAGAGAACAGTTAAAAAACAAAACAAACAAAACAAAACAAAAAACAGCTGCACAAACCAGAACATTGATTCAGAATTATTTATCCTTATTGATTAGTTACAAAACGCTTAATTCCATTTGCTTCCCCTTCTTCCTTCCCTCACAGGAGAGGACGTTTGGGTCTCTGCCTGTCAGGAGTAGCGCTCAGTAGAGGGGGAGGACCCTGTGGGAGGTGGGGTGCACAGAGCTGGGGGCCAGGTGGAGCCTAGCTCCGAGGCTCACTGGTGGGGGCAGTCAGATACTGGGTGCCGAGAGGAATTTCAGAAAGGCGAAAGGCAGCTCTGTGAGATGGGAGAGGAGACGAGGGAGGTTAAGTGATTTGTTAGGAAGATGCTCAGTTACATTGTTCCTCTTCTCGCTCAGCCTTGGCCCTAGCTTTTCAGTGGTGTCTCGAGAATTCCACGCTGCTGCTGTCGCCCCACCTATTCTAGGGGGTGGTGGAGGATGGGATGTTTTCTTGTGTCTTAACCTGGCTGAACTTGAGCTTTGAATACGCTGTATAATGACCTGGAAGTAGTGGGAGCGAATTCCAGCTTCAGTTGTGCCTAGAATCTTCGCTGGAAGAGGGCAACCATGTGGGGATGAAGATGTGGAAAAAAGGTAAAGTTCTGTACAGCACAGCAGAAATTTATTTTTCTAAAAGTGTTGGAGGGATTTTTTTCTCTTTTACCTCAGATTGTTATTTATATATTACTGACTGAAGGTTATTTTTTAATTGCTTTTTGAAACTTTTGTTTTTCTGGTTAATTTTTAGGTGACATATTTAACACCCTATTTATGTACTCCCATCTCTTTATATAAATCTCTCACTGTTGACTGAAAAAAAAGTCAACTTACGGGAATCCTGTGTGTACTTTTATTTAGTGAAGATATCCCTGGGACAGCCCAAGTGTGTCATTTGAGCACAGCAGCAGATTTAGCCTGGAGATTGTGATGGCAAGAATCATCGATCCAGTTTTAAGCCATAGAGTTGACACGTATTTACTGAGTGCTTCCCATGAGCTTGTCAGTGCTTTGCACATACCTAACCACCAGACTTTTCCCCCCAGCTGTGGCCAAATCCCAAGTGGAGGGTCGATTCCGTAACAGTCATCGCCCCACCCGACAGTGACCACAGTCCTTGTGGACGTTCTGTAACAGGTGTGCACCTCGGGAGCTTCTGAGGCTGTGTTGATGTGCCCACACGGGTACCCGGAGACCATGTTGCTAACTAGAGAAGCCACACACCGGGCCAGTGAGTCAGCGATCTAAAGATGATGTGAGGCAGATTTTATAACTAAACGCAAAGTGCTAATGATAACCCAGTGACCTGGTCTAAATGATCACGGCAAAGGCAGATTTGGGCTTGGGTAAGTGGTTTTGGTTGTGTTGTGCATCAAAATCACCCAAAGGACTTGTTCCGTCCTGGGCCGGGCTGGGCTGGGCCCCCTCCCAGTTTCTGATTCAGGTCTCCTAGGGGCCCATATATTTGTGATCCTGAGGCTGCTAGATTGGTGACCATGCTTTGAAAATCAATTTTAGGCAGGCTGTAGCAAGCAAATATAATAGAAAGTAGCCTGATTAGGTCACTCGCTGTTTCCATCAGCCGTCGTCATTCTGCCTCAAGTAGGCTTTTACGCTTCACGTAGGCCAGCGGTTTCCGGAACGGGGCACTGCTAAGTTTATTGAGCTTTGGGCCAGGCCTGGGTTGAGGCTTAGTCCTTCTGCCTGGCATCCTTGGGGCTTCAGGCTTTTGCCACTGGCCTGCCTGTCCTACCTCAGAGGAGCGGCAATGAAGTAACTCAGCTTCCTAGAGCGGTGCTTTCCTTCAGCCACATCTGATGGGCGCAGAAAGATAAAACTTTTGGTTCTCAGCATTCAGAACTTTCTGAATTTGCTGTAGTATAAATTGGATTCAAAGGACAAAGATAAAATCATTTGAAAATGTTGAGATGCAGTTGTTGAAGGAGTAATGGGCTGGGGAAGGTGCACTCTTACTGGGCAGGAGCTGTGGGGACTGAGAAACATCCCTATTTTCTGTGCTGCTGGGACTTAGTGGGAGTAACCAGCTTTCCTGTTGTCAAGGCCCCGAGAACCTGACCTTTCCATGGGTTGGCGACCTCTTTGACAGCTGTGAACTTTCCCCCCAACTTTTCCCTTCAACAGGATTCAGAGTTATCTTCTCCAACAGAGCCTGACTTTACACACTGCCAAAGTAGAAAAACTGTGACTTTTGCAGGAGTGAACTTAACGTAGACTATCAAGGTAATTAATGCTTCCTGAGGCAGTGGATCATTCAGACAAAAAATGCTTTTTAGTTTCTGGCCAGAACAAACACCCCAGTCCTGACAAAACAGGCATAGTGGGAGCTTCCTTGCTACAGTTTAATAGGCAGGACCTTGTGAGTAGAAATTGCACACAATGCCCTGAACTCTATAAGGGAGTTGCCCCGAGGTCAGCACTGCGTGGAGCAAGTTGACAATGGAACACGCAGGCGTCACCAGGTGTCAAGGCGCTAGGGCAGCTCCACTCAGCCCGCCTTCCCGCAGCCGTCCGCAGGAAGTCAGGTGGGAGTGAGTAGACATGAAACCCCCAGTAAAGAAAGCAGTTTATTTTAAAAAGCTCTTTCTCCCGTGCACAACCCTTGGATGGAACTGGGTTGCGAGCTACTGGCTGAACAGGGGACACACGGCATCCCGGTTTCTGTCCTGTGAGCCCCCCTCGTCTGCCATGCACTTTGAAGCAGCTGGCGGTACAGCTTCTGGTGGGAGAAAATGGAGACTCGCAGGATTCATGTTTCAACTTTCTCACGTTCCTTACACGGTAAGCAGAAATCATTTGCTTCTGTCATGATTTCCCGAACAACAAAGTTTTAAGAAATGCCGAGTTAGCAGCAAGTAGGGCCGGGAGCCCCCACACATCATTTCACTTAGTGTCCAAGCGATGCCGACTTCTGTTCCAGGACTGGAGTCTGTCGCCTTTTCCACCACAATCCCGAATCAGGTAAACCCTCCTCCTTCCTCTAGGACTTGGGGTGGCGCACCTGCACTGAGCCACACTTTCCCTTCGCATACGAGCAGGAAACCGGGTTGCACACTCAGCTACTCCTGCACTGCCGAGGGTCAGCAGTGGGCACTTGGGTGGCTCTGGAGCTGCCTCCTGTGGCAGGGCTCCAGGGTTCTGTTGAGATGCCCAAGGCAGGGCCACTCCCCAGTCTTAACTCTGGGCCAGCACAGTCCCCCGGTTTGGCTGCACCAGCTCACAAGCTCTTAGCTGAGGTTCTGGCACGTGGGGCTCAGCTAAAAACAGGTTGAACAGGGTTTGTAATTCTTCAGAGAAGTCCTGGGATAAACAGAAAAGGCACACGTCTGCTTCTGGGGGGGCTCATCCTTTCTACTGAAAAACCCCAAAGATCAAGCCCTAGCTCACCAGTGATCAGGCAACCCGGCACTTTTCTTTTTTCCCAAATGTCTTCTACTCTAACGTGGACTTGAGCTTCCCAGAACACTAACAGGACAAGGTCACGTTACAGCAAGGGAGGCGCAGAACCATCTACTGAGTACTTAGCGTGCACGTTATTTCACATCAAGTATGAAATGTAATGTTATCCCTACTTGATGGCCCTGTCCATGTGATGTTGCTCCTGATGTTCGCTGTGAGGTAACGTGCACATTAACATTCAATGCTAGCTGTGAGTAACAGTCAGGTGATTCCCGGCCACGCTGCTTCCTAGGCACCTGCCTTCCCACTGCCTTTCCTCCACTGGCTCAAGAACAGCCACTGCTCCCTTCAGGATGGCCCCGAAGATGCTTTAAGAAGCTTCTAAGAATGCCAGGCCCAGTTTCAGGATAAAATGGTCACAGGAGAACTCCTTACCTCTGGCCACCGGGCCTCACGCAGGCTGCCCAGGCAAGCCTCGATCTCTGTCCGTCCCATCAGGCCTTTCTCTACCAGCTCCCGGAGCAGGAACAGCAGCAGGTCCCACTACAACACACGGGGGAGGAGGTGAGAGTGGCTGGAGGACAGCACAGCGACCCTGACAGATTCGAAGGGCAGAGCTGGAGAGGTGTCCCTGAAGGGAGTCATTCCGGCACAGAAGTGAAAATGACCACCATTACCAGAAAAAGGGGAGTAAGGGTAACAAGTGCCTGGCATTTGGGGTGAGGGTGGTATGAAACATGATCATAGAGGGCCGAGAAGCCCATCTGTCCCTAACCGCTCACCTCCCTCGGCCGAGTGTCTGCCAGAAGCCCCACGTTTCTCGGGCTCAGCAGCAGCTGCAGTGGGACGGGCACCTGAAAGTCATCCTTCCACAGGGAGAGCAGAACATGCAGGAGCCTTCGCGCCTGCCCGCGCTCCAGCCGGTGCTGTGCTGGGGGCCCGAGTACAGGAATTTGGTCAGCCACTATGGGAAGAAAGGAAAACTAAGCTTTGAGGAGGCAGGGCCACCTGGCCACCCTGGGGGAAGAAGAGCCGTGGAAGGCACCACGTTCCTACTCTTGCTTGTACCCAACCCTGAGATCCCGATTGCTGGCGAGAGTGATTTGCCAGGAGCCATACCAAGGAGAGATGCTAAATCCACAGAGCACTTTGCCAGATGCTGCTCAGCAGGTGGGCACAGGAACTGTGGGGAAAAAGCAGTGAGACCTTGGACATTGGCACGGCCTGCAGAGCAGCAGCCCCAGGCCAGTGGCTCTGGTTCTCAGGACACACAGGCCACACTCACCTGGCGGCACTGCAGCATCTGGCCTAGCTGGCCTAGGAGTTGCTCCAGGTACTCTGGGGAAACTCCCTCCTCAGGGTCCCGGGGCCCAGCGGCCAGAGAGAGCACATCCTGGAGAGAGAGAGAAGGAGCAGAGTGAGCCTTCATGCCAGGCTGGGGCCTAGGCGGCCACAAAGAATGTGGCTTGGGGTGGGGCTCAACCAGTACAGGCAGAAGGAAGATGGCCCCTGGGGATGAAGTGACTGGGCCGAGGTACCCTTAGACTTGGGGCTCGGGCAGGACAGCACAGCTGGAGAACCAACCAAGTGGACAACAGGGGGAACACAGGAGCAGATAAGCTGAGGGAGGGTTGCTGCTAGAGGGTTCGAGAGAGATGTCACGAAAGATGTCTTGGGGTAGTCATGTCGACTCCCAGAGTACCCTGAATTCTGAAAGCATCTAGGGTGACCATATTGGACACATGTCCTGAGATTTTCTATCCCTCACGCTTCTCAGGAGAGTCAAGGTTTTGGTACAGAACCCATTACCTATTGAACACTACTAGTTGATGGCTGCTTAGCCTTTTCTTCACCTTACTTACACTTCCCACCTTTGGTCATCCCTTCTTGGTCCCTAGGCCAAATCTACACTCCCACACCACTACTCCAGACCAGAGTGAAAGAGTCAACAGTTCAAGCTTTTGCAGGCCATACAGTTTGTCCCAACTACTCCATCTGCCCATTTTATGTCAGATTTGGCCCATGGGCTGTGTGCTAAGCTCTGGGCCATAGTTTCTTCTTACTGCCTGTAACTAAACAAGCGTCACTTCCCATTTAGAACATTTCTGTGAAATGATATCCAAATACTGGGTGTACCACCCACTCAAAGACTTCCCTACCGCATGAGTCAAGCCATTCACTGCCCTAACTCCCATGCCATCTGTGCAATTCAGAATTAGTCCCATTTTCATAGCCACCTCACACTTTTGGGTGACCGAAGTATCCAAAGTTGGAGAACAATTAGGAAACCATTCAATTCAGCTCTGCCCTACCTAATCCCATTGAGTATGAAAACAGGAACTAGCCGGACAACACAGAAAGCTGCTACACATGACTGCTGGAGTCAATGTGAGAAAGGAAGGAGACCAGGAAGAGAGCAGGGAGGAGGAGGGGAGCCGAAGGGGAATAGGGGAGCCGTGTACTTTGATCTCGGAGATGAGGTGGGAGGGGAGGGGAGCATGGTGCTCACAGGCACGGGAGCAGCCCCTCCGCTCCCCCTGGACAGCCAGTTCAGGACCCTGGGCGCGAAGTGTTCGGTTCACTGCCGCTTTCACCTCTCTTCTGATCAGCGCTGCCAGTCAGGGAAAACAGGAAAGTTGTCACCATAGCACTACACTTCGGCCCACCAGGCTAACCAGCACCGTTCCTTGTTTCCAACTGGCTCCGAAACCATCACCCCAAAGTAGCCTCTGATTTCCAGTCAGCCACCCCTTTTCCAGCATACCTCACCTGTGATATTGGCTGACAACCAAGCACAGGCTTTTTCTGTTGCAAGTCCCACAGCAATGTTCTCTGCACTGCTTAGCACCTACGACACAGAAGCATTAGAATCAGGAACAGACTGGGGGTGACGCACGCTCCGCAGTCCGGGGCTGCCTCATCCCCAGTTAGCAGACGCACATGCGCGCACACACAGGGCGCCTCTCTGCCTCCAACCACTCAGCCCACTAGCTCCTGGCTTCCTACGTACAGCTCCTGGGGTCTCCTCCGGAAGCAGTGCCCGCACGGCCCCAGGGCTCTTCCTTTGGCAGAACCTGACGGGAGAACAGAGCAGGTCAGGGAGGTGCAGACACCTCAGCCCGGCTCACAGAAAGAAATGCCCCCAGAGCACCAAGCTCCACACCCAGGAGCGCTGCCTCGGTGCGGGGAGCACTGTTGGCCAGCTAGCCCCACCCCACATGCTGGAAAGGAGGAGGTAAATGAGCGTGGAAAAGGGTCATAAAATAAGATGTAAAAGGAGAATGGAGACGGGAGGGTCCGGACAGATGGGGTCTCTTACTCCCGCCCCTGGGTGAGTGCCTGCGCCCCATAGGGGCAGAGCTGGGAACACAGGATCTCCAACAGCTGGGCTGGATCTCTCCCATTCTTTCCCTCCGTCACCAGCTGTTCTTGAAGAAGCGACTCTGCCTGGCGCACCAGGTCCGCCACCAGTGTGGCCCTGCAGCAGGAGCGGCGAAGTTTGGAGGTATTTAAAAATCTTGAGTCAGAAAGGGATTACCGATTTAAGGAAGTCCGGTCAGAACTTCCTTCAAAGAATGTTAGCAAGTTGAGCACCCGATGAACCCGCCCTCTCCCTCAGTTTGGCAAAGTGTCAAAAGGGGGAAATGGGAAGGGAATGACACTTGGGACCCCAACACCTCCACTGCCAGCCCCCTCAACCCACACTCACTTGATGTGTTTGACACAGTTAGAACCAATTCGCTCTGCCACAAATTCCACAGTCCTGCGCAGGGAGGGTGGCTGGTTGTGGAAAAAGGCTTGGGCGAGCTGAGCCTGTGAGGAGGAAGCAGTGAAGAGATCCCATTTTTGACCCACTGGGCTACCCTACCCCTGCCTCCACCCTGCCTTTACCTGCAGCCCCTGGGTGGTCCGGGGAGGCTGGGTTCCCAGTCCAGTTGTAGTGGTGGGGGTAATTTTCCGCACAAAGCCCCCACTCCGTCCACTGCTGCCTGATACCCACGAAGCCAGCAGTTTCCGAAGTTCTCCTGTGTCAGGGAAGGCCAGGTGCTTAGTTCCAGAACCACCCCCACCCTCCCCACCTGAGCCCAAGTGGCTCAGGCCCCTTGGGGAACATCTAAGAACAGAAGGTATTAGGGTGTTAGGCCCATGGGGTGCCTTTTGGGGACTCATGAGGGACAGGCCAAGGTCACAAGACCCTGCTGGGGAAGATGCATGTCCTCACCGATATAGGGGCAGCAAGTGTAGAGCAGGTGCTGGTCCACCACCGGCATGTTGTCCTGGGGGGAGAAGAGGCCAGAGCTGGGCAGACAGCTGGGCTTCCCGTCCTTCCCAGTGCGCCCAGAAATGGGAGTGTCAGAATGCTGTGAGGTTTCAGTGTCTGGCCTGGCCTGTCTCCCACTGAGCCTTCTCAGTCAGCAACCCCGCACTCTGCTCCTCTCCCCCTCACATTTCCATGGCTCTGGTTAGACCCCAACACTTACCAAGCCGTGCTCGGGGGTTACTGTGTCTGCTTCAGATGTATCCAACTGACACTCTTCCAGAAAAAACAAGTGCTCGGGGACTGTTGGGATCTGGCAAGTGACAGGGCAATGCAAGCTCCAGTGGCACTTCCGAGACGCCATGTCTCACCACCCCTCCTAACTCGTGCTTCCTGGATTAGGCACCAAGTTCAAAGCAACCTTCCGCTCAAACCACAGTGGTTCCCATTCCTTCCGTTTCTTCAACGGCCCTTCAGACTCCGTCCCCTCTCCCCATCTCCAGCCGCGGCAGCCGTCACTTTCCCGACCTGGACCCTCCCTCCACCAACCTGGAAAAGCCAGCCCAGCACCGCAAGCAGCAGCAGCTTGTTCAGGAAACACATTTCCCCCTCACTCTCCTTGGACAAGACCAAGCTCCTATAAGTAAACGAGGGTGTGACCTGAATTAGTGCCAAGAAAGAAATGGAACGAGCAAAGGCAAGCTATCCCTGGGAAGGCAGTTCTCAAAAGCAGACCGAAAAGGGACTATTAGGCCACAACAGAAACAGAAACGGGTCAGTGAAAGTTCTTTCTTTGTGGACCAGAGGCAGCCCCTCCCAGGAGTGGGTCCCGCTGTGGTGCCACAGCCCCTTTCCCCACTCACCGATGGAGCTGCAGCAGGAGCGTGAAGACGCTGCGGTAATAGTCCATCAGGGGGACAATGTGGTCGGCGAGGGAGAGGAACTCCACCAGCCAGGGCACCGTGAGGACCGCCCGGCGGGCCCGCAGCCCCTGCTGCAGCAGAGCCCGCACGTCCAGCACCGGGGGCACCTGGCAGGGACGGGAGTCGGTGGGCGAGGGCCAAGGGCCATGGGATGCCCGCTGGCAGGGGTGGTGGCAGGATGTACCTCCCTGCTCCCTCCTTACCAGAGCCCTCATTCACCTGGCTCCTCAGGGCCAGAATGGAGTCCTGGAGCTCCCGAGTTGGGGGTGGTTCGGGTCCCCGGTATGGCAGGAAGGCCACAAAGCCCAGGAATTTAGCCAGAAGCCTCAGGCTGAGCAGCACCACAGCAAACTGCCTCCGTTCGCCCTGGAGGGGAACAAGGGGAGGAAAAGGTCCTAAGAACAATTCTGTGTTACAGAGTTGCTCTGGAGAATCCCCTTCCCCCTGCTGGCCAGAACCCGTCAGCTCCCTTGTTCTGCTTTCTGACCTGCCAGTCCACATCCGCCTCCCCATCTTCATCACTGGGTTCAGGCTGAGGCAGGGTGAGGCTGTTGAGCTCCCGGATCTTCAAACTCAGACTATCCATGAGATGCTGATTAAACTGAAAGCTAAGATGGGGAGGGGGGAAAGGCATTGGAAGAGGTGCCCCGGGCAGAAGGCTTGGCGGGGTAAAGGGCAGGCCTAGGAATAATGAGGTCACCTATGTGGATGAAAGAATGAGGGGAAACAGAGGCAGGGAAGGAGGAGCTGAATGGGGGGCAGAGGTCACCTTCGACCACCCCGCCACATTCCAGGGAAAGGAGAGGAGCTATTTGCCCTTCAGGAAGACAAACCCCTCCTGGCCTCTGCACCGCTCCCTCTAAGACACAGGAGACTTTTACCTGCTGGCACTCAGGATGAAGTCCCTGAAGAAGCCCTGACAACCTGGGAAGGTGGGGGGTGGACAGGGCCCCCCACTGCTCTGAGGAGCCGCTAGTCGTTCCTGGAGACGCCGCAACCGCCCCAGCTTGTCAGCTCCAAGCATACTTAACACATCTGGGGCCTCGCCCAAGACAGTGCCCCCAGCACCACCAGGACGCTGACACATCTGGGGCAGAGGGAAAAGGAAGAAATTAGAAATCAGTACTTTTTTCTGTAAAGGACTGAATAAAATAAAGAAGTAATGAACATTACTTTATGAAACACCAACCCTGTGTCAGGTGGCTTAGATACATTTTTTTGAGATAGGGATTATATTCTTGTTTCACTGGTGAAAACACTGAAGCTGTAAGATTAAATATTTGCCTATGGTCGTGCTTAGAGCTGGGGTTTGAAACCAGGTCTCAACCCTAACCCAATGCTCTTTCTAGCACAGCACAAACCAAGGTTAAGGAAGTAATGAGAGGGGCCTCCCCGGTGGCGCAGCGGTTGAGCTCTGGGTTGCGAAGCTGCCCGCAGCCTCTGCAGCGCCAGTTCGATCCCCGGCCACTGGGCGAGGGTCCCACATGGCGCAGCAGACCTCTCCTGCCACCCACTGCTCCCCTCAGCAGTGTACTTCGTCAGTCTGCCTGCTCTGCTCTGCTCTCCGCTCTGGCGAATTCTCTCACCCTCCCGCGCTTCTGACTGTACCCAGTGCTTGTACAAATAAATAAATCTTAAAAATAAAGAGACAAGATTTAAAAAAAAAAAAAAAAAGAAGTAATGAGAGGCTGACAGAGGCATGGAAGGCAGGGCCCGTGAGAGCACCTGAGTTTCAACCACCACCAAGAAATAGAATTCGGGCCTCCCTGGTGGTGCAAGGGGTTAAGCACAGCACTATGAAGCTATCCACAGCCTTTGCAGCATAAGTTTGATCCCCGGCCAGGGAGCTACCCACATGGCGCAGCAGACCTCTCCTGTCTCGCCCTCTGCTCCCCTCATCAGTGTATTTCAGTCAGTCCGCCTGTTCTTCTCCCCACTGTCTCTGGTGAATCCTTTCACCTCCGTGCATCTCTGTTCTGTACCCCAGTTCTTATATGCATTAATATTTCTTTAGGAAAAAAAAAAAGTAGAACTTTATTATCTATTACCTGGAGAAGTTGTTTTTGGAAAAGTCGAACGAAATGGCTGTGGCTGCAGGCTGCAGAGAGCTGACCCATCATGGCTCTGAAGAACAGAGGCAGGAATAGAGTGTGAGGGAAGGTGGAACAGGGATAAAGATCTGAGAACAAGCCAATGTTTGGGCTTTCCAGCCCTTTACTAGGGACTTGAGTGGACTCTACCAGAGCTGCTGGGGCAGGGATATGGGAAAAGGGACACTTTGCCTCAGATTCCTGGAGCCTACAGATACACTTAAACTCACAAAAAAATACCACCCCCCAAATCTTCAGTCTACACCAATTACCAGCGTGCTTCATGACCAACATGGAAGGCAGATCAGTAGACAGAGAGTATTTCTGCATTCTAGTTATCTAGCTATACCAAGATATCAGAATCACCCAAACTACGCGATGGAAGAAAACAGATCGAAGAGGGTCTAGCCCATGACTTGGATTAATACTCAAGCAACCTGGGTTAAGAGCTTTGCACTTTCCCAGCATTTGCCACCAAGGAAGAAGCATGAGTCATTTCTGAGTGCACAGGCAGAGTTGGCAATAACTGGAGAGAGCAAGTGGACAGAAGGTTGACCACTTTGGGTGGGAAGAGGTGGCAGCTTTCCTCCAATCAGCTAGTGAAGCACCATTAAGATGCTCACTGCTCAAAGCAAGAAGAAAGATGAGGGGGCCTCCCTGGTGGCGCAAGGTGTTAAGTCTCAGCACTGTGAAGCTATCTGCAGCCACTGCAACAGGAGTTCGATCCCCACCCAGGGAGCTACCCACTTGGCGAAACAGACCTCTCCTGTCTCGCCCGCTGCTCCCCTCAGCAGTGTATTTTGGTCCATCTGCCTGTTCTGTTCCCCATCTGCCTGTTCTGTCTCTGGTGAATCCTCTCACCCCCCACACCTCTGACCTATACCCCAGGTTCTTGTATGTATAAATAAATCTTAAAAAAAAAAAACCCAAAACCAATGAAAGATGAGGTAACTAGTGTAGGAGCACCTACCTGATCCTGCTTCCCAGGCCCTTCTCAAAATCCCAGCCAGGCTCCTCATGGCGATCTTCCCACTCTCGCAGCACCTCATAAAACACATCCCTGACAGAAACACAAAAATGTCCGATCAACTGAGGGGCAACCGCCTCTCTCTCATCCCCAGGAGCACCTTCCCCAGTGTGGAAGAACTGATCACAGGACCGTCTGTAGTTCCATTCCTCATGCTCGCCAAATCCTCTTTTGATGGTAAAGCTACCACCCCATAGCACCGCGCCCTGTGCTGCACACATGTGCTTCTGAGGGCAGCAAGAGCTGGCTCTCCCTTATCTCAGAGCCCCATGACTAAAATTCACACACCTGTGAGAAGGCTGAATAAAGTCAGGGGTTCATCAAACAGAATGAAGCTAAGTGGCCCATCTGATGGTTGGCAGGAAGGGCCTGGTGGGGCAAAACCACCATCTCTTTGTGTCAAACTCCTATTCTCTCTGAAAACAACAGAGGCTGCCTATCTCACAGAAAATTCCGTCTTATCCCCTCCCAAAGTTCCCTTTTCTTGTCACCTCTGTTTTTTAAAAGTATGAAAGGCTCGGTCACTGGAGAAGTTGGCACGATTGTCAGTTTCAGGTTGAAAGGAGACAGCTTGGGCAGAAGGTGGCATCTCCAGAGAAACCTAAAAGATGGCAGCGATGTGAGGGGCTGAAGTTCAGAGCTCACATGCTCAGAAATCTCCATCCCCATATTCCTGCCCAGAAGCAGCCTGTGTGACACTAGAGTAGTGGGGCTGGGAAGGGTCAGGTCTAAGCTAAGATGGCGTCATTACCTTGGCGACACTGCCCTCATAGGCAGCTCGGAGGCGGCCCTGAAGAGCTGGTGAGAAGCACAGCAGCCGCTCATTTTCAGCCAAGAGCTTCAAGGTCCCTTTGTCCAGGTAGGAAAGAACTCTGTGGGTCAAGCGAGGATGGGAGTCAGTGGGTAGGAGACTGGGACCTGCACGCACTATCTCGAGCACGGAGCAGGCATGTATGACAAAGCCAGAGAACTCAGAAGTGAGGATGATGGAGGCAAAGGGGGAGGAACATGACTTTATGGAGCAGGGAGCAAAGGAGCAGGACAGTAACATCAGACGTAAACCCAAAGGTCAGCTGCCCAGATGGAAGAGGGTGGAAGGACTCTTTTAGGGACCAATGCATAGCCTTGCCACACAATCAAAGTTTACAGGTGGGGAAAGGTTTAGGCTCACAGAACATGCACTAAGCGCAGGCACACACCAGTGGCCAGAAAACCAAGGGAACAACAGAACTAAGGCTCAAGTGCCTCAGCTGGAACACTCACTGAAACTGATGCTCCAAAACCTGCACTGCAAAGAAGACACAGTCATGGACATTCTGGAACAGTGGGCTTTCCAGGGAATCTAAAAAGAGAGCAGCAAATGTCAGCTGAGAGCTGTTGCAGCTCCAGATCCCAGTCCTCACAAAGGGGCATGCACACCGACCTTGGGCTCCTGGGCTTGGCTCAAGGTCGTGATCCTTGGTGGCCACCATGCGCCGGGCAGTGAGGAGTTGAAGGACAAAGAAGAGCTCCAGGAAGAGGTTGGGCACCAGGTTCTCTGGAGGAAACAACCCCAGGACACGCACGACCACTCAGGCCAAGGCCGGCTCTGGGCCCTACTAACCGTCCTTGCTTGCAGTTCCGCCAGGGTCTCTCCACTCTAACCTCCCTCTCACCTGCAATGCACGAAGAGTAGACAAGGGCTACCAGCTGGAGGCGCTGGTGGGAAGACACTCTGGCAGGGTCGGCGGGTTCAGCTGTGATGTTCCCGGTCTGGCTGGGGAGGGGAGACCCCGTCTCTGGGGTGGGGCAGGCAGGGGTAGGTGACTGCTGCTGCTGCTGCTTAGAGCTGGGGGACAGAGAGACGCAGTGAGCATTCAGCGGGGCTTCCCCTCCAGAGCCATACTCAGGTTCCTGCACAGAAGATGACAGCCCAAGAAACAGTTCCCGGGGGCGGGCAAGTTGTGGGGGGCGGGGAAGCCCTGCGATCCCCCACGGGGAGGAAGCTGGCATCCCAGGGAGCGGCAAGGCCATACCGCTCCTTCCTGAGCATCTCCCGCTCCTCTTGCAGACTTCTGCACCCTGGGGGAAGGCCATGGCCCCAAGGGCTAGTGTCCAGGGCTGAGGGTTGGGAACTGGGGGCACAGTTGATTGGGGGTGAGGTGAAGCAGGTCTTGGGCTTGGAAAGTGACCGCTCGTCGCTCACCGGAGTTGGGTTGATCCTGCGTGAAGGCTTCGTCCTGCTGAGAGTAGCCACAGGTTTTTCTTAAACTACTAATTTCAAACATCTCCCTCAGCTGGGCCCCTTGGAAAAGCCCCTCACCCCCGACCTTCGAGCCATTCCCTAGCTCTCCTGCGGAGTGCCCCGCCCTGACTTGGTGGCTCCCCCGGCAGCGCCTTCGTGCCTCCCATCTCCAGGCTGCGGGCTGCTTCTCACCCTGCAGGGCCGGGGGGAACCGAGCCTACGGGAGGGAACTCCTCCAGGTTGCTGAGGTTTGGCGGATCAGAACGTGCGAGGCTGGGGCTCCCGGGGCTGCCGGAGCCCCTAGGTCTCCGGCCCCCGACCCAGGACTGGCTCTCCCCGCCGACTCCCTCCTCCTGGGCCCCGGGGCCGCGGCCTCCTCGCTCGCGGGCCGGCCCCGGGCCCCGCCTTCGGCCGCCGCGGCGGGCCAGAGGGGCCTCGGCGGCGCTCGGAGGCTCGGCCGGAGGGAAGAGCTGGCTGCGCGCCCCGCGGCCGCCCCGCGGCGGGCCCCCCGGCCTCCCTGGGAGGGCTGCCGAGGAGCCCGGCGCCTTGGCGGGGGTTGGGGGGCCCTGCGGGAGGACGCGGCTGCTCTGCTCCCGCAGGAAGTTCAGCAGGAACGGCACGAATTCCTTCCGCAGCGGCCGGAGCGGGCGCAGCGCGGCCGCGTCGCCGGGGTCATCCTGCGGGAGAAGCGGCGAGGCCGAGGGTCAGCCGCGGCCCGCCCGGCCGCCGGGCACCTAGCGGCGGGCACCGCAGCGAGGGCGGGCCAGGCCTGGGGGCGTGTCGGCGCCGTTACCTCCGAACTCCGGGCGCTGCGCGCGACCCACCGCACGGCGGCTGCGACCGACACCTCCTCTCGCAGCAGCGACTCCAAAACGGCCGCCATCCCGGTCGGGGCGCTCGGAGGCGACTGCGCAGGCGCAGGCGCGCCGCGGGCGGCCTGGGCGGGGCGGGGCCGGCGCGGAGCCGCGACCGTTGGGCTGCGGCGCGGGGGGCGGGGCCGGCGCGGGGGCGGGGCCGGGGCGGGGCCGCTGCGGGGCTTCTCCGCCCGCGCCGGGCTGGGGCTTTCGGGTCAAGGCCCAGGTGCGTGCGCGGCCCGCGGCGGGAGACCTGGGGGCCCGCGAAGTGCCCCGCCGCCCCCCGTGAGGCCCTGCTCCGCCGCCCTGGCCCGCGGGGCGACCTGCTGGGACTTGGGGACCGGGTGGCGCCCGGCGGGGACTGGCGGTGAAGATGAAGAGCTTCCCGGGCAGAGACGCCTGCCTGCTGCTCCGGCGACACGCTGTGTTTTCCTCCTCCAGGGGGCTCGATGCAGCCGTCACCACCCGAAAGAAGTTACCATAGCAGGGGGTTAAGGCGCAACCTATTGATGCGGGAATTGTCAGGCCTAGTCTCCCAGCCGGGAAGGAGCCCAGGCTGCAGGGCAGCGCTGAGGCCATAGACCCCCGCGGTGGGTGTCTCACGAAGCCGCAGCAGGAACTTCGCAGACGCTCAGGCCGGCAAGCGAGTAGAGGCAGGTTTGTTTAGAGAAAGAAAAGGTTTATTGAGGAGAAAAGGAACCGAAATAAAGGGGGACTCCCAGGCCAGGGAGGGGCAAGGAAGCCCAAGTGGAGCCGTGTCTCAGGGAATATAGACCTTTTTTTCCCTCATTATTCTAAAGCTGCCCCAGGCTCTCTGTGACTGGTTAGTTCTCGGCTGTCTCACTTAACTTGCTACTGAGCAGGGGATCTTCACATTCCTTATCTAACAGCTTTCTCTTTCCCCATTTGTTGCATCTTTAAATTTATGGCCCAGTCTTCTGGATGGGCATCCCTGCGGTGAAGTTAAACAGCTGCCCTTCTAAGTTGTCCATAAATTAAACCACTCTCCATTTCTCCAGTCTCCGCCTCCCTTTACCACCTGAAGGAAACCAGGACCAGCATTAACAATGTTGTCCTTGGTCCTGGGATGTTTGTTTTTTCTAGTGGAATGGGTTACTTTCCCTTGGTTGTCCTTATCTCTGAAGCCTCCCTAAATTCTTCAGAGGTCCCCTCCTGCACTGTCCCTAAAACTGCCTAATTTCTAGCTTGCCCTGTGTTTTACTATGAAGCTATTGGCAGCCACTGCAGCACGAGTTCAATCCCCGGGCAGGGAGCTACCCACACGGCGCAGCAGACCTCTCCTGGCTCACCCGCTGCTCCCCTCAGCAGTGGATTTCAGTCATTTTACCTGTTCTGCTCCCCACTCTGTCACTGGTGAATCCTCTCACCCCACCCCCGCACCTCTGGCCTGTACCCCAATTCTTGTATGCATAAATGAATTTTTTTTTTAGAGGCATGTTTTATTTATTTGTTTGTTTGTTTGTTTTGTTTATACAAGCACTGGGTACAGTCAGAGGCGCGGGAGGGTGAGAGAATTCACCAGAGCCAGAGCAGGGAGCAGAGCAGGCAGAAGGACCGAAGTACACTGCTGAGGGGAGCAGCGGGCGGCAGGAGAGGTCTGCGCGCCATGCGGGACCCTCCTCCGGTGGCCGGGGAGCAGCCGGGGATCGAACCGGCGCCGCAGAGGCCGCGGCAGCTTCGCAACCCAGCGCTCAACCGCTGCACCACCAGGGAGGCCTGAATTTTTTTTTTTTTTATTTAAAGTTACCATAGGATTAGCCTAACCTCATTTTGATCTTGACTTTCTCAAAGGCTGAATTTTCAGTCCCCCGACCCAGGCTGACTCTTAGGTTTCCTGCCACTCGCCATCAACTGCTTGACCATTTAAGACTTCAAGACAGAATTCTTGCTGGGAGGTTTTTATAATCCCAGCCCACCACCCTTGAAGTGCCTCGGGCCATCCTGCAGACTTCTTGTCTGTTATCTTTACCTCCTTTACCATATAAAGAAGGGTCTATACCATGTTAAGATATAAACCACTTGGCAGTTGAGACGTTAATAGGCGTGTCCATGATTGACTTTAGTGAGACTGACATTTCTTAAGCTGTTTTGAAAAGCATGAGAAGTCTCTGTCTCTTTCGGGTGTTGCTGCTCAGTAAGAAATCAACAAAGGGAAACCCGGTGGAGAAAAACACGACACTGACACTCCAGACCAAACCACACAAGGAGGGGTGAGCAGTGTCCCCTGGAATACCGCCTGAGAATTCAAAGGAAGACTGCCCGTGAAAGCACAGGGTAGTGGATCAGGAGCAGGAATCACTCCAGTGCTACAAGGGGTGTTTCCCGTAAAGGAAAAAGTATCTCCAGTCAGAGACAGACCTTCGGGAGCTTTTAACACAGGGCAATCATATCCCTGAAGCCTGGTTTCTATCTGGAGGGATACTGAACTCTCAGTCCTCTGCTTCCTTTTCTAGGTCACTTCGGGCTGGGGTTTAGAGTTTAGAGTTTACCCTTTCTGCTCCCTGTTGATCTTGTAACCTTTGGTGCATTCAATCACTTTAACACATTAGGAAAATACTCCCCACTCTTGAAATCCAAACCATGACACAAATAGAACTAGAGTTTGCATGCGGAATGAATATTTTATTACTAGATTATAAAAATAAAATACAAAATAATTTTAAAACAGAACTTAAAACACTGTACAAAGCTTTAATATGATACAAATGGAAAATTAAATAAATAATTACACTTTTATGTACAGATGGCCTATACAAAACACTCCATGTTTCTGCCAATACTCTACATGTCCTTGGTTGCCTGAGAAAAATGCATAAGGAGGGCTGCTTGGAGGGGAAAGGGACACAATACGGTACCTTGGGAGGTATTTCAAAGAGCAATTTCTCATCACCGATTTCATGAAGAAAATGGAGAGAAATGTCAAATTAGTAAAGTATGATTGTTCTGGCTCAATAAAAGAGAATTCTCCTGTTTGGCTCAATCGAATGTAACAACTGCCAGTAGTTCATAACTTTCATAATTAGATGTCTCCCTTTTTTCCTAACAGCTATGAACTGGTAAGTAAATGACTCAATGAAATTTTCTGTACTTTTAAAATTTTTCTTTGGCTCAATGAAATCTGAACTGACTCTTTTAAGAAAGAAATCAGGAAGACAAGGAACGGAGAGTGACAGAGAAGGGAGAGGGACTCAAGCCTGGGTCATCTGATCTAGTTGTCTTCAGTATTTAGTTTACCCAATCCAATTTCAGAACCCAAGTGGCACAGTGTTATCGTTCCTTCATAATCCTATCTTTGTATTTCTGAATGTTTATTATCTTAGTGAACTAATTCAGCAAATAGTTTCAAAAGAAAATCAGTTTGAAAAAGTCCCAAGGGCTTTTCCCTTTCCTGGGTAGCTCCCATAATAAATCCATTCAAGTTCTCGCAGCCTTATTTACCCTTCGGTGGGTGAATGAAGACTAGCCAGACTGACACACCAGGTTTGGTGAAGTGTTGCACATGAATTTTTAAGGATTTAAACTGTATGAGGAGAAAGAAGCAGCAGCATACAGCACGGGTAGTCCTATGTAAAAACTTGGTCTTCTCAAGGTTTTTAAATGGATAAGTGAACACATGTTATACAATATGAAACTATTAAACTACTGGAAAGAGAGGTAAATTTCCTATCCATCTTTAGTGTGTAGAATTAGGTCACCAGAAAATTCTATAGTAACATTGAATCCTACTGTCTCTGTTAAGGAACCTAGAATCCCTGGGCTATGGTGTCTGAGAGATAAGTTAGACTCACCAATATTACATACTATGCTCATACTGTCACTTTCAATTAGAGTCACAAAGGAAAAGGCTTCACTTCTTTTCCTGTCTCAAGACCAAGGATCCAGCAAATTCTAAGGAAATGTTCAACTCATTCCTGTATAAATGTTACCTACTTTTGCTATTTAGTGTTGTGAGATTATATATAACCGCAAGGTGATTTTGATCTTGTCAAACATCTGATTAAAATTTCTTCAAGGAAATATAAACTTAAACATCAAGCTCATATACTTTAAAAGCTGAAGCACATAATCATAACTGAGTTAGAAAATGCATTGATGGGCCGAGACTTTATTGTCCTTATTCCATGGCCAGTCAGGATTTCTCAGGGTTTGTGGTGTGCATCATCCAAATTCACTTTTAAATGAATAGGGATCATTGTCCCAGATCGTAAGAACTATAATTCCCCATGTACCTTCTATTGTTCTCCCTAGTAATGCTGGTAACAGATTCTGCAGTTTGCAGAGGCTTTCTGGGTTCAGTTTTACATGATTCCAGAGGGACAGTCAAAATATTGAGAATATCCAGTGATATTTCTACACTTTTCCCACATCCTAGAGGTACACACCAGAGTTTTATTGGATGAGGACAGGGAAGTAGCATGTCGTAAACAATCACCTGGGGTTTTCTATGTACTATATATCCTCCCATATTATCTGAGAACTGGAACTAACTCTTGTTCTCTTCCCTAAATCAAGGTCTAAATACACATCTGTGGTTTCTGAACTTGGATAAATAGTGACATTTGAGGACTACCACAGTGAGATAGTGGTTACATGCCTTAATCCTATAATACTTTTTGCATTAAAACACAGATAAGTAACTATTCTGCAAATAAACTGTCTCAGACCCAAACTCAAGACAATTACACAAGGCAGTTGTTGTCAACCACTCTATCTCCTCATTGATACAGGAGCTAAAATCTCTCCCCCTTTAGGCAAAGTCCCAACACATCTGTGGTAAATGCACATTAAAAGAGTGAATGCAAATAACTTAATTCCAAAATACATGAACATGACAGGAGAAGTGGTTCCCTAACATATATCATGTTTGATAAATATAAAGGAATGAAAAAAAGTTTTTAAAATGTGAAAAATTTGATCTCCAAGACTAACGATAGACTTATCTACAAGTAAATATATTTTCAAATAGCCAGAGTAAGATGCATTTTTCCCCTAAACCACTTAACTCTGAATTCTAGATCCTGTTTCTCCTATCACCAATTCCTAGTGTTAGAATTAGGAGTTTAGTTCCTAGAACAAAGAATCATCCTCTGCTCATGGGGAAAAGCATCTGTTGTTGTGTTTTTTTGTTTTTTTTTTTTTAATTCAAAGCTATTGGGTATAGAAAAACTCATTATAGTTTTAACTATCTGTGTCTGGGTTTATAAAACATGCACCAATGTATACTTTTTCCTTGTAGACTGAATGCAGCCATAGAATCATTCACATAAAAATCTGTGGCCTGGAAAGAATCTCTGATGATTACTGAAGAACCTCAAGTTCCCACAGTGGCTAGGAGCTAGACAGAGATATTGCACAGCTAGTCCACTGAATTAGTAAGCAACCGAGATTTGTTTAGTACCTTAAATCAAAGAATATAAAGTAGATAATGACAACAGTGGGTCTCAATTACCATCTCGCTACTTATTTAGAACTTAATTAACTTGGCAACTTTTATAAAAGACATTCACTTCACAACATGCAACTTAAAAAACAATAAATGTAACTAGGCCACTGCCAGCAAGGCCAGCTTGCATACCAAGTTAAGAACGAGAGTGCCTGCCTAAGACTGGTCATTCAAAGATGTTTATAATTCATGCTTTCAGGTCAAATTTGATATGACCCAGTTCTCCTTTGTTCATTATATATTAAAGTTAAATACCTTTAAGCTGTACAAAAGATTACTATGTAGAATTTTAGTATTTTGACCAATCTGTACACCTTGGAGATTTGGCAGCATAATTCAGGAAGAGTGCTAACTTATGGGCCTGAGCTAATGCTAATTCTATCATCTGCTCCACCCAAGTAATTCCAGAGACTAGAGAAGGGAGAGCAAGGGCAAGCATGACTAGGTAACCAGTCAGTTTGCATCATGATATGAGAAACCAGGGGGCCCCTGATTTTCAAAAGGTAATTTTCACTTCTGTCCCAGAGTACTCTTGGTATAGTTTGGCTTGACTTTAATCGTGTTCCTATCTTAGATAGAATAACCCAACTGATTTAAAATTACTTGGATGATCTATATTTGTCACTGAAATCTGAAATATGCTATCACTAAAAGAAACCATGAAAATAAATAATAAAGAACTAAAAATAACAATCCAAACTGTTCTCTGTATCATACTCTAGAATAAAACAAAAAACAAAAGTTCTTGTGCCAAAAGTGCCTTGTTCAGGGCTGCCAACTCTTCTTTTCAGTCGGAGACATCTACCATCTAAAAGAGCACATACTATGCTTTGAAAACCATAAATATAGAAGACAGTACTTTTAAATGGACATATCGATATGTAAACTATAATTAGTCTGTTCTCTTTTGAAAGTGTCAGAGAAGAAACATCTTTGGTTAACTCTTTCCTCTACATGCAAAATAAAATATTCAGACACAAGGCAGTTGTTTCTCTCTGGATTTTGATGAGTTTGTAATAGCATTTACAAAAGGGGGCAACACAGTGGAAACGTTGGGGGAAAAATAGAGGGAACCAAGAAAGAAAATATTCAGCTGCCATGTTGCCATCATTATCAGTTTTGACCACTAGGAGAGAAATGCCAATAAAAAAACTAACAGACACATACCACAAGTGTAGCCCCATCAGTTATACCAATGGTTACTATCAGGACAGTTCTGACCGGAGGCCAGGGGCCAGGATTTAAAACTGGCTGTGTTATAAAGCACAATTTCGCTAATACAACAGAAAAAAAGACAACTTCTTAATTGTAGATCCCCCATCCCCACCGCCAAGTGAGGTGAAAAGAGGAAAGTAGAACAGTAATTTTAAGGGATTTCTGAAAAAATCAATTTATGTTAGACTCATGATTATCATTCCAGTTTATCCTCTCTAATCATACGGACAGAATTATGTCATTAACATGACAAATCTTTGAACCAGCATTATAAGCATGTCTTAGTAACTTTTTTCCCTTATTAAAATCTTTTTAAAATGACAATTAAATAATCCCTCTTGGCTTGCTAAAGACTGCCAACCTTGCATTACACAGGGAAGGCAAGAAGAATCTGAGGTGTCACATGCCAAGAACATATTTTCAGAAAATGAATAGGCAAGGCCCAAGTGTACACGAGGCACACAATATAAAGGAATTTCACCATCTGTGATCCTGGAATTACAAATGGAGAATGAGAAAGAATGAGTTTGTATAAGCATATGTTTCTCTCTATATATTTATAAATATTTATATAGCTTACCATGAAGACATGCAAGTAGTGTTAGAGCAACTATTATACAATATAATACAGTAGGATTGGTCTTCCAATATTACAGTTGCTTTAGTTAAACAGCAAATATGTCTTACCTATTGCATTCCTCTGTAGTGCTTGAAACGGGAGAGAAATTAAGATTTCACACTATGCTACATTTCTTATGGGAGACCGTATATGCCTCAATAGTGTTTTGAGTTTTTGTGTTTTGTTTTGTTTTTTTTAAAAAAAGCTCGACACGGATAACGAGAACAAGAAAAGTTCAGTGCAGCTTCAGGGCAGCTTTGATGCAGCATTAGAATATGTTCACTTGGTGAGGAACCAGATTTCTTTCTTTTTTTTTGTTTTCCAATTCAACCATATTAGGTTTGGCAGCAAACACAAGGTCAAAGAGAAAGCACAGATGTTTGCTAGAAGGCAAATTTCAACAAGCAGACCAATTTACTTGACCTTAATAAGGAAGGTCTTTACAACACAGAACACCTACAGAGTATAAAAGAGTCATTTTGAAAGTCTAGTATAATTTAATTTTGCCTGGTTCCTGTTAGCTGAAGAGTGAGATTAGAACAATATGAACCTCCTTATAGCTTTATAAATTGATATTACATGGAAATCAAGTCAAGAAGCCCAAATATTCAAACTAAAGCACAGGAGAAGCAGGAAATAAAACATTAAAAGATAAGTATTAAGCCTAGATTTATTTCCCCAGATACTCATTCCTTACTTAGCTAAATGTATAAAATACAAAGTTTGAGGATTATATGTTTCAACAACATATCTAATTTCTTTTTTTCTCTCTAAGTCTCTAAAACATAAAGTCACATTCCATAGTATTGTACTCCCTGGAATCATCTTAGAAGTTGATAAGAGAAATAGCTGGTACCCAGAGGACTGAAGGAAGCAAGGTCTACTCTGGTCAGGTCTCCTCCCACAGGGGGGAAGAAGGTTCTTCTCTCTTGAAAGGGATTATCCCACACTCTGTCCCTCTCTCCCCTCGAGCACTAAAGCCTGCCAAGAACCTCCATTTAGACTTTCCCTTCCTTAAGTTTTATCAATTATTTTTCACCAAAAAAATAAATAAACTGAGTTAATAACTGTTCCTCCGAAGAAAAATATTAGGGACTGAATAAGGGTTACTGGACTTCCAATTGTTAGCCTATGCTGCTAAACGCATATTAAAATGTAGTTAAAATAAGAGAGATCAGATTGGGTGAGAAACATTATCTTTAAAAAATGTGAAATAGGAATGAGGCAAAGTAAAGGTGTGAACTCTCAACATACCAGATAAAGACATAAGTGAAATATATATGAGCACTGGCTTCCCAGCAACAATCTTCTCAGAAACTCTAATACTGGAGCAGTTCTGACCCTCCAAGGTTGGGAAGTTTTGAATGAAAATATTAAAACAAAAGTTCCATTTTTGCTATTATATAATCTTTGAGTAGAGCCTTTAAAAAGCAGGCCAAATGGTTAAAATTCCATTCCACCTCTTACCTTCACCCCCTTTTGTATCAAAGGCAGCTTAAAAATGAGAGTTCGTTTAATGAGTTTCTCCCCCTTGGATTTTGCTGAATTGCCCCTTCCTATGCAAACACATTGATTCCTGATCTGCTTGCTGCCTGCCTTAGAATCCCTTATCATATATTTATGTCTTCTTAAATAATTTATCATGTTACTTTCTTTTGCAAGAGAAGATCAACACTGATTTTTTAAATAGACAGTACAAGGACACACATGCATCAGGTTTAGGAGGAAGATCTCACACCTTTCACAGAGATGCAGCCCGGCTCCTATCTGCTGAGTTTACTGGCTGACTTACTCTTCCCTGGGGGGACTTTAGTGTTGGCTGAGTGGTGGTGGAGGCTGCTGGATCCTTTTAGGCCATTCTTGCTGGGTTTGCAATGCTCCTGTTGGCAGGACCTCCTGGAGGAGGAAGATCCTGAGTGACTGGGAGGTGACTTGCTTCTCCCCAGATGAGGGGATGAACTCCTCTGGTCATGGTGGGGCCTTCCAGCCCTAGATGGTGAGGAACTAGACGTGCGAGGCAAGGAAGAGCTTCGAGGAGAGGCACTGGGACTCCTGCGAGGGACAACGGGACTCTTGGGTGGTGTTTTTGGATTGTGAGTGGATCCTGGACTCTTGCACTGAGTAGTGCTCCGGGGTTTCTGAGATCCATTTTGAAGAATTTGGGCCAGGCGAGAAAAAAGGTCTGAGTCGGAATTGCTGCTCCCTAGGACTTTGTATCTGCGGAGCCTTAAAAGAACAGAGGATGATTTTCATTTTAATTCATTAAAGCCGCGGTGTGCCAAATCATGACATATGACATGAGTCAAAATCAGGAAACATTTAGAAGATACGAGTTGCTCTTTCACATACCAGCTGTATGACCTGGACCAATTATTCAACTTCTCATAGCTTTTATTGAGAAGACTCTCTGTTTCACACAGTTACTAGGCAGCCAAGTGTAATAACCCAAGTAAAGTACTTAGCTGAACATCTATAATTCAGAAGCACTAAAATGTTAGTTCCTTCCTCCTATCGCATATTTGCACTTCTCATTTAGGACTAACTAATGACTTGTTTCTAGCATGTTAGCACATGAGAAAAAGGAAACCATTTTGTTTAAGGCTCCTAAGACAGGAATTCTGCACACATACACACGTAAACATTAAACCCCACTGTTTAAGTCTTCAACATGGACTGTACTTATAATAGCAGGAACAATAGATAAAAGCATATTTCAACCTCAATAATTTCCAAAAGAGTCATCACTGGTTTCCCTGGGCTTGTTTCTGCCCTGACAACAGCCTGAGATTCAGAACAGTTGGGTTTGGAGACTGACTATTTCTATTACAGGCAACTGAGCTTGGGTCTCAGAATTCTAAATCTAAAGAATATTCAAATGAATAGCAATGTCTTCTCTGCCATAAATATGTTTCTGGCTTGCCTAGAATTCATTCAGTTTAAAAATTTAAACCGCAAAATGCTGGCATGCCACTCCATATAGTAGGAAGTGGAAGGAAATCTCTAAAGTTGTATTAGCACCTGCAGGAAGCAGGGACATAAATAGTCATCATCACCATCAAGGGTCAGCAACAAGTTACTGATTTTTTTTCCTCTGAATTTTCTTTTCCTCATTCCCCAATCATCTTAGAATCTGACAAGTGACATGGAATTCATTCTGACTGAGCCTACTTTCACAAATCTTACAGTAAAATTTGAAGGATGGAATAAATAATCCCTCTGGGCCAGGATATAAATAAATGGGGAAAGTTCCGAGCTTCAGAAGTTTCAGCTTGGTCAGCTCTAAAATCTGGCACAACACTTACACACTTGGCTTGTGACCAAGTGTTACTTTTAGGGGCCATATAAAGTGCTAAATAATAAATAAGATCTATTTTTTTGCATCCCAAAGGAACTCAAGCCACAAATACACCATTTCTATTAAGCATAGCAGAAGAAAATTGGGGATGCTCATGGAATCACATTTTTAAAATGTGAGTACATCACATTCTTCCTGAGGAAGTCTAATCCTACTGGCTCTTCAAATCCAAGGTTTAATCCTTGGACATGAAACCCTAAGACAAGTAAAAACCAAACTTCTTTAGGTAAGTGTAGCAAGTTCTGATGGGTAACAGACTCTCACTTCAACATGCTTGAGAAATATTTATAACAGATGGAGAACTACGGTTGTACTATCTAGAACAGGCTACAATTTTCACACAAATGTATTATGATTTTAATTTTGTTTTTGTTAAAGACCATCCTTTTTCTTCTCCAAGGGTTTAGACTATTCTACTCTGTGAAAGTGAGTAAAGGCTCCAGGAAAGCACTTAAAATCACCCTCCAATATTTTCCTCCCTTCTTCAAAATATAATCACTCTATATGGTCAGTTATAACATGACAACAATTCAACAAAAAAACAAAGCAATTATTAAGGCAATACCTTTATTATTTATAGTTGTATATAGGTGGCATATATTCCTATAGAATATTTGTTATTCATTTATTATCACATAAACAACACTATTCTAAGGGCCCATTCATTAAATTATAGATATAATTTTCTTGACTAGAATTTGACATCATAATGATATGTTATACTGGGATTTTGACTGACGAAATGAGAAAATTTCTGAGCAGTTAAAATGGACTGGGACAGATACAGCCTTTGTTGCAAGCTAATAAACACTACACAAAGCCCTAGGTGTAGACTACCTTATTTCATCCTCCCTAAATTACGGCAAATTTTTTACCCATTTTATAGATGAGGAAGTCAAGGTTTACACTACTAGAAAGTGAGAGTTAAGAATGAACCTGGCTCAATCTGACCCCTTCTTCCACACTATGCTGGAAGTCTTGGGAAAAGCAAGGAAGGGAGCAACGATCAGAAGCAGGCCAAGAAATGAAATCACTGACACAATTAAGGAAACACAGAATTATCAGTAATACCACATACTTAACATAGGTGAGCACACAGCATTACCTGGCTTCTACTCCGGGTCTTGTGGGCGGCTTTCCCGGTGGTGGCCGAGGCAAAAACTGAGATGATGCTGAGCTACTGAGTTGATCTGTGTTGACCCATGAAACCGGCCTCGGAATTTTGCTCTTTCTGGATGGAGAGATGATGGGTGACAGGAAGCCGTCTTCAGCTGACCTGCTCAGGTGTGTGTGCTCTACGGCTAGTCTTGAAAAGGGAGTGAAGACTTCCTCCTCAGAAAAGGAAGCAGGAACAGTCGCTAGTCTTTCTTCTAGCAATTTATCAGAGGCACTTGAGAGTTCCCCAAAGAAAGACTTAAGCTGCTTTTTTTCCACCAGAAGTTTGACTAGATCTGGTTGATAAGCTTTCTTTTGGAGAAGCTTTTCTTTTGCAGAGACTGGAGAGGATGATTCAAAAGTTGAGTCTATCTCTTGTGCTAAAACAGGGATTCGACTGTGTCTAGTTACAAAGGATGACTTTGTAACCACATCCTTCCGGGATGGAGGACAATGTTCACTCTCTGAAACACAATGAAATAGTTCTCCATTTCTAGGAGCAATTTTTTCTCTCTTACCCTCTTGGTGCAAAAAAGTAGAAAGGTCACCTTGGTGACCTGGCAAATCCTCACTCTTGACGTCATCATCCTTAGATAATTTACTTTTTTGTACTGTCACCTGCCCTATCTGTCCTTCAACATGTGGGTCAATGATCTGTGGAGAAATTTCTGAAGTTTCAATTGCCAGAAGCTTCATTATCTCATGATTTTTGTCTTGATTTGGCACCACACTAAAAGTCTGAGTCTTTGTCACATCAAGAGGTTCACTGGTAGCCGAGTGATCCCTTTCCAGAGTAACCAAATCTCCAGGGAGAGAGGAGATCTCAATACACTGCTGTCCTTTACTTAACTTTTCATCTTCATTATCTGACCCCAACAGGATGCTTTTCTCTTCAGTTTCCCTAGGGAGATTATCAAATTCTCTCACAGTTGATCGATTATGGTCAGGAAGGTCTTTTGGTCCCAAGTCTTGGGATTTGTCACACTCTCTAATGTTGGGTAATATGTCATGACCAATATGATCTACCTGAAGCCCCAAGTCTGTTCTGCTTCCTCCACTAGGAGGTTCACCCTCTGTTACAACCAAGCCTGAGAAGTTTTCCCTGGGAGAATAAAGTTCCACACTGGGCTCCATGGGCTGAAGATCTTTCTTCTCTGGCTGCTGACCATAGTGAAAGCTTCCTGAAGTTGACTGTGTAGATGCCACAGAAGGTCTAGGAATTGTAATCTGCAGAGAGAGGGGGAAAACATCAAAATGTAATAATGAGCAATGTAAATAAAGATGCATGATTTGAGATTTAACACCTTAAATTCTAATTTATAAAAGGAACATAGAAGTACATCAGGCCTGCCCAATTTATACTTAAAATAAACAATTCTGAATAAAAATGCATGGCACTTGACTCCTTAGCCCCTTGTAAAGAACAGTCTCCTTCTAAGTTCATCCTTTCCTTTAGTCTGCTCTGTGCTCTTAAAAACTAACTTCTATTTACCATATTGTCCAGGTTCCCTGGTTTTCTGATTTTTGACTGGCTTTGCCCACAGGGCAATACCAACAAAGATGTAGTGAAAAGGAAGAGAAAGATTTGGGAGTTAATCCTCTCTGCTTCCTCCCTAAGGGACTGAAGCTTTAGTGGTGGCTACATTCTATCACTCCTGGCCACAGTCGCTGCTGCATGGCCTCTCTCCTACAGAATGATTCTCACCAGCTTCTGCTAACAGTCCCACCCCAAACCTCCTACCAGGGCTCAGGATAGAAATGGCTCCCTCTACTGCCAGTCTTATTGATTCTCTTAACTCTACCCAAAGTGCTATAAAAATTTCCTTTCATTAAACTGTCTCCAAGTTTTTTGGGCATGCAAACCAGAATCCAGATGCAGAAATGTAAGAAAAAAACTACTGTACATAGAAAAACTGCAAATTCATATGCATTTTACTAATAAGTTCTAGCTATCAAACAATGTTAGAAAATTTTATCTTCCTATAAGCAAAGATTTACAAAGATATTTATTCATGTTTCATATCTTCTTTAATTTTTTTAATTCTATGTAAATTAAATTCTACCATCTTTCCACTGAGTAATATATGAATAGGGTTCAATGTCTAGTAAGAATGTCCTTTCTTAAGATACCTAAAGCTTCTACATCTTCACATTTGTTAAAAGTGACAGGTAAAGAAGAACATGTCAACCCCATAAACTGGTAAGGAAAAAAGCCTTTTTGAAAAAGGCTTTCACTAAGTCAAATCACTTAATGAAATCCATTATGTCCTGGGAAAACCATGAAAATTGATCGGAAGTCAAAGCAAAATGAATTTGAAGTTATGGGAGATTTAGCTTAGAACCCATTTCAAGTCCAAAGACACGAGGAAACTGGTGTTGTTATATAATTCAATAAGTTGCTAAGATCTGTTTCTCTGTGTAAGGAATGAAATTATGTTTACAACGTGTAAAGAATGTCCTAAACTCAGCTCAAGGAGAAAAACACCTAACCAATGTTCTGGAATAGCTCCCAAATGCAACTAGTGTCTTTACAGAGGATCTGTAAAGTTATTTTTCTTAACAGTTTGGGTTCAAATGTGCATTCTTACAATAAGCCTAGACCCATAATAACCTTGGGGGAAGGGCAGTAAATTCTACTGGTGCTATTGCCCTTCAGGAAGTCACCTCATACTCATATCTGTTTTCATTATTCCAAAATATGTTCAGGCAGATGGCCATTTTCTAGTATATTTTAAAAATGATAATGAAACCTAAATTTATAGTAATTTACTCTTTAAAAATTTTACTGTTGGGCCTCCCTGGTGGCGCAAGGGGTTAAGATGCAACCTGTGAAGCTGTCCACAGTCAATGCAGCACAAGTTCGATCCCCAGCCAGGGAGCTACCCACATGGTACAGCAGACCTCTCCTGACTCACCCGCTGCTTCCCTCAGCAGTGTATTTCAGTCAGTCTGCCTGTTCTATTCCCCAATTTGTCTCTGGTGAATCCTCATCCCCCACACCTCTGGCCTATTCCCCAACTATTGTATGCATAAATAAATCTTTTAAAAATAAATAAATAAAAATTTTACCGTTAAGACCCAAGAATGATGGTGAAAAGTAAAGGAGGCATGAAATTAAATGCCAAATAAGGGCAATTACTACATCTACATTCAAAGTAAAACAATAGTCATTTATTATATGTAAGTATAAATGCATCAGCTAAATGAACTCAATAGTGTCTACAAAAATAACACTCCACTGTTCTTCTGAGATTGAAGCAAGCAAATCAATGTAATTCTGAGATTAAACTCACTTTAGATTCTGCATACACATGTGTTTGTATGTATGATATGAAAAAAGGGGTGACAGCCTTGAACACTGAGAAGATATCTGAACCACCAGACAGGGTAATTTATTTCCATGAAAGTATTTTGAGCAGCTATGATGAACTATGCACAAGTTATTGTCATATACTTTTCCCACAGCACTTTAAACTTATCAAATTATTAAAATAATTTTTACTAATTCTATTTCACAACACCCTATATTTCATGATTTTTTTTCTTTTTTTGCCTTATATTTTAATTGGGTAGACTTACTAACACCAATTTTACACATGATGAAAAGACAGTCAAAAGAAGTCAGGAGTAGGATTTTTGGATTTTAAAGCGCAGTAGATGCATAATACAGCACAGCCTACTGCCATGCACCACACATTCTCAATTGAAGAGTCTGCAAAAACCTTATCTGACAAGATAAAAGGAGAAAAACCAAGTATCATAGCTAAAAACAGAAAATGCAAGTTTATTCTTAGTTGAAAATAGTTTCCTTGCCCCTAGACTATAAATATAGAAAAGCAATTAACCATTGGTGGACATGGTACAAATGGAGTACAGTAATGATCTTCCAGTAAGTCAAATACATTTTTATTATCTTTAATTTCTACAGTTCACAAAGATTTTATTAAGATATGACTTCAATCATTTTCTTTCTTGTGCTCTCTAATTATATCAGGTATACTTTTCTATAGCTAAACAACAATATCAATATTTTCCAAATTGTTCATATTTTCTTGTTTTTATTGATGCCCAGTACTAAGTTTGACTGTCACTCTCATACATTTCATTCAGATGAAGCAGCTTCATTATCTTAAAGTCACCCCATGTTTAGAACTGGTCTCATAGCAAGAGACAATAAAATGCAAATCAATTATTATTTGCATTTTAACTTAAAATTATCCTTTTAGTTTTTTCTCATTCAAGAATAGTAAAGCTATTAAGATAACAAAAACTTTGGGAAATTCAATATTCATATCAAATAGCCTCTCTTCCAAATGAAAGGTATGTGATATACAAAATACATCTCAATTTGTTTTTTGACAAATATTTAGAAAAAATGTAGCTAGCGGCGTAACTTATTAGAGAAGATGTTTCTCAAAGCGGAAACATCTCTGCACAGTGTGTACAGTTTGGCTAGCAAAGTCTTGACTATATTTCAGCCCCAGCTTATTCCCCAGCTAGTCCACTTTATGCAGAGAACAACTGTGTAACTGTACAAACCATTCCTAGGAAAGAAGAAAAGACAACTATGATGAAGAACGAGGCAGGCATTTATGAAATGTAGGTAAACTCCTACAGAACTGTACAAAAAATGAAATTTTATTATCTTTTCTTAGTGTTTTACACCTTCATGTGCTCTAATAGAAGACATTTCAGCTTAGGGAATAATATTGTTTCTAGTGAGTCAGAAGGGAAGGTTAGAAATGATTGCTGAATTTAAGAAAACCTGATACTCCCATCCATGTAAGAACAGATAGAATTATTGGTATATGAAAAACTTTTCTGTACAGTTCCAAAAAACACATCTGTGTTTTTTTTTGTTTTTTTCTTTTGGTGGGACCCTCACGGGTGGCCGGGGACGCTGCAGAGGCTGCGGGCAAGCCTCGCCACCCAGCGCTCAACCACTGTGCCACCAGGGGGGGCCCAACACATCTGGTTTTTCTGAGGCTCCTACTGCTCACACAGAACAGGGGGCACCACTGCTTACTGACCATAGCAGGTAATAGCCATCTTCAGCTGATTGTCTAAACTTAAAGTAACAGTAGTTTCCTCAAAACACTCCTTTGCAGAAGGCCTGCATATCACAAGTGCTTTCTGCTGTTTGTTAGAATGTGGATTACTGGGTTTGCTTCATCCCAGACCTATGAAGAAGTTCTGGAAGTGAGGCCCGGACTCCGTATTTTAAACAATGGACAGCAAAAGTGGAAAACTGTTGTTTCAAAGGAATTTAAAAAGAGAAATTTCGAGGAGGAGGTTAAAAAGGAGAAAGGGAAACCAAAGAATTAGGCCAAGCAACAGTGTACAGAATCAAATTTAAACCATGAATATGTGCCTTCCTCACCATATTTCATATTTATAATACAGAGGTTCAAAATCTCTGGAAGTACAAATTTTAAAAATATACATGCACACATAGATAATGCTTGTGGTCTAAATTATAAATGTTATTCTGAAATTAGGTTATAATGATATTTCATGTATTGAGTTTGTGACAGGAAATCTCACATTTTTATTCACCGAGGGCCTCCTCTCAGACTTTCAGAAATATCTTTTTTTTTTTTTAAATTTTCATACAAGAAAACATAGAATTAGTCCAGTTATCACTCCTTATACCCTTTAGCCAAGCTTAATTGCTCAACTCTTAATCCTTTCCTAATAGTACTTTATGTGACTAAGAGAGAAAAATGACAAGAAAAAATCTCTTACCGCTGTAAGAGGTCCTTCTGCTTGTGCCTCCATTGGACTTGTGGGTGTTGCTGCAATAAACTGACTGGCAGTTCCAACCTGGAGTTCCAGCCTATCTGTATACTGTTCTGAAGCTGCAGTGACAGGGTAATCCCCAGAAAGTGCTAAAACCACACCTGAAGTTTCCTTCTTTAAATGATCATTTTTTGACCATGGATCCAATCGGAGTTTTTCATCTTGAGGAGATTCCTCCAGGACTTGAAGCACTTCAGGTTCCTCATCAGAAGGACTTGCAGTTGTTTTATGGACTAAAGCCTCATTTGTCCTAAAATCCCGAAGGTCCTGCTCCTTGTCCACAATCACCCACTCTTTGGAATCAATATCCTGCTTGCAGGAGCTAAGGTTAACAGCTATAAATCCATTGCTGCCACCACCATCTGCCTGCTCAGGGGTGTTGGCAGAGGCAGGCTTGGAAGCATCTGGAAGATATTCATCATCATAGTGCCAGATGTGGTCAGTACGGGACACAGCAGGAACACAAGGCTTGTGAAGCAGAGCAGGGGGAAGAGATTCCTTTCCTGCACTGGAGTCTTTTTGCATTTTCTCCAGGCTTAAGAAAATGGAGAGAAATTATGTAGTAGTTTTAGGGAAGTATTTATTACACAAACTCTCTAAACTCTATACAGAACTAATATTCACATACAGATAAGAAAAAAAATAGGATAAAGTATAAGTAAAGTTTCACAGGTTGATAATGCTCTTCTCCACCTGCTGTAATCCTGTTTTGGAAATGGGGCTCAAGAGAGGAAGCTGTCTCTCCTCTCCTGCTCTGTTGTGGTTGACTGGTGTGATACAGTTCTCCTTTATTTGACTATTTAGTCATACTGCCCTCTGCTCTCTACTTTCTCTGAGAAACTGAAGAACAATTTACCCAAGATTTTTTTTTTTGCCTCACCAGAAACCCTACCAAAAGAAATGAAGAAACTAGAAATGAAAAACTTTCTGGTTTTGTTTTGTTTTCAGAGATGTACATAAGTGTATATTCATTCAAATAAACTCCAAAGGCAGGTATTTTAAGAAGAAATGGTATTGTTACAGTATAACCAGGCATAGTCTATGCACATTAATATAATGTGGTGAAGGGCTTGGGGGACACTTCAAGGCATATTTTTACTTCTGCTGGATTAAAAGGCAGTTGACATTGTACAAAAACTGCTGCTGGCTGAGGAATAGGCAATAGTGTGACTGGTGGTGTTTGGCTGCACTAGCTTCTGAGAAACAATCTCATCTTCAGGGAAGCAGTTTAAGCAACACATTTTTTCCTTTCCTTAAGACTAATTAGGGGCCTCCCCAGTGGCACAGTGGGTTGAACGCAGCGCTGTGAAGCTGTCTGCAGCCTCTGCAGTGCAGGTTCGATTCCTGGCCAGCCAGGGAGATACCCACATGGCACGGCAGACCTCTCCTGTCTCATCCACTGATCCCCTCAAGAGTGTTTTCGGTCGTCTGCCTGTTCTGCTCCCTGCTCTGTCTCTCACCCTCCTGCGCCTCTGGCCTGTACCTCAGTTCTTGTATAAATAAATAAATCTTAAAAAAAAAAGATTGTAATTAGGTGCCTCAATTCCTTCTACTTTTCCATATTTGTTCCAGGTTCTGATTTGAGTTAATTTTCTTGGATAAATTTTATTCTCAACTCTGTCTTACTTCTCAGCTGTTCCCTAAGAAGCTTTATTCTTTACCAAATAAAGCTTCTATTGCTATTACACTCATATTTATTCTCAGTAATAGTCACAACTTAAAATGTTGAAAACAATGCCCCAATCCTAGTCCATCCTTTTGATCTTATCAATATGTAGACAGTAGCCTACATCACATAGCTATCAGGCTAAATAATTACCATATGAGGAAAAATACACATATAAGGATTTTATTTAAAACAGAAGATGGATTGGAGTAGGCCAGAAGTGACTGAATTATCATCAGACACAGTACTACCAGATTAGTCAAAGACATGGCATTGTTAACTAATATTTCACCACTAATAGTAGTCATTGTTGTATTGAGGATGTGACTATTATTAAAAGTTCTCAGTTCTTAATATTATTAAGGCCTTCTTTAATTCATAAATATTTCTTTTTTTTGTTTTATTTATTTATTTGTTTGTTTGTTTGTTTTTTTATACATGCACTGGGTACAGTCAGAAGCGCGGGAGGGTGAGAGAATTCACCAGAGCCAGAGCGGGGAGCAGAGCAGGCAGAAGGACCGAAGTACACTGCTGAGGGGCGCAGCGGGTGGCAGGAGAGGTCTGCGCGCCATGTGGGACCCTCCACCAGTGGTTGGGGAGCAGCCGGGGATCGAACCGGCACCGCAGAGGCCGCAGGCAGCTTCGCAATCCAGCGCTCAACTGCTGCGCCACCGGGGAGGCCCTCATAAATATTTGTCTTAAAGTTTCATTTCTGTCTTCTGCTACCAAAACTAGAGGGAAATGGCTTCAAAATCATCACCTACCAAAAAGTCATTACCTATGCACATCTCTCAAAAGCTTCACTTTTCCTTCTTTCAAGGTAGAATGATAAACTTATTAATGTCTACTTTCCTATATACAGGCCTTCATTAAATTAATTCAAGCTGCCTGTCCCTTTTTCTATAACTTACTCTTTGCCCTCTTTCACATATTCCCCTTCTTCCTGTCTAATGCCATCTTTATTATGCCCTTTCCAACAACACACTGAATTTTCATGATTCCAATAAAAGAGATCATCTCCCAAACAAAATCAATTCAAAATGTTCATTTAACCTGCACTTAGTGTTACGAAGTTATCAGTTCCCACTAAGCTCTCAAAGCTTAAGGCTATGCCGCAGAATTTGTAACAATGTTCAAAGACAATTCACATTAAGAATCAAGATGATTCATAGATGCTTGCTGATTTTGATTTTTACTTTATTATAATTAGGTTTTTTCCTGGTCCCTTATTTAGGTTTTCGAAATTCCTGCTATGAGTGCGACCATCCGGTAGTTTTCTTTTTCTTTCTAGTTTATTTTGCCGAGCATGATCCCTTCCAACTCCATCCATATTGCTGCAAATTGCATGAGTTTATCACTGCAGGGGGGGAGGAGTGAGTAGGATCAAAACAAGGGGGGTGGGAATTGTATGGGGACTATAACCAGGATGCAAATGCATACATTGTGCAAAAATGAAAAATGACGTAAAAAATGCATGAAATAAAAAAAAATACAACAAAGAATATAAAAAATAATAAAATAAAAGAATCATGATAATTAAAATGATGAATGAGTTTAATCAAATCAGTTATACAAAAATGCAAGAATTTATAATTATTTTAAAGATGTCATGCGTTAGAAGCAAGTAACAACAACAACTGTATATATGTAGATTCTAAAAATAGAAAAACTTTTATACCATGTCTCAAGAAACTTGTCAGTGTCTGGCTTTGGCTCTAGGGTGAGACGTTTTTCCAGCTCAAAGCTGTGGATTGAACGTAACTTTCGCACCAATGGAACATCTCTGTCTGGCTGAGTAATCTCCGAGCGAACACGAACTGGTGAACTGAGGCTTGGAGCATTCAGAATACCGTTTGCTTGACCATGGCTATTTTCCTCTTCAGTAGCAGCCTAGACAAAATATAAAAGAAATCATAACATTAATTCCAGTTACTATATATGGAAAGAAACATTGAAGTTCAAAATGATTGGGATAAATTTTCAGATGGTTAGGGTATTTGGGTTAATTTAGTTCATTACCTATCTACTAACACTTTATTTAAATGAGCTTTCTTTTTATTTTTTTAAAAGAATTATCTATTTATTTATACAAGCACTGGGTACAGTCAGAAGCACGGGAGGGTGAGAGAATTCACCAGAGCCAGAGTGGGGAACAGAACAGGCAGACCGACAAAATACACTGCTGAGGAGAGCAGTGGGCAAGACAGCAGAGGTCTGTCGCGCCATGTGGGACCCTCTCCGGGAGACAGGGATCGAACCGGCGCTGCAGAGGCTGCGGGCAGCTTCGCTGCTCAGCACTAAACCGCTGCGCCACCAGGGGAGGCCCTAGTTATGGTTTCTTCCCCTCACAGCTTTTTAGTTTGATGTAATTCCAGCTGTATTATATGTTCTCTTTTGTTTTCCTTGCTGTTGGGGATGAATCCCTCAAGGCATCACTAAAGTTTATGCCATGAAATGTTTTACCTGTATTTTCTTCTATGTATTTTATACTTTCAAGTTTTATATCCATTTTGACTTGATCTTGGTATATGTTGTAAGGCAGTGGTATAGTTTCATTCTTTTACATGCAGCTGTCCAATTTTCCCAGCACCATTTATTGAAGAGGCTATCCTTGTTCCAGTGCATGTTCTCGATTCCTTTGTCATAGATTAACTGTCCATAAAGGTGTGGATTTATTTTGGGGCTCTCAGTTCTACTCCATTGGTCTCTGTGTGTGTTATTTGTTCCAGTACCAGGATGTTTTAATTATTGTGGCTTTATAACATCTAGTGAGGTTTGGAAGTGTGATACCTCTATTCTCTTTCTCTTGTGTCAAGATTGCTTTTGTTATTCGAGGTCTTTTGTGATTAATACAAATTCCAGTGGTATTTGCTCCATTTCTTTGAAAAACGCCGTTGATATTTTTGTTGTGATTGCATTGAATCAGTATTTTGCTTTGGGTAGGATGGCCATTTTGACAATATTGATTATTCCAATGCATGAACATGGAATAATTTTCCGTTTCTTGGTGTCTTCTATTTCTTTCAACAATGTTTTATAGTTATCTTTGTAGAGATCTTTTACTTCCTTTGTTAGGTTTACTCCTAGGTATGTGATTTTTTTTGTGTGTAATAGTAAATGTGAGCACTTTCATAATTTCTTCCTCTTCTGTCTCATTGTTTGTATATAAGAAGGCAACTGATTTGTGTTGATTTTATACCTTGCCACTTTGCTAAACTGATTGTTTTGATTAGTTTTTCTGGGGAATCTTTTTTTTTTTTAAGATTTATTTTTATTTATTTATTTATTTATACAAGCACTGGGTACAGTCAGAAGCGCCAGAGGGTGAGAGAATTCACCAGAGCCAGAGCGGGGAGCAGAGCAGGCAGAAGGACCGAAGTACACTGCTGAGGGGAGCAGCGGGCGGCAGGAGAGGTCTGCGTGCCATGCGGGACCCTCCTCCGGTGGCCGGGGAGCAGCAGGGGATAGAACCGGCGCTGCAGAGGCTGCAGGCAGCTTCGCAAGCCAGTGCTCAACCGCTGCTCCACAGGGGAGGCCCTTCTGGGGAATCTTGAGGGTTCTCACTGTATATTATTATGTCACTTGTAAATAATGATAGCTTTACTTCTTCTTTTCCAATTTGGATTCCTTTTATATCTTTCTCTTGTCTAATTGCTCCAACTAGAACTTTCCATACTATGTTGAATAGTAATGATGAGAGTGACATCGTTGTCTTATACCAGATCTTGGTAGAAAAGCTTTCAGTTTTTCACCATTGAGAATGTTATTAGCTTTGGGTTTGCTATAAATGGCTTTTATTATGTTAAGGTATGTTCTGTTTATCCCTAGTTTTTTGAGGGTTTTTATCATAAATAGATTTTGGATTTTATCAAATGCTTCCTCAGCATCTATTGAGAAGACCATATGGTTTTAATCTTTCTTTTTTTTTTAATGTGGTAAATTGCCTTGACTGATTTTTTTTTTAATAGAGGCATGTTTTTATTTATTTATTTGGTTGGTTGGTTGGTTGTTTTGTTTATACATGCACTGGGTACAGTCAGAAGTGCAGGAGGGTGAGAGAATTCACCAGAGCCAGAGGGGGGAGCAGAGCAGGCAGAAGGACCAAAGTACACTGCTTAGGGGAGCAGAGGGCGGCGGGAGAGGTCTGCGCGCCATGTGGGACCCTCCTCCGGTGGCCGGGGAGCAGCCGGGGATCGAACCGGCGCCGCAGAGGCCGCGGGCAGCTTCACAACCCAACGCTCAACCGCTGCGCCACCGGGGGGGGGCCCGCCTTGACTGATTTTTTTTTTTTATTAAATAAAATTTAAAAATTAAAAGATTCATTCATTCATTCATTCATTCATTCATTCATTCATTCATTCATTTATACATACATACAAGCACTGGGTACAGTCAGAAGCGCAGGAGGGTGAGAATTCACCAGAGCCAGAGCAGGGAACAGAACAGGCAGACTGACGAAGCACACTGCTGAGGGGAGCAGCGGGCGGCAGGAGAGGTCTGGGCACCATGTGGGACCCTCCTCCGGTGGCCGGGGAGCAGCCGGGGATCGAACTGGTGCTACAGGGGCTGCGGGCAGCTTCGCAACCCAGCACTCAACCGCTGCGCCACCAGGGAGGCCCCTTGACTGATTTTTACATGTTGAATCATCTTTGTGTCTTTGGTATGAATCCTACTTGGTCATTGTCTATGATCCTTTTAATACATTGTTCGATTTGGTTGTGAGGATTTTTTTTTTTTTTAAAGATTTATTTATTCCTGTATACAAGAACTGGGGTACAGGCCAGAGGTGTGGTAGGGGGGTGAGAGGATTCACCAGAGATAGAGCGGGTAACAGAACAGGCAGACTGACTGAAATACACTGCTTAGGGGAGCAGCGGGTGAGACAACAGGGGTCTGCCCCGCCATGTGGGATTCTCGCCGGCCGGCCAGGATTGAACCGGCGCTGCAGAGGCTGCAGACAGCTTCACAGCGCTTCGTTCAACCGCCTACACCACCAAGGGAGGCCCAGGTTGTGAGGATTTTATTAAGGATTTTTGCGTGTGTGTTCACTAGGGAGATTGGTCTGTAGTTTTATGTGTGTGTGTGTTATCCTTGGTTTTGGTATTAGAGTAATGCTGGTCTTAAATGAGTTTTTTTTAACTTACACACAGTTTCAGTATTATTTTTGCTTTTTATGTTTAAATAGTATAAACATGTTCAATAATCTTTGCTTCTTGTATTATGTTTAACTAGATGCTTGCAGAACCCTATTCCTCCAAACTAAAGCCTAGGAAGGAAATTCTCTTTGAGACATAAGACAGACACAAGACACAAAACACAAGACAGAAATAGGATAGTTCACTATACATAAACACTCTGCCTTTACTAAACGTGAAATAACAAGAAAATCTGGAGGTAGAACAATAATAAGGACCTGGGTAGAGGAAGAGGCTGAGGATGATGCAGCCCAGAGGAATGAAGCCACCTAATGACAAATGCCTACAGCAGCACAATTATCAGTGAAATTAAGCCTGACACTAAGAGTGGGACAGAAGGGGCAGCCTGAGACATCTATTTTGATTAGAGATCCTCAAGAAGATGCCCGATTGGTCTCAAACTGGGAGTATACTCTGTCCACTAGTAGAAGCAAAATACAATCTGCACTGAAAGAAGGTGTCAAATTTAATTCTACAGTACTTGCACCTATTACTAACTAATGAGTAAACATCTAAAGATAGTAAAATATATGAGAAGGCATGCAACTATGACCAAAAGTCTGCAGAAATGATAATTTATAAAAAATCTGAAACATTAAAAACTTCCAAAAGATTTCAGATATCAAATATTCAGATACAGAATAGCTATGAATAATAAATCAAAATAAATAAAGATCCTTTTCAAAAAGATTAACAAAGAATTATTTGAAACTAACTGATGACTTTAGTATTGAACATTCAATTAACAAGGTAAACAGCAAAAAAAAAAAAAAAAAAAACCCAAAAAGGCCCAGTTATTAATTAGTGAATTAGAAGGTGTGTATATTGTCTGTGTATATATATATATATATATATATAACCTAGAATGAAGCATAGCATGAAGAAAAATATGGAAAAAGACATTAATAGATGTGACAGAAAGAATAAAAAAACCAAATGTGTTTATTTGGAGTCCCAGAAAGAGATCAAGAATGAAGAGGTGGCAATATTTAGATAGAGAATGGCTGTATTTCTCCCAGAACTGATACAAAACTATGAAAAATTCAGGAAACATAAGATTTAGGTGGGAATAAACAAAAAAATATATATGAACATGATGAAGTACAGAACACAAAAGACAAGAAGGAAAGTTAAAATATAACAGGAGGGAGGCAATGCTGGAAGGGCAGGGATTGGGTGCTCATGTACAAAGAGAAAAAAATTATTAAAACAGCAGTGGACTTCTGAACACCAATAACTGATGTTAGAGGAAAAATAGTTTTTGATCAAAACCTCTGAATCCAGCATAAACTATCTTTGAAAGAGGCAGAAATAAATACATTTACAGTTAAGTAAAAACAGAATACTCTGCCACAAGACCTGAACTAAAGGAACTTGTAAAGGAAACCGTTCAGGAAAAAAGATGAGTCCAGGACTTCCAAACAAATGTATGGAATGATAAAAATTTTGAAAATTTCATATATATATATATATTACTTGAATGAACAAACAAAAACTAAGATTCTAAGTTGAGTATTTTTTAGACAAATTGTAAAATAGAAGAGAACTAAACAGAGACTGAATAGTGATAATGGGTGAGACAGAAAACTAGAGTAAATAAGCTCTTCTATGTCTAGTGCTATTTCACACTCTCACATACATGCGTAGACAGCCACATAAACTGGCAACTGAAAATGTCACTGGAGACATTTTATGATACACAGCTTGCTTCTGATGCCACAAGACAGCCATAGTTGACAAAAATCTGACACTGACCTCCCAACTACTTTTCACTACTATTTCTAATTACTCTTATTCCAGACGTGCTTATTTAATAGTGAGCTCACAGTGCAGCATATCACATCTAAATTGAGAATGCTTTTCCAACTCTCTCCTATGACAAAGGATATACTGTTAATTAGTTTTAATTTATGTATTTTTTACATCCTTGTTCATTCTCAACTCTGTATAATCCCCACAAAATTACCCCTACCAAGACATCTATGAGCCATCAACCATAGTCTCTTTTTTTAAAAAGATAGTTTAACCATGTAGTATATATAGTACAAAGGTAGGCCGAACTCCTGGAGGAGATCATAGAAGACTTTTTTTACAATATATTTCCCATTAATAAAGCCTGAGAAGTCATCTTTCTATCAAATAATGTTAAGAGGTATGAGCCTAACATCTCATTTTACATTTAATAAACTTCTCCTAACCAAACCTTTATAAAACCATTAGAAAGCACCAAAAATTAACTGATTTGTAATTCATTGTTCCTCCATTCCACTTGCCTTCATCTTCTGTGAAAGTGGAAATGACAATGAATAGTAACATCAAAGAGAAACTTGTCGATGTGTCATAAAATCACTAAAACTTAACCATTTAATTCAGACATCTATATTTCTCACTTACAAACAGGCCCACCCAAAATCTCGTGAAGAAAAATATCATGTATTTTATTCACATCCACTCCCCATCAGCTCATGAACAGTTTTTGCTTTCCACTTCGTACCCTCGCTTCCCCACCTCCATTTGAGACATTTCTCAGAATGAGTACTCATAACTCCATTGGTCCACACTAATGAGAGCCCAGATTCTTCTCACATTATTGGAAAAGATAGTTAACTTCTGCTGTATAGCTAGCTATCTTTTCTATTGGCCTCAGTGTCTGATTTTTTTTAAAAACACATTCATTATTACCATGGAAACAAGACGAAGATTAATGCTAGGTGTCTATACTTTAGTATAAGCAAAATTAGTCTAAATACTGTGATTACAAATAAATAAAAAGCAATACACTTCTAACTTATGATTAAAAATGAGCATCATGATACTTTGCTATAGCAATAGGAAAAAACAATAAACACATAAGAAGATATAAGCTTTTATGCAAGAAATACATACTTTACAAATTCCAAGCTTTATCTTGTTCCTGTTGGCATCCATCTCTTCCCAGACATCCTTCTCTTGTGGACGAGGGTGTCCCAGAGAGCCAGGCAATTTATCTGGTGACATACCAACAGGGATGCCATTTTCCCCATCACTAAGCTGTTCATCTGGAAACACCTCATCTGTATTTTCTCGAAGTAGGTCTCCTGGGATGGGGGTGGCATTGGCAATTCTAAAACAGAGGGGCGAAAAAAGGGCAGCACTTAAAAACAGCACATCAAAAATAACTGAGATTACCCTACATTTTGTCTCTGGTTTTAAATGATGACATCTATATAAAATTGAAAGAACCAAATAAAACCAAAAATCTTTTAAAAGTTATGCCATGCCACCTCTCCATAATAAAACTTCTACATTTTACCAATAGAATTTTCAAAATGATTTAAAAATATAAGTTCTTATACAATAACTCACTGATTCAACAATCACTTTAAAAGTTACGAACATTTGTTCTATTTTCCCAAAAGTCATTGATTATTTTAATAGTTTGTATTATTTAATCCTGTAGCTATTCTTAGAGGAAACAAAAGTAGAGGAAAACAGAGGTTTTATAGTACCTCTGGTGAGACCCCAACAAACAGCTTTCACTGACACCCCAGAGAGCACATGTCCATAGTCTTTCAGAGAGCAGATATTCAGCATCAGACTGACTTCCATGCCATCCAATGATCAACAGACATGCCCTCTCCAACAAAGTCAAGAGCTTAGGCCTGGAATGGGAGTTGAGGGGACTCCTTCCCAACTGGTATTAATGCTTAATTGCAGTCTTAGGAATAGGAGTAGCACCTTATATTTGCTCTTCTTATAATCTTTATGACTCTGTATTTTTAACTAGTCAATTCCATACTATTCTAATTTGGTGTTATAGGTGTTTATATCATCTTTCACTGTTCAAATTACTATATAGTTTCTCTTTCTTGATTGGACCCAAGCTGACAATTCTCTCTTTCTTTACCACTTAACTGACAAAGGACACTTTGCCCTTCCTTTTTGTATTTTATCTTCCCAGATGCTTTGAATTATACATATTTTTACTTTCCTATAGTTCAAGACTTGATCTACTTGAACACATTTTAGTATTTTCATTCTTAGATTGGGTTTATTCTTCCTGGTGCTGATTTTAGATCTTGAGTCCCACTGCTATTGCTTCTCTTCCTCACTGTTTCTACTGCTCTGCCTTTATAAAGTCTTGCAGCAGGGCCTCCCTCGTGGCACAGGGGTTAGGACGCAACCTATGAAGCTATCCACAGACACTGCAGCACGAGTTCAATCCCTGGCCAGGGAGCAACCCACATGGCGCAGCAGACTTCTTCTGACTAGCCCGCTGCTCCCCTCAGCAGTGTATTTCCGTCAGTCTGCCTGTTCTGTTCCCCGCTCTGTCTCTGGTGAATCCTCTCACCCCCCACACCTCTGGCCTGTACCCCAGTTCTTATATGCATAAATAAATAAATCTTCAAAAAAATAAGAAAAAAAATAAAGTCTTGCAGCAAGGTTGTGGGGCAGGCGTATAGGAGATATTACATGAGGATCTGTTGTTGTTTTTTACTTACAGTACCTTTTACATATGGACATTCTTTGTTTTCAACTTATGCTTAAGACATGGTTTTGTGCAATTTTATTTTTCCTTTATTGCTAGTCCATGTTGCTTTAGAGGGAAACATTGAGAGATGGGAACTTAAACTGTCTTCATTGACTTCACCTACTCTTAAGTTCTATTCTGGGATCTTTGCAGTTTGAGACTTACCTACTTCTAACAATAATCAAAGTATGAGAAAGACAAACACACTAAAACAAGAATCAAAATTTCTAGACTGGCTCCAGCTCCAGTTATTAATATTTATCTAAAGTTGGACAATTCATTCACTGCTAGGATTATTTCCTCATTTGTAAAGATGGGGTGGCTGAACTTAGGTAGTGGGTACCAAACTCAGATAAGAAATATCTCTGTGCCCCACTCCTACACATTATGATCAAGTAGGTCTGGGGTAGGTTCTATGAATGGGTATTTTAAACAAACTATCTATGGTGATTCAGATATATCCAGTAGAGCCCAACATTTAGGAACTCTCAGACTGGATAATCAACATTATCTCCAGTTACATGATTCCATGTAAGTCTTTGTTTTATTAAGTTCAAATGAGCCCATCTTACAATATAAAATGAAAGCAATGGATTGGTGATAAAATGTCTCAATTAATTTACATTTATGATGATACCTCCCTATTTACTCACTACCAGCATAGGTGAAAAAATAGATCAGAAAACAAAAGACAAACCAAAATAAAAAAATGAAATAAAGAACTGTATTTAATGTATCTAGAGGAGAAAACATTAAAAACAAAAAACAAAAGACCAAGAAGATGAAAATATACCATACCCTGTTCCTAATATTTAGAAAATTAAATCACTTTTCTTAAGAGGAATAATGAGTTACATATTCTATTCCCACTAAAAGTAAGCACCATGTAATTAGATGTAATGTGGCTCATTCTTTCCAACAAATGCCCTTTTCATGTTGAGGAAAATCTACTGTAAATCTGACACCAACAAGTCAAATAAGCTCTAAACTCCCATTTTAGAGTATGATCAATTTGTAAGTACTTTCTAAGAAAAGTAATTTCAAACAAAAAACATATACAAGGCCAATGTTAATTCAAGGAATTCCACAGGCTCTCCCCTATAGCTTGGCATTTGGTAATCTGAGGGGATACAGATGAAATAAAAAACACTTCTTCTAAAACAATGCTCCCAAGAAAGACATTGCTAAATGATATGTTTAGAACATACCCAATTGCCGCTGGGGTCAAGCGGGTATGCAACTGAGGGGTGGTAGAAGTAGTGGTGGTTGTTAGTGAGCCATCAGTTCCAGCCTTCTCCCAATCAAAAGGGTCACTCTCAATTACTCCAAAGGTCTTGATACTGTTGTCAAACACAGATGTAAGAAGCTAAATCACAAGGGAAAAAAAATAGAGTAAGCCAATGTAAACACAGTCACTTTATTCCAGAAGAGAAAGCACCTAATCCATAAACTTATTTTCTTTAAGAAGTAGGGGAATTTGAATGAGGGCAACACAATAATAATGAATTACTTTTTTTTTTCTCAGTAGACTACTTCAAAATTCTTCTCATTTGAAGTAGTCAGCATTACTCATATTTGTGGTTATATAGGAGAATGTCTCTGTTCTCGGAAGATACATAATAAAGCATCATATCTAAAACCTACTTTCAGATGATTTTGTAAAAGGAAGTGTGTGTTGTAAATGTAATCAGTTTCAACCATTTATGTAACTTTTTTTTTGGTCAAAAAGGGTTATTTTTATATGGTTCAACCTAAGTAGCCATTGGTATATCTACAAAAGGGGTATACTGAAGTTCATTATGGTTTCTTCCAATTTCCTGTCCATTTGAAAATTTATTAAACTGTGTGTATATACACAAAAATTATCAAAAAGGATTCTGCTCTATTATACATGTATAAACTTTCTTGTTTGTTGTCTTTAAATTCCAAAATTCTGATGTGATCTTGACAAAAATCTCACAAAGACCTTCCTTCATAGTTTGATAGTATTCACCATTTTCAATTTTATGTGTATGGCTTCAGTCTCTCCTGATCATTTCTCTTTATTAGTAGTAACCTACTCTGGGCCTCACCAGTGGCGCAGCAGGTTGAGCGCCGTGCTGTGAAGCTATCTGCGCCTCAGCAGTGCGGGTTCAATTCCCAGCCAGCCAGGGAGAAACCCACATGGTGCGGCAGACCTCTCCTGTCTCGCCCGCTGCTCCCCTCAGCAGTGTTTTCCATCTGTCTGCCTGGTCTGCTCCCCACTCTGTCTCTGGTGAATTCTCCCACCCTCCCGTGCCTCTGACTGTACCCCAGTTCTTGTATAAATAGTATTACAATTACTATTACTACTTCTAATAATGAGAAAAAATTTAGCCAACAAAAATGCAACACCTATAATCATTTCATTGCATATGTAAGCATGTGTACTTTATAAAAATGCCACTTGAAATACCCCTTATATTCTTTATAGCAGTCATGTGACATAAACATAATGGCCCAGGGAAGCACCCCTCTTATTACCCATAGAGCAATCATTTGATCATTTTACTTCCATATGAAGTCCCAGTTTGCCCTTTCAAAGAGAATACAGAAAAAGTTCAGGCTTTGCAAAGACAAGATTTGTAATGGGATGCTGAGGATTCACTGAGAAGCCTGATTTCTGAATTCTCAAGTTAATAAATAGTAAATTAATAGATTAATGAAGCTTTAACCAGCAGAGCACATTGGCAATGCTGGCTTACCTGATTCAAAGATTTACTGCAAGAGAAATTGCCTCACTTCAGTGATAAGTAGATACAATAGTAGGAAAGAAAGGCACACTCTTCTGGGGGATTTTCAGCAGCAATGGTGGAAAGGGAAAAACTGATCCTTTGAGAACAGAACCAGGAAACGACTGACCAAATGAAGAGAATGTGTTGAAGAAGCTGCAGAGTTTTAGCTATTTTAATCAGTTATATCAAGATACTAGGGTACCTCAATAGAGAACACTCACCTCCACCCCAACAGCTGCTTCAGGGGGTGTGAGGCAGTACAGTTCAGTCAATAGTACTGCCTAATAGCAACGCCTTCCCCTTCAGGTGCTCTTATCAACTCACAAGATAAAGTGGAAATGTACTAAGTTTCTTGATACCTTCTAATATGGTGAATGCAAAAGGAATGCAAACCAGAGAGCACAGTGGACTATGGTGGAGGATCAAGGGTATCTGTCTTGGTGGTGGGTATGGTGTGGCAACAACATCTGAACAGGGAGATCCTAAACTTCTAAGACACAAACAATGTTGTAAACCAATGTGACCTAGATTTCAAAAAAGAAAAGGAGAACAACATTTCCTTTTCACATAAATAGAATAAAGCAGCATAAAGGAAATAGGTGTTCTATTAGCACAGAAGTAATGTCAAATAGAATACAAGAATAAGAAACATAAGATAACCATAAGCAAATGCAGTGTCACTTAGGTACATGTAAAAACACTTATGCTTACAATGATGCTTTCTACTTATAAAAATTCTCATAATTATCTCCTTAAAATTTTAACAGCAATACTGTGGGGTAGGTATTTTCATCACTTCACAGAGAATGAAACAGATTTAGAAAGGTCATACAAATGGTGTGTAGCAAAGCACCAATGTGGTGGTATTTCTACTGTAGGAGCAGGCAGCAGGCAAGGTAAAAACAGTCTATAGCTGAAATTATCCTTCAAGGCCCTTGAAAATACCCATCAAGTACAGAATAGTTCTGTCTCTCAATTGGTGCAACACAAGGAGCTTTTTTCTTAGCATTAGAGTGACCTTCTATTTTTTTAGATGAATGTGCATGGAGTAATAAGCTGGGGGCATTTAGGGATAATATTGTACCCAAAAAATTACTATTTTTTTGAACAACAGAATCACACTCAGTGTAGCCTGATTGTGGATGACTGATTGCTGTTAGTGAAACTGACTGAGGTAATAACAGTTTCAAGGCATTGTACCACCTCCCTCATCACAGGGCATAACTAACTGAGCCAAAGGGGAGGCAGAATCACAGGCACTTTAAATAGTCTCTATCTCCTGAATATACAGCTAAATTTTAGTGAGTCATGAATGTTCTGTGACTATTACAGTTAAATAAAATACCCATTTATTGATTTATTATTGAATGCCAACTATACATTATTGAATGCCAACTATATTGGGTGCTAGGAATGCAAAGGTAGCCAAAACACAGACTTGTCTTCAGATAGTTTGCATTCAAGAGAAACAATAATCAGATTAAGCAGATTTAATTCAATTTGGCAAACATTAATTAAATGCCTAGCAATATACTAATTTCTTGAGGAAACTGAGATAAGTGTGCAAGGCACTAGTTCTAAAACAAAGTACTGCTTTAAAAGTGGAGCTGATTTCATGTCTTGAAGGAATCAGAGATTTGTTAGGGGGAAAGGATGTCCTGAGCTAATCCCATACAGGCTTCATGGACTCCACCCCCACTCCAGACCAAAGCCATCAGGATGTTGGGAAAGACAAATCCCGTCACCACCAAAGGGAAGGTGGCTGGGACCTGAGGGTGGAGTTAAGCATCCAGGTTTGGTATAAAAACCAAACACGTGGGCGTTGGGGTCTCTCGCTCGCCTCGTGGCTTCAGGGCTCCTGGCTCGAGGCCAGCTCTCAGAGCGCCATTTGGGATTCCAGATCAGCGGATCGGGTAAGACACATTTAAAACTTTGTCTCCCACTTTTCTCCCTGAGTTGTACATTTCCTCATTTCCCCTTCCCTTGTAAATAAACCTTTTATTAACCTTTCGTGTTTGCCTGCAGTAGAGTATTGATAAGTACTTTTAAGTGCACGGGTGAGGACCCACAGTCAGGCACCCAGTTTTGTATCGGGGCTGCCCTGTAACAGATTGAGAAAAAGTTGGCATCTAAATTGGTTTTCAGCATCAAGGTGGGCTTGTCAACAAGAAAAGCATTCCAGGCAGGGCCTGTTGGGAGGAGGACTGCACTGTGGGGCCAATAAAGCTGGTTCATATAAGCACAACGGGAAATGAAAGGAGATATAATCAAAGTGGGTGGAACAAGAATTTATCCCTTCTCCCTATCTCCACTATTTATATCCATGTCAAGGTCATTATCATTCCTTGCTTCCTGATAACAAGGAAGATCTTATTTCCTAAGCTCTCTTGCAGTTAGAATTGCTCTGCTGCACTCAGAATAAAATGCAAACTCCTAAAAGGCCTGAAAGGCTCTGCATAATCTGGTCTCAATGTGATAGGGTCTTGCCACAGGGATATATGCCAAAGTGATTAGATCACTTCTAGGCCTCATCATAAAATTCCTAAATGATTTACTCTAGTTTCCCCTCTCTGATGAGTAGAAAGGCTATATAGTAAAGATAGCAGTATCAAAACATGCATAGTGGTGAATGGCACTAGAAATTTGGTGGTGGGAACAGTGTTGGTATATACACAAATCAAGGTGTGAAGTTATACTCGTGAAACTTAGAGCAACTTAACTACATTATTACACCGTTGTGGTATTGAACAGGTATTTTTTTGTATTTCTTTCTTTCTTTCTAAGATTTATTTATTTATACAAGCACTGGGTACAGTCAGAAGTGCGGAAGGGTGAGAGAATTCACCAGAGCCAGAGCGGAGAACAGAACAGGCGGACTGACAAGGTACATTGCTGAGGGGAGCAGCGGGCGGCAGGAGAGGTGTGCGCACCATGTGGGACCCTCTCGGGGAACGAACTAAAGTTGCAGAGGCTGCGGGCAGCTTCGCAATCCAGCGCTCAACCGCTGCGCCACTGGGGAGGCCCTGTATTTCTTTCTTTCCAAGGCTTAGCTCACCCTATCCCATAGCTTCCTAAGTAGTCTCTAATTCTTTGTCTCATTTGAATGGTACAAACTGCAAAAGCAATCCTCTTTAAACTTCTTTGAGCGCTGGGTTGCGAAGCTGCCCGCAGCCTCTGCAGCGCCAGTTCGATCCCCGGCTGCTCCCCGGCCACCGGAGGAGGGTCCCACATGGCGCGCAGACCTCTCCTGCCGCCCGCTGCTCCCCTCAGCAGTGTACTTCGGTCCTTCTGCCTGCTCTGCTCCCCGCTCTGGCTCTGGTGAATTCTCTCACCCTCCCTCGCTTCTGACTGTACCCAGTGCATGTACAAACAAAACAAACAAACAAATAAATATTAAAAAAAAAAAAAAAAAAACATAAACTGGATAACCATACTCCTGTTTATTAGACTTCCAAAGCACCCTGCTGTACTCAGAATAAAATGCAAACTCCTAAAAGGCCTGAAAGGCTCTGCATCATCTGGTCTCAGCCTCTCTTTCCAGTCTCATCTCAAACCACATTACCCCCTCATGTTCTGGCCACTTCTATCTTCTTTCCATTCCTTGCTTGAACCAGAACTTATTAACACTCTCCCTCTTATTTTTGCTATGCATGTGGCCAATATAGTCCATTTAGGGTTTGGTTTAAATGGCAGTTTTAGAGAAAGACCTTTCCTGATCCACAATTGTACAGAAGGCTCTTCCTTGTTCTCTAGTTCAATCTTTTATTTGTTTGCTTCACAAGCAGCCAGTGTATGTTTTCTGAAAAAAATTAACTCTAGTGTTCTCAACAGGCAAGGCTGTTGCATTCTGATGTAATCTCTGTTTAATTAATCCAATTCCTAATCCTGAAAAGTGTACTAACAAGATTAATGAAGCTTGGTCATGTCTGGATTTCCTTCTATCTTCTAACTTTAGTGACATGCAGCTTGCTGATGTACACATTTTCATTTCAGGCTCACCAACGGAGTGTATATTTATGCATTTCATTAGTCTTCTCAATATGCTTAATATAATGTGAACACACTAATAAAAATATCTTTTGTGTTCTAATATCAAGACCATGTGATTCTACAACTGATAATTATATTTTTTCATAAAACTTTTTAGTTCTTTCACTGCATCATTATTAATTAGCCATATTAGTGTTTACTTTGTAGTGCCTATTGTATTTGTAGCCACCTCTTCAAGGAAGGCAGGATGGTAAAGTGGAAGGCGTGTAGGGCTTTTTGAGTGAGACATGGGTTCAGATGCCTCTTCTAGCACTACCAGTTTTCCCAGGCAAGGTGTCTCAAACAAGTTTCTGGTAAGACAAGGATAATAATTTTCTCTAAGTATTATTGTGACACTGCTATATATCATTATTGTAACAATTTGTAAAGGCATCAAGGGTTCTTCTTTATCTAATCTAATGCTCCTTAGTTTCCCAATAAATGTTGATACTATTATCACAGGTAGATTACTGTGGTGGAATTCACACCACAGCTTTTTTTTTTTTTTTACAGCAACGTGATAAAAATAGTTCAATCAACTTTATATATTCTAGAAGGTTCATTCCAGACTTACAAATTTATGTGGCCTGGACCTAGGAGAGACAGGACTACCTGATGCTATCATAAGACTAATGAATATTCTAATATTAGGGACTAGAATGGCCCAAACTATTCCAAATACCAAGAATTTGCTGTCATGACAAAAAACAGTGAAAACAATGACAGGATACAAAGTCTGATGATTTTTGACCCAAAACCCAGAACTTCAAGAATTTCCTAAGTGGGCCTCCCCAGGTGGCGCAGCGGTTGAGAGCTGGGATGCAAAGCTGCTCGCAGCCTCTGCAGTGCCGGTTCGATTCCAGGGTGCTGGCGAGGGTCCCACATGGCGTGTAGACCTCTCCTGCCGCCCGCTGCTCCCCTCAGCAGTGTCCTCCATCTGTCTGCCTGCTCTGCTCCCTGCTCTGGCTCTGGTGAATTCTCTCACCCTCCCATGCTTCTGACTGTACCCAGTGCTTGCATAAATAAATAAAAATAAAAATAAATCTTAAAAAAAAAAAAGATTTTCCTAAGTATCCCTTAGAGATATTTTTCTTTCTCAAAACATTTTAAAACTACTTATTTAAACTACAAGATATCCACAGCAACACTGAATTTTTTTATCACTATCTACATTTCTGAAAATGTTGGTCAAGCACTTTTTTGACTTTTAATTAGAAACAAAGATTCATAGGAAATAAAAAGAACAGTACAGAGAAGTCTCCTTTGCCTAGTCTGCCCCAATAGTAACACCTTAAACAACTAGAAAACAATATCAAAACCAAGAAAATGACACTGTTACGATCCACAGAGCATATCAAATCTCACAACTTTGCATACTACTTTTGTGTGTGTGTGTTTGTGTGTGTGTGTGTATCTATGCAATATTATCACTCAAGGAGATTCAAGGTCCTGCACTATTTTATCTCTTATGGTTGCAACATTCTTTCAGAATCTAAGAATAAAAATACTCTGACATCTGCTTTAATCCTGGCTATAGTTCTGATAACTTTATCTTTAGTTTTAAAGTACTTATGCATTCTGCACTGACTTTTCCTACATATCCTGAGTAGGGGAATATTGGGCCAAGTAAGATTTGATTCAACTTAATTAACATTTGTTGAAAATTTAGGTGTCAGAAATGCTTAAGGACTGAGGAGTAGGTCAGTAAAATGTGGTATACATGTACACATGTGTGTATATATATATATATATATATATATATATATATATTTCTGGACATGGGTGGAACTGAGGGGATAATGCTAGCAAAATAAGTCAGAAGGAAAAACACAGATGCAGGATGGTCTCACTTGCAGGTGGAATGTAGAGCAACATAACAAAGAATCAGTCAAAACCAAATCAATAATAAACTCTTTAACATCTAGAACTGAGGCAACCAGAGGGGGAGGGTGGCAGGGTAGGAGAAAGTGAGAAAGGAAAGGGGCCCAATGGGACATGGTGCAGAATTGTTGGGGCAAGGTGTGAAAGTATACCTTTGTAGAAGTTTGAACCTATAACCCTCAGAGCAGATACAAAGATGTAAACCTACTTTACCGCAATAAACATAATTTGGGGGGGGGGAGAAAATTTAGGTCAGGTATAATGCCAGGATAGTGTGGGATAAATAGCTGCCTTAGTGGTGGGTATGATGTGGTAAACATTTATCTGATGTTGTGTGAACCTACATCTGAATCATATATAGCATTGTAAATTAATGTTACCTCAATAAAAAAATAAAGTAAGCTATAGCTGTACTTTCAGGACTTAAGAGTCAACCAGGGAGACAGTCTTATAAATATTACATACTGATAAACTTGGCTATTTTCCCAAAACATCCTAGCATGTAACACTTTGCAAAAACAAAAATCAGACTCTAACAGAAACACAAAAGATCACAGGTAGAGAGCAAATCAGCTCTTTTCTCTAGGTCTAAACCTGCTGTCAGAGTGAGTTGTAGCACAGCAGGATACTAAATGAGGTGTTTGCCATGTACAACTTGTTAAGGTAATAACGTTCTGTGGTTTAAAAAAAAATGTGTTTTTTTAAAAGATTTATATTATATGGACATTCAAAGTGAAAGCGCATCATTTAACACTTTGATTATAAAATACATTCACTTAGATCTTGGCTCAGAATGAACCAAACTGAGACATTGTTTATCTGACCTTTGAGGTAACTAGGGAAGCAATAACTCTAAACACTGGGTTTGGTTTTATTTTTTGCTTGTTGCTGAAGGAGGTTTGTTGATTTTAATTACACTGATTATCCAAGGAGGAAGTTTAAATTTTGAAAGAATGGTAATTAAATTCAACTTAGGTATGAATTCCAAACTGCAAAATTAACTATATGGACAACATTAAGTTCACAAGAGCATTCTGATTCATAGTAATTTTTTTTCAAAACAAAGACTACACTGGGGCTCTTCGAGGAAAGCAGGAAACATAAGCTACAAAGTTTAGACCTATTTGGAACTGGATGTTGTGTTGATGCCAATTACTTACACCAATATCTTTTTCCCAATTACCCTAGTCCCAACCACCCTAGTCCCAACCATCTGCCCTTTGCTCCCACTTACTGCTTATGAAAGATCAGAGAGCAAGAAAAAACAGATTATTTACAGAACCTGTGAAACAAAGAAAATGTTTTCCCCGTCCTCTCTCTTCCAGAAATAGGAAAATTACTATATTTTCTTTTGTTATTATGTGACAGAAACACAAGAAGCCCCTAAGAAAATGTCCAAATGAAAAACTTGAGAATAGTAATTCATTAAAGTAAATGTAGGTCTAGTTTCAAATGTCAGCTGGTAAATATGAGTCTTCAGATTGTAGACATAACTAAGCAAAGAATGATTAAAAAAAAAAATTTTGCTGTGCTAAACTTTTATATTCCCACACAGACTTTGAATGATAAACACCTAAGAAAGGAAAGCTGGGATAGATTCTAGATCCTCCTGAATATTTTCAAGTAGCATAAACTCTCTGTATTTCAGAAAATATATGTAAGATGTAAATATAAGAAAACATTTCATAGCAACTTACATACAAAATATTTTTTTTCATGTGTTAGTCTATATGAGATGCAAACAATTACAAAGGAGAGAAGACAACAAGCTCTCCCATTAAAGTCTCTGAGGACCCAAGGTTGTATGTTGCCTGTCTGTTTTATATCCTGTTTATGTCTTATAAAAAGCTGCAATTTCACAGAGAAGTAATTAAGTTTGCTGTGCTACAGACAGTCTTTTGAATGGCCAACACTGACAACACTTTGGAAAGTAAAACTTCCATTAACAGGCAATGTTGTCCTTTATAGATAAAAATGATATACAAATATTATTAATCATTGTATGTGTGTTTATTTATATTTTCAGTGGTAGTGGTTATTTTGCATTAAGCTCTGACCAAGTTCTCCCTGAGAACAACAGATACTTCTGATATATAGCTGACTGGGGTTAGGGATGCAATTTGTGGTAAACCTACTCAATTCTTAAAAGACCTCATTAACTGATGCACTAAGGAAATGATTCACTGAACATAGACAAATTGGCGCCAATAATCTATATTGACTGTTGTCCTACAACATTTTAACATATGCGATGCAGCCCTCAAGTCCTTGACAGATACATTACCTAGTTGGACATTTCCTTTGGGTCAACAAATTAGCTACAGGATTTACACAATTGAACGATCAGCAGTTCTACAGATGAATCATAGCAGGAAAGAAAAATCTACCACATGATGAACAAACCTAAAACTTTAATGAAGTATGTTCATCTAGAAGGGAGGAAACATACACACAAACAATGACACTTCATCATCGTTATTTCACCATGTTCCTCAGAACATATTAAAATAGTATTATTCTAGGGATGCCCCATACTCATTTAAAACACCCTCAATGAATGAAACTAACAGAACTCACAAAGACTACTCACCTGGTAGTCTGGTTTGGTAAAATAATCCAAAGAAGAGATGTGATCCAGAAAGATGCTAAACTCTGGAGGGAGATGTTTCAACATAAGCCTGTGGTCATATCTCTCCTTAATAGAGCCGACTTGCTCCTGGGACGTAAAGAGAAAAGGAACCAAAGTCAATTTCTCTTGGCAGCTACACATTAAGAATATCTCAAGGGTATGTAGTGGGGAATGAGCTAATGAGTAGTTAAAACTAAAGCAAAAACTGAGGTCTTACTCAATGGCTTAATGCACACTGCTTTAGAGGGGTTGGGGGACTATAATATAAAACCAGATGTGTAACATAGTTTTGCATAAAAGAACTGAGAGATTCCCAACTGAAAGAGCTGATCTTAAATCTGGTCTGTTTTTCTTTACTACCACGTTTTTAATTTTTTTAATTTTTGAATTAAACAATATAATGCGACAAACACTAAAAGCGTAATCAACTTATAAAAAAGGGGAAGAACAGTGAAAATAAAAGCTAAGAGGGAGTGCTAGAAATAAAATTAAAAAAAATGATTGTACTTAGAATCTATACTCCATGTACCTAGAAATAGTCATACTATTAATTTATGTCTCTACTCTCACATAGAAAAATACACATATTCGGACATAGTAAAAGTGAATGTACATTTTATTTCTCATATGTAAGTATATTCTCAAAAAATGCCTACCCAGGAAAAATGTTCATTCTTTCCCTTATATTTCCATTTCCAAAATTACCTTATCCTTTATTTTTCTCCAAGGCAGCTGACCAACCACAAATTCCACCAACATGTAGAATAAGGACCAAAGATCATCATGTCTTCCCATTTCCTTCATAAGCAAAACAGAATTCAGTCGTATTATATTACTAATCCTTGCAAGTGGATTATACTAAGACCTAACCATTGAGTTTCATCTTACTATGACTAAAAAATTTAATGTATTTCACAACAAATTACCTGGTAAATATATCTACAAAACTATACAGCTATTAGCAATCTATACAGCAATCTATAGAGTAGAACTGATATACTAAAAAATTTTGATACAAGGAACACCCCAAAATTCAGAAATGCTGGAGATAATATAATTAACAAAATATTAACAGCATTAAGAAGGAAAGGTGATTGTCATTGGCTAGAGGAAAAAAGGGTAGAAGAGTTAATGTTTAGTGTACACAGAGTACACTATGTACTATATGTTTTAGATATCTCTTACACAATGTGAACAATCTTAATACTACTGAATTGTACATTCAAGATGGTAAACTTAATGTTGTATTTTTTTTTTACCATAAATAAAAAAAAAAGGGAAATCCAATGCGACAAAAATAAGAAAGCAAGCTGCTGCTGAGGCTGTGGCACTGGCTGTTTTGGGAGCTTCTGTTCCAGGTTTTATCAATCAGGAAGCGAGCAGGTGTAAAAGTACTGAATCTACACAAGACAGGAGTTGGAAATGAGATACTCCCATCTCCCACTTCCCACCTCTACCATAAAGCTAGGAATTTCAAAGGGTTATCTTTAGTACAGTATTTGGTATATATGATACTGCAATAACATTTTCTCTGTAAAATTTAGTCACCATCAAAGAGATAAAATAATTTAAAAAAATTTTGCCTGAGAATTTCCCAGAGGTCTGTCCCTCATCCACATCTGAGGCTTAAATTTATACTACTTGTGTGATCTGCAGAAGCAAAGCCCAGAAACTAATTTTAAGGGTTTTCTCAGTGATTATATCCTACAGTAATGACATGCAAATCATATCCTACAGTAATGACATGAAAATTCTCTTGTGAAAAAAGCACCTTAAAATCAGGCCTCATGGAAGCCCTACAGAAAAAGTCCCACCAAATGTAAGCTCATTATTCAATATTAAAAAGTTATATTAGGGGACCTCCCCTGGTGGCACAGCAGGTTGAGCTCAGCTCTGTGAAGCTGTCTGCAGCCTCTGCAGCGCTGGTTCAATCCCGGCCAGCAGGGGAGGGTCCCACATGGCGCGGCAGACCTCTCCTGTCTGGCCCACTGCTCCCCTCCCAGTGTATTTCATCCCTCTGCCTGTTCTGTTCCCCACTCCGTCTCTGATGAATCCTCTCACCCTCCCATGCATCTGGCCTGTACCCCAGTTCTTGTATAAATAAATAAATCTTTTTTTTTTAAAAGTTATATTAGGAAGCAAGCTACTCTAAGTTAACAATAAGAGAAACTGTAAAGAGAAAAATTAGATAACCAAGAATTTCAGATATGAAATAATAGGATATAGAATATAAAATACAATAATTTTTTAGCGCTAAAAACAAAAAACATTCTTTTTTTTTTTTAAAGATTTATTTATACAAGCACTGGGTACAGTCAGAAGCACGGGAGGGTGAGAGAATTCACCAGAGCCAGAGCGGAGAGTAGAACAGGCAGAGTGACGAAGTACACTGCTGAGGGGAACAGCGGGCGGCAGGAGAGGTCTGCGCACCATGCAGGACCCTCGCCCAGTGGCCGGGGAGCAGCCGGGGATAGAACCGGTGCTGCAGAGGCTGCGGGCAGCCTCGCAACCCAGCGCTCAACCGCTGCGCCACCGGGGAGGCCCTACAAAAAACATTCTTAAAGCCATGAGAATGGAGCCATAGTCCAGTCAAAAAAAAAAAAAAAAAAAAATGAACTGTAAGAAAGAGGTGAGGAAATTATCCAGAATACAACAGAGACACAAAGAGTCAAAAAGAGTGAAAGAGTCAAAAATTCACAAAGAGTGAATTTAAGCGGCCTGGCAGACAGAACAAGGCCTAACATACATTACATGGAGACTGAAAAAACAAAAAGATATAGAGAGAAAGGGAAAGAGGCAATATTTAATGAACTATGTATGAAAATCTTCAGGAACCAAGAATGACACGAACATCAGATTTAGGAAGCATAACAAATCCCAAACAGAATAAATATAAAGAAATCCATTTAAGCACATCTGAATGTCAACAGGACACTAAAGACAAAGAGAAATATCAAAAGTAATCAAAGAAAAAAGGAGAGATGAAATAGAAAGTAACAGCAATAATATAAAATGAACAGACTTCAAGTACTTTGGAAAGTACTTGTATTATTTGGGAATTATTCATGTTAGAAGCTAAAAGATCAAGGTACAAAAATAATAGAAATGGAATGGATTATTTTTAGGAATTATCAAATCAGGTTTGCAGAATATTTAAGAAAGAAATATATTAGAATTATCTGGGAAATCTTAAGTTAAATAAGAACTTCCAAAGTGTCTACTAGTGGTACTCCTATGTCACCACATAAACTGACAATCATTGTGATGCTGTGTTTCTGTGTAAAGCAGTCTACTCTGCTGTGTCAGGAGCAGAAAATAAGGATAAGAAGCACTCTAACTATCAAATTTACCTACCAAGGTTACATGAATAACAAATAATAATCAGGTTGTCAGAGCACTCTATGATAAGGAGGTTTCCAAATAAACTCTACTCCTCAAATAAAAAAAATGAAAATACATAATATCTTTCTAGTAGTTATTCTGGATACATTTGTATAGTTTTTATGATCTCTGAAAATGTTTAAATTTATCTCAAAAAGAATGTCCTATTTCAAAGACTGCAATGTTGATATGTCTTCAATAGAACTAATTAGAAAGCCCTGTTCTTCTAAAAATTTATAAGAGTTTATTTGGAAAATAAAGAGTACTTTCCCTTCAGGGCATAATAATTGACTAGATGCCAAAAATAAAGCAACAGTGAATCAAACCAAATGAGTTAAAATGCTTAGTGAGTGATACATACTGATAAAAAATTTTTTTCTTATTTTCAAATTATAATCACATCGAAAGAACCATGTAAGATCATAGCATACTCTTTCTATTATATTTAACATAGGTCAATTTTTCAGTAAAGCAATTGTGGCTTTGAAAAATAGGAATAAGGTAATAAGATAACAAGAAAATATTTCTCTTTATTTTATCAAACGAGTTCAAGGTCTGAGAATCCATAAAATGCCTACCTTTCCTGCTCACAATTAAGGTGCTAGGTGAGAAAAAAATTACAGCAGAACAAAGTATTACAGAGTTTAAAAATGTAACCCAAAAGTATAATTTATGAAGATGAAAATTTTAGTTGATTTAAAAATTTAAATTTCATGAAGACAAAAGCTTTAATGGGAAAGAATTATCACAGATTAATAACATTATTAAGACCCTTACATTTTATTAGGTATTAATAGCATGATATCCCCAAATAACTTCTTGAAAGAGAACAGAGATCTTTTATTTCTTCAAAATAAAACCCAGCGGTTGAGCACTGGGTTGCGAAGCTGCCGGCAGCCTCTGCAGCGCCAGTTCGATCCCCGGCTGCTCCCCGGCCACTGGAGGAGGGTCTCGCATGGTGCGCAGACCTCTCCTGCCGCCAGCTGCTCCCCTCAGCAGTGTACTTCGGTCCTTCTGCCTGCTCTGCTCCCCGCTCTGGCTCTGGTGAAACCTCTCACCCTCCCGAGCTTCTGACTGTACCCAGTGCTTGTATAAATAAATAAATAAATCTTTAAAAAAAAATTCTACATTAAATTCATTAATGCTTACATCTAAAGTGAGGACACAAGATTCCTCATAGACTAAACACACTTAGCAATTATCTTTTCTGGCAAATCCAATTTTATTTTTTAGGCAGCTGCACTCATCTATATTCACTGAACCCCTTACTACAATTCGTATTAATGATGCTTTTTTTGTTCCCAAGACATTCCATAGCTGTGCAACTTTCTTTTTTTTTTTTAAGTTACTGATTTATTTAATGGTGTTCTGAATGATTATTGTTCAACAAGACAGGATTGGGTATCTTTTAGGAAATTCTGGCAAATTTGTAACTGAAAAAGAAACATTAAAGAAGAGATAAGAAGAGCACTAATTGTGGGAAAAGTTCTTTTGAAGGACAAAAAAGTGAACATATACCTGGTGTACTCCTCATGTAAAGAAGTAAATCTGATTCAAGCCCTCAGCATGCTTATACAGACATGACTCTAGTTCAAATACCTACCCTGTTCCGATGAGCATTGATTGATGCATAACGAACTGTTCCTCTAAAGCCTGCCACAGCTCGAGGCTACAACAAAATGAAGCAAAAAAATAATAAATCAGCTTCAAGTAGGAAGAGATTCAGCACACTTGAGCCCATAAAGTAGAGAGAAGAAACAATGTGCATTACTGTCACAATAAAACACCAAGTAGTGGCCCCCTGGTGGCACAGGGCTTAGTCTTAGTGCTTGCTATCAAGCCATTGCCAGCCACTGTGACCTGAGTTCGATCCCCAGCCAGGGAGCTACCGACATGGCACAGTAGACCTCTCTTGTCTAGCCCACTGCTCCCCTCAGCAGTGTGTATCAGTAGATCCACCTGTTCTGCTCCCTACTCTGTCTCTGGTGAATCCTCTCACTCCCTGCACTCTGGCTACACACCAGTTCTTGCATGCATAAATAAATAAAAATAAATCTTTCTTAAAAAAACCAAGTAAATCTCTAACTTTGTATTGTGAAATTACAGAAAATTAGAGACAGAACATTGCTAAATCATACCTTTGAAAAAACACAAATTTCTTAGTTATCAGTGAGTCCCAGTTTTTCCTACCTACATTTTAAAATAAAGTGACATTTATGACAAACATAAACTTTGTACATTAGAAAGCATTAAATGCTTTCATATACCCAGAATCATATTAACTATCATTTTTATATTTTAATATTCAGACAATTTTTACAAGTAAGTATATAAAGACCATGAGGCATTTTCAGGTAATCTAACTGTGTCTTGATTCTTTCATTCAAATTCAATTTAAAGATGGTGGTAATTTGTATTCTTCTCTGCATACATAATTCATATATTCACAAATTCAAGTAATTGGATACTTGTTACATGCCAGGCATTAAGAATAAATATAAACATGAATTAATTATACATGATCTAGTTCTCAGAGAGCTCAACTTAAAATAAAATCCAAGCTCTTTTTGTTTGACTTAGAAGACCTGTGATCCTGCACTGACCTCACTGCAAAATGTCTTTACTTGTGGTTTCTCCTATGACCAATTTTGTTTCTAGCTTAGAATTGGCACTTGTTATTCTCTCCAGTTGGAATGCCATCTCCTGCTTCCAATGGCTAGCTAACTTTTTACTCCATAAAAGCCCTTTGCTCATAAATCACATCCTAAGAGAAATAATCATTAATCATCCTAATCTAAAATACCATCTGCTCTGGCACTGTCACTCTATTCTTTTATTGTTTTATTTTTTCATAATAACACCTTTCACTACTTTAAATCAATTTTATTTATACATTTTTACCTATATGTTTACTATCTGTCTATTTCTACTGGAATATAAACTGTGAAGGCAAGGTAATTGTCTGATAGGCTCTCAGAGCAAAGTATGTAACTTGTCTAATTTGACTAGGTTAAAGTCATCAATCAAGGTCTTTTGACTTGAAATTATATGTTATAGAAACAGTGTTGCTTCCATTCTACTCCTTCACAAGGATCCAGTGAGTACACTACAGATTCTTGAATGGCACTATAGTTCAATATAAAAATTGATGGAACCTGATGATCAATAATTTTCTTTTTTATTATTATTAATTTTTTTACATCATTGTTCATTTTTAAACAATATTTGCTTCCCCCGACCCAGGTGTAGTCCCCATAGAATTTCCTTCCCCAATGCACCCGCACCACAATCCCCTGTGCTCCTCCCTCCCTCCCTCTGATCCCTCTCCCTCCTCCTCCCCTGCAGGGTGTCTCTGATTTATAATTGTCTGTTTTTGTTTTGTTGTGTTTTGAATTTTCATTAGACTTTTTTGTGTGTGTTTTTTTTTACAGTAATTTCAAATTATCCTCAATTAAAATGTATTATCTTTGTAGTCAGAAAGACTATAATGTTATTTTAAAAATCCAGTTAACGGAATTATTGTTATGTATATATATCTCTTCTTCCTCCATTCACTCATTTTGTCATCTACGTTTAATCTATTCAAGTTAACTATTATTTCATGAAATTCTCTCTTGCCCCTTTGATTACTTTTTGGTTTTGTTTTTTAAGATTTAACTATTTCAAAAACATCGTTTTTTTTTTGGTTTGTTTTTTTTTTTAAAGATTTATTTATTTATTTACACAAGCACTGGGTACAGTCAGAAGCGTGGGGGGTGGATGAGAGAATCCACCAGAGCCAGAACGGGGAACAGAACAGACAGACTGACAAAATACACTGCTGAGGGGAGCAGCGGGCACAGCAGGAGAGGTCTGTCGCGCCATGTGGGACCCTCGCTGGTGGCCAGGGATCGAACCGCACTGCAGAGGCTGCGGGCAGCTTCGCAGCCCAGTGCTCAACCGCTGCGCCACCAGGGGAGGCCCTCAAAAACATTGTTTTTAATGATGTCTCTGTAATCAAAAGCTTATCTAATCTATATAAATGCCCTTTATTTTCCCTTAGCTGGTATTCACTGAAAACCATAGTCAGTAAATCTTAGTATTACCTAAGATATAATGAGTAACAGGAATATCTAATATTCTTCTCAACTTGGTTGATAGAACTTAGGTCAGAGATTTCTTTTCCTAAAAGAAATATTTCTTGTAGAAAGCCTACTACCAACCATTTTCAGTAAACATTTTAGAGATTGTATTTATATTCACTACCTTACAAGTTTTCCTTAACACAAAAATGATTTTGTAGCATGCAATTGTGCCCAGTTATTTTGATTCTAATGACAATCAAGATGACTATCTCCAGACCTATTATCATACTGCGCAGTCTAGTGCATGGTCAACTGGGCACTCAACTTCCCCTTAATGGATTCTAGTCAAGGCAAGCCCAGGAAACTCTTTCCAGTTAAGAGTACCCCTGGCTTGGCTCTGACCTTACTTCTGCCATGGAAAGGTTCAGACACAGGTAAAGAGAGATTAGACATTTAGAGAGATCTTGATGTGACTCATCAAAGAAGTAACATCAGGTCAAGGAAATTCAGCCACCTTATATAAGGGAGAACAGAAAAAAACAAGCTGACAGAATTGGGGAAAATAGCTATCTATACAAATAATTCTAATCTAAAGCAGACTATAATTAAGATTATTAGCAAAGTACTATGAGCGCCTAGGACCAGTAAGGATTAGTTCCATTTTGTGCAAGAAGGAGAGTCTATGGGAAAAGGGAAAGTCCTAAGAATAAGGTGACTTAACCAAGTCTTGAAGTTGATGATCTCTTGAAAGTTCCCCAAATGATGGCAATTGGGCAATAGCAATTAAAATTACAAACGCATATAATTTCTTGGACTCAGCAATTTCACTTCTGGAAATTTATCCTGCAGATATATTTGCATATGTACTTGCATGTGCAAAAAAAAGGTCATACAAATTCATTCACTGCACAAACATCTGTGACAGCAAAGATTAGAAATAAAGCAATGTTCATCAATGGGGGCTGATTATTAAATAAGTTACAATACATCAATATAATTAATACACTTTGTAACTGAAAAGAATGTAAATGCTCTATATCCTGATATACAAAGGTCCCCTAGATAAACTGTTAAGTCGGAAAAAAAAAAAAGTCAGAATGTGTACATCATGCTACCTTTTGAATCAAAATAGGAAAAGTGATAATATTAAGTTTCTTTTAATGTATATGCATAAAGAAATTCTGGAAGAATTCAAAAAGAAACTAAGAGCTACCTAAGATAGAAGCATCAGGGAAGCTCAAGAATTGAGTAGAGGGCCTCCCTCATGGTACAAGGGGTTAAGGACAGTACTGCAGAGGCTGTCCGCAGCCACTGAAGCACAAGTTCGAACCCCAGCCGGCCAGGAAACTACCCACATGGCACAGCAATCCTCTCCTGACTCGCCCACTGCTCTCCTCAGCAGTGTACTTCAGTCAATCTGCTTGTTCTGCTCCCCACTCTTGCTCTGGTGAAACCTCTCACCCCTGCACCTCTGGCCTGTACCCCAGTTCTTGTATGCATAAATAAATCTTAAAAAAAAAAGAATTGAGTAGATTTGGAATAAACAAGGATGAAATGGAGATTTGCTTCACTATTTAACTTTCAATTTTTTTCAAGTCCAGTTTATTGAGGTATAATTTACATACAGTAAACTTCATATATTAGGTATAGTTATAGTTCAATGAGTTTTGACAAACTAGAGAGTCATGTAACTACCACAGCAATCAAGACATTCTGAAAATTTCCATAATTCCAGGAAGCTTCCTTAGTGCCCTCTGTGTTCAAACCCTCCCCTCCTAGTCTCAGGCAACCTCACTAGCACTTAGAATTGTCTGTCTTTTTTGGCTTTTAACCATTTTGATTGGTGTATACTAGTTTTCACTGTGATTTTAATTTGCATTTCCCTGACACCTAATGATGCTGAGCACCTGTTAATGTTCTATTTGCTATCTCAAATATTTCTAGATGAAATGTCTATTCAAATCTTTTGTTCAAATATTTTTAAAATTAGTGAGTCATAAGATTTTAAGTTATTATATAGTTCTAAGTTGTTTACAGATGCTAGATCTAACTCCTTTGTCAGATACATGCACGTTTTGCAAATATTTTTTCCAGTATGAGACTTGTCTTTTCATTTGCAAAAGTGCTTAATTTTGATGAATTTTTAATTATTTTATTTTTGCACCATATAAATATAATCCTTTAAAAATATATTTTAAAACGTCTTTAAATTAAAAAAGTAGAAAGTGAAAGTGGTTAATAACCTAAGAGTATGTTTTATAAAATCTAGATACCTGAGTGGTAGTGAAAAAAGAAAAACTAGGGCCTCCCCAGTGGCGCAGCGGTTGAGCGCTGGGTTGCGAAGCTGCCCGCAGCCTCTGCAGCGCCGGTTCAATCCCAGGCTGCTCCCAGGCCACCGGAGGAGGGTCCCGCATGGCGCGCAGACCTCTCCTGCCGCCCGCTGCTCCCCTCAGCAGTGTACTTCGGTCCTTCTGCCTGCTCTGCTCCCGGCTCTGGCTCTGGTGAATTCTCTCACCTTCCCGCGCTTCTGACTGTACCCAGTGCTTGTATAAATAAATAAAATAAATAAATAAATCTTAAAAAAAAAAAAAAAGAAAAACTAAATTCGGCCTTGAAGAGCAGGCAGAATTACAGTAAGAAGGATGAAATGCATTTTAAATAAAAAGAACAGCGCAAACAATGCAAAAAGGATGGAAACAGTCTGGTATAGTTGATACAAATTGTGAAAGAAAATAATGGAAAAACAGGGTGGAATCAGATTAAGGATGGCCCTGAATATCACATGTTAAGTATTTAGCTTAAAATGTGCAAGCAAATGGAATTTGCTTAAATTTTTTAAGTAGGGAAGTTATAGGGATGAGGAAGTAGGTGGAATATTTACCCCGGAACATATTGAATATAAAGGATAGGCTGGAAAGAAAGAGTAGGGAGACCAGCGAAGCAACCAGTTTAAAAATCCAAATAAGAAACTATGAGACTAGTACAAGGACAGAAGCAACATGACTGTGGAAGATGAATGTTAGAGACAGAATCCTAGGAAAATACAGATGTAGAAGGCAAGGACTCCAGGCATTATTAGCCTTCCCACTTTTAACCAATGGGAAGAAGATGGGGGAGGGGAAGCACTGAGAACTATGTAATAAAATCCTATTTCAATGGAAATAAGAAATTACCTCAAATTCTGAAAAGGCAACAGAAAATGAGTGAAAACTTTTCTTAAGCAGGTGACAGCCTAGGCACTGGAAGTTTCAGCTGAATGGTTAGGAAGGAAACAGCAGGAGACAGCATGGCCTTCTAAGAACGTAGACACAAAGGGTCAATGTGAGCCGCCAGATGAAGGGCTGAGGGAACTGGGCATGCTTTAAAGTAGGAGGGGTAAGAGTGAGCATGTAAGATTCGCATCATTATCAACCACATAAACAACTCTCCAGCGTAAGAGACACTATCATTCTCTCCACAATGCTTTTTGACAGATGGCCCTATATTCCATGTTTGGTAAATAAATATACATTCATGTTTTGAGGGAATTTCTTTTGGTGATAAAATAGTTTTAGATCCAGATTGTTATGCTGTTAGATGAATATATACATGTGATTAATAATTCATATGCCACCAGGAAAAAGTTCATGTAAAAAACAGTAAAATCCAACTAAAGTCTTTATTTCAGTTAGTAATACTACACTAATATCAATTTCCTAGCTTTGACAATGTACTATGATTATGTAAGAATTTATCATTGGAGGAAGAAAATGAAGGATAAATGGTAGCTGCAGTATTTTACAATAGCTTCCTGGACCTGTTCCATACTCTAAAATAAGTACCTTTGAATCTACAAAAGAGGGGAAGAAAAAAAAAAAGGCAAAGCAAGTGACTATAAGTTATATATGTCAATATAAAATTAAGAATGGAGGTTATGCCTAGGGTTTCAGTGACCAATGTAATAGCAACTCAAAATTACTCGAAATTTAAAATTCAGTTCCTCTCTTATTCTGGCCACAATTCAAGTGCTTAATAGCCACACTGGCTAGTGGCTACCATATTACACAAGCTGATACAGAACATTTCCATCTTTGCATTAAGTTACATTAGACAGTGTTGCTTACAGAAGGAAAAGGGGGTAAAAGGGGCTATCAGGGGAGGATCCACAGCACATTTGTAAGCTGGTAATGAACTATTTTTTTAATCTAGATGGAACTCATGGATGTTTTGATATTATTCCTTAAAAATTTTAGGTGCGTTTTTTGGAATATATATAGAGAACTAGACCAAAAAGATATATGTTGTTTACTTGGTAATAAAGAATCTATGTGTATGAGCCTCCCTGCCCTGTACAGATCAGCTCCACTAAAGTCTGTTGCACCCAGGAACACAAGGCTCCCTCACTGCCAAGTTTCCAGACAAAGGGCTTACCTCCCTGTGGAGCAGGACGTGCACATTTTTCATCATCTGTCAGCTGTTAGTTGCTGTGGAGGCTAAGTGCTGGGCAAGTACAGGTGAAGGTGTGGAAGCTCTTTTCTTACACTCAGTCTACACTCATGGAATGAAGGCTCTACTACCATGGGCATGATATGCTGAGAATAGTGGAGCCCAAACAGCCTTCCCTCCCTGGCTCAAGAGGCAGTGGTTTCAAGCCAGGAGAGGCAAGCAGAGAAGACTTCAGGCTAAGGCACACATCTCAATTTCATGGCTCAGCTCCTAAAATTAGTAAATCACTTAGCTAGAAACCTGCTACTGTCCTCACTCACAACTCCAGAGTTCTAGGTTAGAGATTTTAGCCTTGGGACAGGAGAAAGTCTTAAAAAAAAAAAAAGTTACCTCCTGATCTCTTAATTTCATTTCCAACAATGAAGTTAAGCCTCAGATTCCACTCAAAAAGATTGTGGTAAAGGGAACTGGGAGGAGATTCCTAGATTTAATGAAGATAAAGCCTAGACTACAAGCAAGCCAGGAAAAAACAAGGAGAATAAGAGAGCTGGAAGGTGCCCTCATTAGGTCAGAACAAGTATCAAACTCTGATCTCAGAAACAGTACCATTTTAGAAACTACAATTTGATTAACTTACCAAGGAATTTATGCCACAGGGAACTGCTGTAAGCAATAGAGCAATCAGCCAGCAATTTGTGGAACTTAACAGCTGGGTATGTCATACAGGGAAAGGGAAGAAGAAACCTGTACTAGCTAGCACCACTGTGGGCCAAATCAAAGCTACGTTTCCCTGAGAAGCAACAACAAAGATTTAACACTGTTTTTTGGGAAGAGAGGAAATGAACTTCACTAAACAAAGAAACAACAGTGACAAGTCCTGGAAAGGGAACCAATACCCAGAACTGTTATAACATATTATCTGAAATGACCTGAACCAAGGATGCTAATAACATCAGTGCCTGATGACCACCCACTAGCCATTTTAAAGTGCTAACACAGAAGAAAACAGCTATTCCAGGAAAATCATCAATAATCCTTTGACTAACTACCCCTAGACTGCCTATCCCTTCCCACTCCTGAGGACAAAGAAACCCTCCTATACCCCTCATATCTGTCTCCCCTATATAACCTTTCACTCACCACTGGAAGAGACAGTTTCTTTATAGCACTAACTGCCGTTCTCCTGTGACAGCACCACCCATTAATAAAGGGCTTCCTTTATGGAAAGGATCTTGTGGTTCAAAGTCTGGCTTTCTGAGCACAAGAGATATGACCCAGTTAGGTCCTAAGGGATAATGTATGTGTTCTTACTATAAGACCTCTCTAAATGGCTTCTAATGTAGTTTTTATAAGCCACAACTTTCAATAAAAAAATTAATGCCATTCTATAATTAAATCATGAAATTTATATGCCACTTCTTGGGTAACATCCACTCTGATACAAAATTAGCATTTATTTAAAAAGAATAACATTAATTCACAAATATTTAATAATAATAATATGAAAAATCTTACTGGTCTGACGTCACCACAGGAATTGGTAAATTGTCGCGCCAATCCAAAATCAAGCATGTAACATTTCCTGCAAGTACTAGGAAAGCGACCCATAGCAAAGTTTGACTAGAAAAAAGAAGAAAAATATACATATTCTCATAATACTTTGTCCTTACATCTTCTCCTTCCTATATATTCATTCTTCTATTTACAGTCTATATAACCTATATGTTCCCAATACACTGTTCTAGTCAATGATGTTTATTAGATTTTAATTGTATAAAGTTATTTCAATTGTATAAAGTTATTACAACACAACACTGATTTAACACAGAAGTCCTAAGTTGCTTGAAATTCTACTCTAGGTCACTGCTTAAATGATTATGGAATCCCTAGTTTTTAAAATGGAAAATAGTAGGAGTGAGCAAAATCAAGTACAAAGCTCTTAAATTTAAATGAATTTCCTTTAAGCATCATAAAGTTGAATTTCACTAAGTATAAAAATCAAAGTACAATTTAAGCAAGCATTTCAAAACATACCTAAGGAAAATATACTTTGCATTCTTTTCTTTTCTGGGACCCTCGCCGGCAGCCGGGGAACAAACCGGCGCTGCAGAGGCTGCAGGTAGCCTCGCAGCCCAGTGCTCAAAGGCTGCGCCACCAGGAGAGGCCCTTTTCATTCTTTTCTTAATAAAAATAGATATAACACTGAATGGCTACAAACTTGCAAAGGTGTGTATGTAAGTAAGGGTATTTATAAGTGCAAAAACCAAAATGTTATAGAATTGCTAGCTTTTATTTCAAAATACTGTTCTACTTAGTGAATTTTCTGATGAAAATAGAAATAGAAAAAAAATAGAAACTTCAATCACCACAGTTCTCAAATAATGACATTTAGTATGGCATTGAAATAAGAACACAAATGCTATATTACATTAAGTCTGACTCTACTAGGTTAATTTTAGTTGGCATTTTCACATAAACTACTTAATTTTAGAAATCATGTAGCAACAGATGGGTATGATAACCAACCAACATATGTTAAATTTAATATATTAGAAATGGGTAATAAAAAAAATGAAAACATTTCACAGTTATAGAAATAACATTTCTAAGGAAATCAGAATATAAAAGTACAGTATATATTGCTACAACTGCTCTCAGGAGGAAAATAAGATCTTTCACAATTGACGACTTCTTATAAGCACAATTTCTCACTTGAGAAATAATTCAAATAACATAATGCCAACATCTACAAGCAACATATGTATATTTTAAAAAATAACAACAGGAAAATGAAATGCAAAGCATAACTATGAATTTAGGTGTAAGGCTAAATTATTAGCAATGTTAACACACGTAATATTAACAAGCAAGCATTAAACATTTCTAAAGGCTGCTGAGCAACACTTTCATGAGTGTCTCACTTTATGAGAAGAGCTCTTGAATATAAATTGTAGTTTCTAACTATTTTTGAAAATGGTAATTTTAGCACTCTAAATACATTTTCTTCCACAGAAATAAAAATACCTTGTATTTAATCATAGCTGGTATAGAAAGCTACATTTGTAGTTTATTGTGTCCCATTATAAGACTTATTATAGGAGCACCAAGCAAACTCATTCTGTGCACTGACTGGAAAAGCCCCCTACCGGTTTGATGTCTCGGTGCAAGAATCCCACAGAATGGATGCTCTCGATAGACTCCAGAATCTGTTTACCCAACCGAAGAGTAGTGCTAATGGTAAAAGTGCCCCGGGACTGGCTGCGGCGTAGATCTGCCAGGTTCCGACCCTGTGGAAACCAAATAAACACTTTCAAATGTGGCACTAAATGATGAGAGCAGACTGGGAAACTGTTCATTTGTCATTAAAAACTGTTTTGGCTGTAATAATAAGGCTTTTACTCAAATCATAAGCCCCTCAATCAAGAGAAGTCTCAAAATAATGCATAAATGTTTCAAACATTTAAGAATAACCTCAAATTTTCTAGCATATTATGTTTCCGGGTCATCATGCTTCCCTTCATCTCTGATGGCATAACAAAACATAGTCTTATTTGAAAAGATACAAAATATACCTAGAACAGTAATCTCTTGTTACTACTGCCCAACATATAATCCCATAAAAACTACTTAACTTTTCTGCATTTCTATTCCCTCGTAAAATGGGGCAAACAATACACAGGTGAGGTGTAGGTATTGTTTGTGAAGATTAAACAAAATCCATGCAAAGTTGTTTAGAATACTGGCACATGTTAGGTACTCAGTAACGCTACTAATTGTCATATGAACAAAAGTGACTTGAAATACTCTAATACACGTAGTAGTATATGAAAACAATGGATGATGTATCCAAATTGTGCCAAATGTATTATATTTATGATTGCATTTAATTCCCACAGCACCCTAAATACAAGTTGTTATTCCTGTTTTAAGATACATGGTGGTAAACCAGCAAGTAAGGATATTGATCAAAGACTGCCATATTCTAGCGCTGTCAAAATGAATCAGGATACAAACTGAAGAAGTTCTGCTACCCAAAGATAGGGCAATTTGCACATTAAAAAGAAAAACTGCAGTGATTGAAAGACATAAAATATGTTAAATTTATGAATTCAGAATTATATTTTTAAGAAAGAGAAAATGAACTCATTAGTCTCCTTTAGAAAACATTAGGAAACAACTCTATTCTGAAAACTGGTAAGTAAAATATTAAGCATTAGGCCTATATTTCTTATATATAACGTACCTCAAGATAACCTAATAGTTGATGTGGTGCTTTACAAAGAATTCTAGTAAAGAAATGATAGAATTATAGTATAGTTGCAACCCCACTGACATAACACACTTAGGCAATGACTACTAATAGGTTGATAAAAACCTAGGAAAAAAACCAATGAGCACTTTAAAATGAATGGATGGGTCAATGGTCCCTAAATGTTATAGATCTATTTTTTTCTTTTCCCATTGATCAATCTTAACTTCACTAAAAGAGAGAAGACCAGTCACTGCCTACTGATGTGATGCAATAGGAAGCATACAACTCACCTCTGAAGTATTTTGGTCAAAAAATCTAATCTAATCACCAGTTTGTTGAAAATCCAGAGACAGAAGAACACATTAAACAACACAATAGAAGAACAATCAACAAAATCCAAAATATGATAACTGCTTCATGACAAATGATAAGAACAACAAATGAAAACTAAGAAAAAAAGACTCTATAGATTAAAAGAGGTTCAAGAACTATCATATGATCCACCTTTTGGGATGGCAGCATTTATCTTGATTTTGATTTTGCTCTTTTCCTCCCAGAGGTGCCTTAGGCTTGTGACAGGCTTTCGGGCTTCAGTGGCCCTGCTTTGAGCCAACCTTGTTTGGCTGGATATTTACCCGTGAGGGGATGGGTAACTTCAGTGCTTGATTTGGACACTTTATTTTTTCCCATTTCTGCATTGCACACTAATGTCTTAAAGTTCCTTTCCATTGAAGGTCTTACGCACTACAGTATGTTTTATCTTGATGCAGCAGATAGCAGAACCTATTTAGAATGGGCAGGTTTGGGGGTTCTGGGGTGCCCCTCTCCCTGCGCTATAACAAATGGACATTTGGAGGCAGGCAAAATGAGAAAGTATAATCTTGGAAGCTATACGGCAATGTAAACTAATGTTACCTCAATTAAGAAAGGAGGGAAGAGACTTTATAAACTGTTAATTTCTAACAATTATATCTTCCAATGGTCCTAAAACTACATTATAACTAATTAAACATTAGTAAATGAACTTATAATGTGGACATTTAAAAGATGATACATGAATATATGCCCCTACTCAGTAATTCTGGATTATCTAAAAACAAAAAATCCTGGATTAACAAAATTAAAGCAGAATGCTTTTAATAAACTCAGAACTAGCTGTTATTTAAAAGAATGACCTTAGAGGGCCACCCTGGTGGCCAAGGGGTTAAGATGCAACTTATGAAGCTGTCCAAAACCACTGCAGCACGAGTTTGAATCCCAGCTGGGGAGCCACCCACATGGCACAGCAGACCTCTCCTGACTCGCCCGCTGCTCCCCTCAAGCAGTGTATTTCAGTCGATTTGCCTGATCTGCTCCCCACTCTGTCTCTAATGAATCTTCTCACCCCCAACACCTCTGGCCTGTACTCCAGTTCTTGTATGCATAAATAAAATCTTTAAAAAAAAAAAATGACCTTAGAAATATTACTTTTGACTAACAAAACAATACTTTACTGTAAACAAAAAAAGGGGACTCAGGCCTCCCCTGGTGGCACAGGCAGTGAGCACCGTGCTGTGAAGCTGTCCACAGCCTCTGCAGTGCATGTTCGATCCTGGCCAGCTGGCGAGGGTCCCATATGGCGCAACAGACTTCTCCTGTCGCTCCCGCTGCTCCCCTCAGCAGTGTATTTCGTCAGTCTGCCTGTTCTGTTCTCCACTCTGTCTGTGGTGAATCCTCTCACCTTCCCACACATCAGGCCTGTACCCCAGTTCTTGTATAAAAATAAATCTTAAAAAGGGGGGGGGCTCAAGAGATATAGCCACCAAATGCAATGTATGAACCTAATTTTAAACAAGATTCAAGAAAACCAAGTAAAAAAATAAAAAAGAGGTATGTATGATCAAGGAAACCTGAATCAAATTCATATTTGATGATATTCAGTAATTATAATTGTTAATGTGGCTATAAAGGGGGAAAAAAGTCATCAGCTTTTAGAAATATAGATAGGTAAAATATGTCTAGGATTTGCTTTCAAACAAAGTGGGGAGGGACAGGAAAAGAGTAACTGGCCTAACTTCTCCCTTCTTGCTCTGTTCTTGTTTATCTTTTCTTGCAGAAGTTGTTCACCCTTGCTCTGCTTATCTTTCCTTGCAGACGAAAACACAGAAAACCAGGGGAGACTGAGTGAGAAGCAGAAGGGGTTAAGCACGCTCCCATTAACACAGCAAATATAAAAAAAGCATATCCACCAGATACCAGGACAGATCTGGAGAACACCAAACTTGGGGGGTTGGCGGAGGAATGGTATGTGAATGCATTTCCTGGAAACTCCCAACTCTTTCTCTGAAATACTGCTGACACACATCCACTAGTCTCTTTCCCTCTTTAGTATCATCTCTACCCCACGCCCATACAAGCCCCTACCTAATTTTCCATTCTTTGGCCAATGAACCTGGCCTTGTTTAAGTGTTGAATGGGTAAAAGAAATGATCTGGTCAGTAACAGAAGCAGAATACATATGGAACAAGATTGGTCACACATTGCATAGGTGTTCATTATATTTTTTCTGCTTCCATGTATGTTCAACATTTCCCATAATAATAAAAAGTTAAAAAAAAATATGGCAGCTCTAATGTTAAGCACTTGAATATCTGTACTGGTTATAGGATTAAAAATATTTTTTGCCCTTCCCTAAGTGATATACTTATCACAAAACAGCACCCTCTGGCTATACTAAGGATGTTCATGTAAAACCTTAAAGGTGATAGGTCATTAAATGAGACTTATAGGAGTTCTGCCAGCAGAACATAGGAAAGAAATGAGTACAACTGTTTGAAGATAATTTTTTGGGTTTTGTCTTTTTTGGTTTTGTTCTGAATCCAGTAAGTAAAAATCCATTGTAATGGTAAATAGCTAGATTTTTTCCAACAGAAATAGGATTATTCCTTAAATTTTTTTTTAAGTAGGTTTTTTTTTGTTTGTTTTTTATGTGTAGAAGAACTGGGGTGTACGCCAGAGATGCAGGGAGTGAGAAGATTCACCAGAGACAGAGTGGGGAGCAGAACAGGTGAATTCACTGAAATACACTGCTAAGGGGAGCAGCAGGCAAGACAGAAATGGTCTGCTGAGCTATATGGGGGTTATCCCCCTGGCAGGGGACTGGACTCAGGCATTAACAGTGATAGCACTGAGACTTAATCCCTAGGCCACCAGAGAGGCCCTATTCCTTAAATTTCTTTCTTTTTTTTTTTAAAGATTTATTTATTTATTTATACAAGGACTGGGCACAGTCAGAAGTGCGGGAGGGTGAGAGAATTCACCAGAACCAGAGCGGGGAGCAGAACAGACAGACTTATGAAGTACACTGCTGAGGGGAGCAGCGGGCGGCAGGAGAGGTCTGCACACCATGTGGGACCCTCGCCCAGTGGCCGGGGATCGAACTGGCACTGCAGAGGCTGCGGGCAGCTATGCAACCCAGAGCTCAACCACTGCGCCACCGGGTAGGCCCTATTCCTTAAATTTCTTAAAGCAGATACATATAACTGAATTGCCATGAGGAAAAGAATCAAGTTAGGAGTTTTTAAAGAAATCAGAAACACCAGTGAGAAGCAAGATATAAGTATTACAGAGGAATCTCCATAAAAGAAGGACGTTTCAGGTTCCCTGCCCCACTTAGTTGAAGGGCAGAGCTTAGTGGTGAGGTGAAACTATAGAACACATGGAAGGAGACACAGGAAGGGAGACATGTGAGGGAGGGCATGCTTACTTCTTGGCTTTGTACTTGCAGCAGACACTTAGGGAATGTGGAAGAGACATGTGCAGTCAAAGCACATAGACATACTTGAAAAGAGACACATGGATGAGAAACACATGGGGAAGCTGACAATGGGAAACTTTATCTTGATTTTTACTTTGATCAAAATACCTAATTACAGTCATTTGAATAAAAATAACATTTTAGGTTTCATCTAAGCTACTGTAAGTACTTTGATCAAAACTAAAAAAATGTTAAGATACACTTTCAAAGTAACCTACCTGCAACTGCATGACCACATA